AGGTTAGGGAAGAGCGTGTCTGAGACTATTGTGAGCAATTCAGGTGCACCACAAGGTACCGCCATGGGGGAGCGCATTCTCAGACTGGAGTGAGAGAATTGATCTGATCCTCAATGCGTCCAAGACCAAGGAGATGATCATTGCCTTTCACAAGAGCCCTTTCCATCAACCGGTCACACTAAATGGACAGGACATCGAAGTGGTGCTGTCCTACAAATACCCAGGAGTCCAGCTGGACCACAGTCTGGACTGGTCAGCTCAGGCCAATGCTGTCTATAAGAATGGTCAGAGCAGACTCTTCTTCCTGAGAAGACTAAGGTCCTTTAATTTGAGCAGTCAGATGTTGCACACATTTAACCAGTCTCTGGTAGCTAGTGCCATGTTCCTTGGGGTCACGTGTTGAAGTCTTGAGAGACAGTAACCAGCTCGACAGGCTGATCAGGAAATGTGCCTCTGTGATGGGGAGAAGTGTGGACTCTGTGGGAGCTGTGCTGGAAAGAGGGATGAGGGCTAGAATGCAGGGCTACCAAATGGAATGTTTTAAGAGATTCTTTGTTCCTCTCAGACTGTACAACAGACCAAACATCAGTGAGTGGATGCAAAATAACTTTCTCAAGCAAACACTGAAAAAACTGAAAAACTTTCACCTACAGTCTCTCTCCCAAAAACCCTCAAACCAGGTCAGAAATCTATGGGTAATGTTGGACTCAAATTTTAATTTCAATACATTGCTAATTTTAAAAATAGTGTCAAAAACAAAGCAGACTTGGAGACTCTTATCCATGCATTTGTCTCATATCGGTTAGACTACTGCAATGGCTTGTTCACAGGTCTCTTCAAACAAACGGTAAAACTTCTGCAGTATGTAGCTGTTTGACAGTATGTCCAAAATGCCGCGGCTCGAGTCTTGACGAGAATGTGTACGATCACATTAGTCCAGTCCTCAGGTCTCTGCACTGGCTTCCTGTGGCTCTTTACTCTTGTTAATGCACTTTGGCTATTCATTGTTTTAATCCCATGTGTGATTTTAAGGTTTTAAAGTTTTTAATGTGTAATTTTATCTTTTTATTTTTTTGAATATTTCTCATGCTCTGTGGGATTGTAACTGTATTTCTTAATGCCCTGTGGGATTTTAATTGTATTTTTCTATGTTTTTGTATATTTTAATGTTTGATTTATGGATGATGTGATATTGCGTAGGAAAGGCGCTCTACAAATAAAAGTTGATTAATGAGAAATATACACTATTGTTGTTTAAGTATCTATCTATCTACACACAAAAAAGTATTTAGTATTGTGCAAGTTCTCCCACTTAAAATAATGACAGAGGTCTGTAATTTTCATCATAGGTACAGTTCAACTGTAAGAGACAGAATGTGAAAAAAAAAATCCAGGAATTCACATTTTAGGATTTTTAAAGAATTTATTTGTAAATTATGGTGGAAAATAAGTATTTGGTCAATAACAGAAATTTAACTCAATGGAAGGAGGTTTTGGCTCAAAATCTCATGATACATGGCCCCATTCATTCTTTCCTTAACACAGATCAGAAGTTACAGGTCTGTGAGAGCCAGAGATCTTCCTTGTTTAAATACAGGAGCCCCACAGGGCTGTGTTCTTTCTCCCCTGCTCTTCTCCCTGTACACCAACCACTGCACCTCCAGCCACGACTCCGTGAAGCTGATCAAGTTCGCGGACGACACCACCCTCATTGGACTCATCTCCAACAACGATGAGTCCGCCTACAGGAGGGAGGTGGACCGGCTGGTGTCCTGGTGCAGTGGTAACAACCTGGAGCTGAACGCCCAGAAGACAGTGGAGATGATTGTGGACTTCAGGAAGAGCACAGTCCCCCCTGCCCCCCTGATGGACTCCCCCATCACCTCTGTGGAGTCCTTCCGTTTCCTGGGCACCACCATCACCCAGGACCTCAAGTGGGAGCCGACCATCAGATAAGATAAGAATTCCTTTATTCGTCCCACAGTGGGGAAATTTTGATGTTGAATCGCACATATAGGACATTAGTAAGAGCACACAGGGATCACACACAATATATACACTATATACAAATAAGTAGTAGCTATGTTTCTTAACTAACATAACTAGCTGTAGATGCTGGAAATGCTTCAATACCAGTCAAAAATATATATGTAGTAGTGCAGTTATATACTGTACAGTTAAATAGTGCAGGATAAAAAGTATATAAGTAAAGTGACATGAGGTAAAGTGACATTGTTCTGTGACATCCTGAAGTTGCAGTATTGCACATTGCACATGAATGAGGGGGCTACATTTCTTCATCAGGGGCTGGAAATAATGTCATAGACAGAGTTGACCCTCCTGCCAGTGCCGAGTCTAGACTAAACATGGGGAGGCTAGACTCTGGGATAGAATCTTTACTCTTTTTAATGTACTGATGATTCATGAACTGATTGTTTCCATCTTGTTTTGTTAAGCACTTTGAGTTACCTTGTGAATGAACCGTACTATACAGATAATCTTGCCTCGTCTTGATGGGAAGGTGGATGGAGTAAGATTACATTTTTGGAAAGAAAATTGAGACAAGAAACAAACTTTGTCGATCTTCTTGGAACTCTTTCCAGTTCAAAACCAAATGGACTGAACTGTTTTTATGTTTTTACTTGAAAGACAATTGGATTGGATTGACCAGGTCCACCTTGAAAAAGAGTTCAACTACATTAGTTTTTACCTTGGCTAAATAGAGGTAAAACAACAAATACAAAATAAATACCCTGTTCATAGAAATACTGTGAGATGTTTGAGAACCTTATACAAATAAAAATAGTTTACAATAGATGAATAACTCAATTAACAATACGTCATTGGTATACAGTTTCCAAAATACCCAAAATAATGGAAGTGAGGATGAAGCCTGCAGCTCAATGGTTCAAAATGGTGATGGGAAAACCAGAGTGAAATGAAGCGGTTTTGCGTTTTGTCCAATAAGACAAAACTATGAACACACTTTTTAATTATGACACAATTGTTGTGATGCCGCCATTGTGTAAGTGTCCTCTTCTGTCCCAATTCTTATACATGAATGAGCAACATCAAGAGCACACCAATTAATTGCAAACATTTACATGAAAATAACATGCCACAAAAGCTTAGTTCCAAAAAACAGGCTCAAAAACAGAAACTTAACGCTGAGAACTATAGTATGTGTGATGTTCTAATGTAATGTTACTTTAATCAGTATTAGGAAGGGTTCTTCTGAGGACTTCAGACAGATGAGCATGTGTTTTATGTCCGTGTCATATTGTCTCCTCCAATAGTTAAAAGGATTAGCTAAAATGTCACAGTCCACTGTTGCATCAGTATGAATAAATCAAGCCCACAGCCAGCTCCATCTCCACATTTAAATTGAACTAGTGAGCTAAATGTCAAAATATATTAGTTTGACACAGGTGCAGAGTCACTGCTATGGTTCTGATGATAGGAGCCGATATTTTACAAATGAATTACACATGTTTTTAGAGTGGAGGGTTGCAGTCCTATGTGCATCCATACACCTTACATAAGAAACCATTGAGTTCCATGAGATGATCTGAGGCAGATGGTCTATGATGCTAATTAGACAGCATCCTGCCATATCTAATGACACATGAGAGAGCATTGTACAGTGTACATGCTGACAGTTTCTGTTTGCAAAGCAATGGGAGCCTGGACTGCAGACCTTCACACTTTCCACCATAAGCTACATGAAATAGCACTGAGGGGAGACATCATGATATGGGGTCCTTTACGTCCCAAATGAACATCTCAGTTAATATGTTTTTAATAGTGCTTCTTCCCTGCCCTTCAGCGCAGTCATTTACTCACACATTTGCATAATGAGACAAATACACGGTTTTCTGTTCGAACATCTGTCAGAAATAGGGAAGTGTTTGAAGAAAAAAATTCTACTGTATATTAGTGCGATTTTCTGCCTGAATCTGTCAGAAATCACAGATGGCCTTATGAGATTAAATCTTAGAATAACCTTTTTGTTAAACAGGGGATTAAGCAGAAAAGTCGTGTTGTCCTGTGCAGCAAGCAAAACAAATGACAGGTCAATGGAGTAAGGTGAGTCACAAGCCATTTTCAACCCGAGCTGTGTTAAATTTAACACTGAAGGGTAATTTTCAGGAGACAACATGAGCGAAAGTAGAATGAATACATCATTTAGAGGTGCCTGGGAAGCACAAAGCAGTGCACTCTGGGTTTGAATCCACAGCTTAGTGCATTCTTTCAAACTGAGAGCAGCCACCGTCTCCACAGCATCTAATCAATCTACACGAATGTCACTAAAATCAACATTTTGCATCATCCTGCCACCCATGATGCTAAGCAGTTCATCTGCTGTTTGCATTAGAAATCACATGCACTAGACGCATCAAAGAGTATGGACAGTATTGAATATCCTTTTTTATTTAACAGTCCTTAAAGCTGGGGTATCTAACCTCTGAACTAGTTCTTCACTGTTCCATCACTAGTTTTCACATGTATCTTTGGCTCCTGTCACATCTTTTATTCCATATCAAACAGACACACAGCAGGGCTTGGCCTTATAGTATTCAAAAGATTATATGTTTTCTAATACGTTAAACAGCATTTTGTGGTCTGATTTGATCACAAGTTACTCTTTCTGTTAGACAAAAAACATGGCTTAATTAGGAAGAAGAACTCCAGCTTTAAATATTATTGCAAGAAGATTAGGAACATGATAAATGTGTACACCTAAAGAGAAAGTGTTCATTGCTCTACACGCATCTGTAATCACTACACACAGCGTTTAAGAGGTTAGATCCCATTGAGGCATTGAGCACTTCTATGGAGCTGTTGTATAGTGAATAAAGAAAAAGAAACAGCAGATAGTCAAACTCATGTGCTTTAAGAAAGACTAAGGTCGGACAGTTTCTCCATCCCATCACCTCTGTGCATTATTTATCAGTCTGAGCCAATAGGAAAGCCATAAAGCAGACAAGAATTAATTAGGTTCAATCAAACTGCAGGAACACACAAGACGCAACGGCAGACAACAGGCTGCACTGCCCTCTGCGAGTCCTCTGAGTCTCCACTGTGTTGGGAATAATGCATTTCAAGATACTGAAACAACCACATCATCACATATCATCTGCTCCTTAAAGTATTAGATAATGCTTCAAAATAACCAAGAGTTGATGTAGATATAGTAAACGGACATTAAGGCTATTTGCTTCTTTATATATATGAACAAATATGCATCTGCTCACTCCATTTACTTTTGAGCCTTGTTGTTTGAGTATCTGCAGCCATCTTTCCAAAGTAATACATTAAAATACCACTGACCCATGTGGTGTTCTGAATTCAAAACCACATTTGAATAGCTCATTCACTTATTTCATCTTGTTAAACCCTGTCTACAGCGAACACAGACTAATAAAATATATTGTGTTGATAATTGGTTTGCTTCGGTAGTCTTTTCCGTATTAATAAAGAAGCCAAACCACCACAGTGCAAATCCGGCCAAATAAAATGACAGGATAGCCCACGGTGGGGACAGTCCGATGTAAATGGGCCAACATTGTGTCCTTGCCTTGTTGGAAGCTGCTCTGATGAAAAGTACTGTGTTTGGCTCAGGTGCTTGTGCTGCCGGCCTCATGTGTAAGAATGGATGTGCTGACTATGAAGAGAGGGGGGTATAGCAGTGCATCAGCAGTGAGGTGAAAGTTTCCACACTATCCTACAAACATGATCAAGCAGCATGGGCAGTTTCATAAGAATTAAAAAATGGGACATACCATGTAGATTGTAGACAGACCATATATACGGTATATTAAGTCTTTGCACCAGGCTTGTGTTGCATAATCACATTTTAGCAGTTGAGGAGCTGTTTAGAATTAGATGATTAAATAATTTAATTAATATTGTAAGCTACATTTAAAAAGTGTACTGGCATAATGAAATGACTGTAAACATAAACATTAAGAAGAGTTTTACAACTTTGTCACAGAAGACATCAGTGCAGTATATAAGTAAGGAGTTGACAGAGAGGTGAAAAGAGGTAATAGACTGCAGACACAAAGCATCGTGAAAATGCAGACATCCAGTGAGGACATCAACCATCTCAACATTCAGATTATCGTTTCTAACCTCCCAGCCCTGATCTATTAACGACCCATGGAGTCATTAACCACAGCCTTCAATGGAAGAAGAAATTACAACTTGTTTGTGTGATTTAAAATAGACAAAGAACAATGCTATGCTTGCATTATTGAAGCTGTGTTGAAGTGTAAACCCTGCTCATGCCGCCTGTAAAGAAGTGAACAAAAGGACTATGGGCATTTTCACACCAGCGCTATGCGCTGAATATCAAAACGTAATGCAGCATTAGCCCAGAGATGGGTCGGCCAGTGTGAGGAGAGAGCTTACCCTCTGCAGCCATCGTGCCCTGGACAATCCATGAAAGCATGATCCCCGCACACAGCAGCCAGCTCCCGGGCCACCTGCTTCTCACACATCTCCTCTTCGGGCTCCGCAAGAAGCATCCACCGCCACGACCCGTCCTCACTCCGGGAGCCATCTCCAGCCGATGAAAAGCTGAACTTTGGCCCGTAAATAATACATTGGATCAGTGTGGGTGCTTCGAGTGGGGATAGCACATAGCGGCTCCCGCGGCTGGCGCGGACAGACGCGGCTCGGCTCAGGCTCCAGCACAGACTACAGACTACAGTCTAACTACAGAGTGCGCTCCTCCACAGATCTGATCCGCCCATCAGCGCGGCGCAGGGACGTTTACGCAGCTGCTCGGCCTGAACTCACATATGATCCCCGTGTCACAGAGAGCTGTTCACAGTCCGGTCATGCGCTGTTTGGGACTCCCACAGCCCACTGCGCAGGTATGCCCTATGGTATCCCCACGCCACGAACATTGGCTTATGTTCATTGCAACACAATCCAAAAGACAAGAGCGAACAGTAGGCCGTTTTGTGCTCGTCGTCAACAACTCTTAACATAATGACATGTTAGCAGTAGAAATCATTTTAGAAGATATTTTCCTGTATTATGACCTTACCCGGCCCTACACGTGCACGACTCAGTCACTGTGTTGGATTTGAATTAGCTATAAGCTGTAGTTTTGGGACATGGCCACTAGATGGCCCCCAAGCCCATTATATTATCCCCGCAAAACGTAGCATCCAATCCATAATGGTGAAAGTGAAGTGGAAAATTTGTTTAATCATTGCCATTGACCTCATGTATACGTTTATTTTCTTCGTTTTCCAGCGCCATCAAACATTTGGCTAAATAAAACCATTACTGGGACTTGCATTTAATCCACTGCTCTATGCTTCTCAGGCAACCAATCCAGGAGCAGCGCCCAGGGTCTCCAGATGTTGGTGCTCAGCTTGATCAGGACCATCGCTGGAGGATATTCTTATGGCGCATGTTTTGGGTGATGGGTGATGGGGGGTGTGACACATACTGTACAAACTCGACTCGAGTATAGCTCAGTCAAGCCTGCAGGATTACAGTCAATGGATTGAACCGAAACCTTCCTGCTACCACCCACTCAGCCAACCAGAACTTATATAGATACACGCACAAGAAAGAGTCGTAAATATTTGCATCAACAGATTTTTTTTAATTCAAAGTGGATTTTAACAATACACCATAAAGTCTAATTTTGACACTCACCAAAAGAGTCACCTGGAAAACCCGCTTAATGTGACAAAGTAGAGAAGGCTTGGTCACCTAAATCACTGAGAACTAGAGGAAACACTATGCAAACTGTAGAGACATCACATCCATTGAGTTAGTTTTCCCAGTCGTCATACTGTAAATATTGCACAGTGCAATTGCTACATGGCAAAACTAGTGTAGCACAAAAGAAAAGCTAATGGAACAAAACAAAGCCACAAAAAAAAAATCTACATTGAAACAGTAATAGTTTAAATCGTATAATCAAGTCTATTTGAGAGCAATCTTAAATGATTCTATAACTTGCAGTATGAGTCAACTCTGAACATAATACAAATCACCAATAATAACAGCCAAAGAACTCAAAAACACAGTAGCTTTTTTTTACAAATACAGGCCCTGAATTAACATTTGTACATGAAACATAAAAGGTTTTATTTTGGGGAAAGAAGAAAAGAAAAAGGTTTCATCTGTTAAATGTTATGTTAAGTCCCCATTACTTTAATACATGGGAGAAAAGCAAGACTCCAAACAGTCATTTCAGCACATTAAACCTCTCGTCCAAGACTTTGCGTAAACAATCCTTCATTATAATAAACGCAAAGGGCCTTGAAAAGCCTTTTCTTAATTGCCTTGACAGAGATTATGCAGGTGTTGCTGGTGAAAACTTAAAAACGGTTCAGTAGATCTTCATAGTCAACAAATGTCATAATGAGAGATCACATGTTCACTCCATTCAATTTAAAAAGAGAAATTAACCTGTTGCGGTCAGTGCCGTAAGTGTTGAAGTGAAACAGAGCAGGTTTACAGGTTGAATGAAAGAAAATATCATTTAAGAACACTTGGTGGTGCTATGACGGCACAAAAGTATTGCATCGGTTGAGCCAAAGATACCGTCTGAAGATTGAGCGACATTATCAATCACGCTTAAATGTGTACGGAGCTCTTATTTTTAAATCAAAATTTCAGTGTTTACGCGCAAGTAACATCTTCAACTTCAACCATTTTCACCTTACTGTAGCTGTAAAGAACAAATCAACTGTTTTGACCACAATGTTAACTTTATAAATTTCCATAATCTCAAGGCACAAACACAGTGCTGCTCACACTGTCCATTTCTGAAAGTAACATGTTACAATAGCCACAATTCTTGCATATGATATGACACTCATAAAGGGGAGAGCAGTAGGAAAGCAAGGCAGTTCAGCAATAGAGAACAAAACCAGCATAACATTAAACAGATTTCTTTTAAAATAACATCAAATCATTTAACAGTTATAATCCATTATAAACAACCATTTCATATTTCCATTACTTGGACAGTACAAGGTGCCGCTTATGAATGTTGGGTGAATATGTTGCTTTTTGAGGCGGGAAAAAAAAAATATATTAAAGGTGAGATCAGCCACTTAAATTGCATTTTATTTTTTTAAAGCTTGTATATTTCTGACCATCACCCCGTACTATTTATATCATTCAACAATATTATATCTAGAACAGTCCCTCCCCTTGGTATAACTATGACCAGTAAGATTTTCTGAAGGAGAATAGTTCAACCAATGACAACTAGCCCTCACAGATTGAGTAACATTGACCAATCAGGAAGCTGTAGGGGTGAGAATGGGCGGGTCTAACCAGTGCTGGTCTTCAAAAGGTTTCACTCTTTTAACAATTTGAAAAGTGACTGACATCTACTTTAATCAAAGGGAGATCAAAGCACTGATGTACCATTATATAAAAAGAGCACTGACTTGAAACATGAACCAATACAAAAGTTAAATCAATCCTGCAAGCTATAGCTTTAGACGATTACAAACCCTATAATGAAAACGTACAAAAAAATAAGTTACATCAATACATCTGATGTGCAGAGATGTGCCCAAAAGTTAATAAGGATAAAATACTGACGCACCCCAAGAAACAACAATTCCAACAAATGTTCATCATCAGTAATACAGTAGTTACAAAGACATTCCAAATAAAAACACTAAACGCTAGACACAAAATCAAACCACTTTATAATTGGGGACTTTTACAAAAAATAGCGACGCCAGGTTAAAAATCACCTAATTTCACAGATATTGAAGTGGCAAATATCATATAGCAGCTCATCTATGATACATTCACGAAAGAAATGATACGACTTACAAATTGCCCATTAAGCTAGACAAAACCTTTTCTATCTTTACATAAAGTTTTTGTTTATTTTTATATAACCCCATTTTGTGACTACAGGACAACCGAGGTCGATGCAAACAGTAGCTACCTTGCTTTAGGAAATGAGACACAGTCTTTGGTGCTGCACAACAACTTCATTTGAAAATAAAGACGACACGATAACTCACAGAACTAGCCATCTGAACAAAAGAAACGCACAAATACATATATATTTATAATGGAGCAACCAACATAAATATATATATTTGTATGTATCCTCCCTGACGGAATGTAGAAAATAAGCAGTTGACAAGTAAGTTTTTAGCATTTAAAAGATAATATCATGTAAAGGGAAATTTACCGTTGTCACACATGCATAAATGAGATTGCACACCATTAACTCACACTTTGTCAAGCATCTGCACTTATAGCCTAGCTCTATAATATATGTTCATATACCAGTCTATATGAAATACTGCATGGTTTGCTCAGTATTCCATACTGTGAATTTATTTGCATGTTTCCTTACCTAATCAAAGCCATGCCCACCACACTTCTAAACATCTATAAAACAAAGTGAACATATAGAACAAAAATATGACAAAACATAACTAAAATTTAGATTGTATTGCAGTTTCAAACAGTACAAATACTGTTAGTAATAAGAGTTCCACTAAATATAAAGTGATTATCAAATATTAATCAATACTTGTACACTAGTTCATTCAGGATGGATCCTAAAACAATTCTAATGAAAGAGCAAGCATTTGCAACAGCAAAGCATGCCGTTCTTCTTGAGAAAACAAAATTCACCACACAAAATACACAAACTCCAAAGAATACGCACCGCCCTCAGCGACGCCTCACATCCATGCAGGCTATGCATGGACATATACACAGGTGCATATATATACTCACACATAGGATGCATTGAGTGATTGGAATTTCAAGTGCTGCAGTCAGTACATTAATATTCATGTTATAGTCATATATAAGTAGTAACATTAACAACCTCAAATAAGTAAGGCACTATGGCTGGGGACACTTATACAATGCAGCGAGTCTTGTAACACAAACAATTGGAGCATGTCTATGATTCTTCCTGTGTACATTTTTGCTCATGCAAGACCACATGCAGCGTGAGGAATATCCCTATATAAATTGGTTAACTGACTTAACATTGTGAACACCTAAAGACACCAAGAAAGTACAAATACTTTGAAAGCGATACAACATACACTGGACGACATGTGCATTTGTCAACCTAGAGCTAAAGACTGGGATGGCTTTACAAATATGGATGTGTCTTGCACACATAAGAAGGCATTATAGAAAAATAGCTGGGATCAGGGGTGCAAAGTCCAACTATTGCACACCATCCCAATTATTTACCTGTTTGAAGGAGTTTTCATATAAGATCCAATGCAAAGGTATATCAAATGTGCAAAACACATTAAGTGTGAGTTTTAATATTCATTCAGCCTTTCATTTAGTCATTCATTCATTATTTCCTTCAGAATTTTTGCCAAAATCCTCCACCAGTAAAACGTATGTTTTAAAGCTTGAAGTTCAATACAACCAAATCTACATGATTCAAAAATAGCCATCCGTGGTTGTGCCATGGTTTTGTCAGGAAAACCATGTTCTTGTGGTTTATGGGTTGAGATATGCTCTGCTTGTGTAGCCCTATTGTGGTATGAAGGATCCTGTGGAGCTTAGATATAGGGGTACTGGTTTATTTTGGTGGGGCTGAGGGGGAAGCTGGCGTAAGCAGGCGAGGCGATGTAGGAGTGCGGGGGAAAGAGTGGCTTGAACTGCCCTGGGGCGTGCAAGGTGGGCGAGGGCAGCAGCCGTGGGTTGAGTCCCACTGTAACCTGATGGACGATGCCTGCAGGGTGGGAGAGGCCGAATGTGGACTGGAGCACTGGTCGTGAAGCCCCAGCAGAAGCCAGTAAGTGGGCGACTGGTGCAGCTGTGACCAGAGGGGCAGAAGGAGGGTAGGGCAGGAGGGTGGGCTGAGAGTGAGGGTGACCACCAATGTGTGGATGTGGAGCAGAGGCGTGGCTGGGGCTGCTGTGGGAGAGGGTGAAAGTATGTCCATGTATAGTGGGAGGTATGAAGGCCTGCGGTCTGCGGTGTGTAAAGTTGCCATTCCATTCTTGACACGAGCCAAAATGCTGAACCTGCAGAGGAGGAAAATAATTTAAGATGTGACCACTGGATGGCAGCGTTTTTCATTTACAAAGGATATCAAAATGTTAAAATGAAAGAAAAATGTGATATGCAATAGGTTGCGTTCATGTTTTGGAATTATATTTCAGTTAGAGGAAAACAAGCATTTTTTGCAAGAAATGTTAAAAAAAAAAATGCCCAAATGTCTGCCCAGATTATTTGATTGTTATTAGATTCACAAACACATGTTCTTCTGTCTGAAAGTCCTTTCTACTGGCCAACATCAGACATTCACTCTATGAATATTGTCTCCACTTCTGGACACCTTTATGAGAAAATAATTAGATCATTGTTAAAAAAGAAGACGTGGAACTGTCTGACACTTTTTGCTTGATGTTCAGAGATATAAGCTCTAAACTAAGACATTTGCCACTTACCAGAGCTATCCTCATCACCAAACTATGAAATGTAGTGATTTTTTTATTTATTTGATAGGGACAAGTGTATACAATCAACATGTAAAACACTACATTTATAGCAAAGACTAATTTGCAATCTCCATGCCTCGAAGGGCTTTTAGCACAAACGCAACCTATTCAAAATTAAGTCCATTTCAATGAATACAATTTTGGATCTGAGAATTGCCCACCTGTCCAAAACCAATGGGCTGCTGCTGCTGGGTCTGGAATGAGGGGGTTATTTTCTGCGGCCGGTTGAGACGAGGCGTGGATTGGTGGTGATGCCGCCCTGGAATGCCTCGCCCTTTGAACCGGGACGATGACTCTAAAAAATGTAACAGAGATAGTGCTTCAAAATTGATGGCTTAAAAAAAAAAATCTCACTAGCTACGACAGCTAAATTTGACAGTGCATGTATATTTGTGGCACTTCAAGCTGTGCCTGAGGGTCAAACATAGCCATTCAGGAGTTTACATCTGACACAAGGCTTCAGGGATGTTTATGCATAAACTCTAAGGTTGACTAACTGAATGAAGTTAAAAGACCAACGATGTAATTCCTCAAAACTTCAAGAAGTAACTTTCTGCAGAACAGGAATTATGTTTGACCCCAAGTCCGCAAACACACTTTATTTTTGTCAGTTTTTGTAGAGGTGTTTAAGATTTTGCACAGCTGCAATAGACGCTGTAGGCTTGAGAGTTTTCATGCCTGTTTGTGGTTTGCGCCATTTAAATATAGTGCCATGTGTCCTTCCAATCTGATCCCAAGTGCTATGATTAGACACTGATGCCATCTCATGAGTACAGACATTGGCTTTAGTTTCAACAGTGTTTAAACATGGGCTGGGCTCAAATATTGATACAAGACATATATACTGTAATGTAATATATATATATATATATATATATATATTAGGGCCGGGACTTTAACGCGTTAATTAAGATTAATTAACGCCACAAAAATTAGCGCGTTAAAAAAATTGACGCATTTTAATCGTATTGTGTTTTTTGCACCGCGGATTGTTCCTCACTGGATCAGTTTCAGACAGACCGATTATACTGGAGCGCCAACTGAGCTTTGTGACCTTTTTTTGTTCAAAAGTAGATTATTACAAGCATAGGCCTACTTTAGCTGTGTCTCAATCCGAGTGAGTTAGAGATGGGAAAGAGCGCTGTGTATGGAGCGATGGACTGTGTGTGAGGAGGAGGAGCAGCAACTTTTGAGTGTGAGAGAAGGAGGCGGAGGAGGTGAAGGAGGAGTAGCGAGACACAGGTGTGAGCTGCTATTGCTGATGTCCAAATGCACGTATCAAAAACGTATTACTAAAAGCTTTAGCAAACAGCACATGTCCAGCTTTAGTGTTCACTGAGAGTGCAGTGGATTTTGGGCATAAAAGCGTCTGTTTTTGTCAGAGTGTGCGGAGGCGATGACAGAACCGTTATTGAATGGAAAGAAGTCCGTCTGATCCCCTCATCATCCACAATGAACATGTGTTGCTTTAGCTTATGTATTATTCAATGGTAAACTAAAAATCCATGTGAAAAAAAACACTTCTCACTGTTCTCAGGTCAAATATTTATATGCAATTAAAATGCAATTAATTACGATTAATTAATTACAAAGCCTCTAATTAATTAGATAAAAAATGTATCGAGTCCCAGCCCTAATATATATATAATATATTTCAACATTTTGTTTGACTGCTTTTGTGCTATAGTCCAATATCAACATTTCCAGACCCAATGAAGGCTTGCAATTTATTATGTGCTACCATGGCATGTTATACCTTTTTTTGTGCTGAGGAATACAACCACATAATTCATTTTACTCTAATCACTTTACCAAAAACTATTACTCTAAAATAAATCTCTAAACATTGGCATAACTTTACTCATTTTGTTCAGACAAAACTACCAAAGAATAGCCAATCCTTTATTCTTATGCTCACTAGAATGCTCACATGTTACTCTTATGGCGCAAAGCATCATGAAAACAGCATGACCATAGACCTACTTCACAAGACCAGGGGGCCGAGAGCTAGCCAAAATGCTATTCTTAAGCTATTTTTCAGGCCTCCATTACGTGAGGGTACGCCAATGAACACGAGCTATTGAAACGGGAGCTAGAGTGGAAACCCTGGGTTTGAGCTCAGGACAGAGATCCAGACCTTCATGTATTTGAATATTTATGTGAAATTGTGTGGCTCTAGCTGGTCGGGCCATTTCACTTCACTGTGGGTCTCTTACCTCTACAGTAAAAAAGCACACCCAGCACACAGCAAAAAAACACACCAATATGTGTGAGATGATTTATGTTTGGTTGAATTAAATTGAATTATGTAATTCTGTGTTTTTAACGCCTCTGAATTTCACGCTCACACAGAAAAAGAGGTAGTATAGACCAAGGGATGACAGCAAACAAAAGTTCACACCAGAGATCTCTGCAAATGTGTCAGCCAGGTCAACCATAATCACCTGTGAGAACCTCTGTGGCCTAATGCAGGATAATCTCTTGCCATGTGACCTACAAAGCAGACAGCAGCAGTGGTGACGAGACCTTTGAGCTTACACAGCACCTTGGGCAAGGTCTGAGGTTCTGCTGCATCAATGTGACATATGGAATCGAAAAACACATAATGAAATGCATACCTGTGTTCGAAGAAGTGCTGCTGTTCTGCATTCTCATTGGTGGCACAGCAACAGTACGAATTTGAGGCTTACTGGGTTCCGTTTCTGGGGCAACACAGGCAACACGTGGCTCACAGTTTTGGTTGGCCTCAGCTATGAAGGTCTGTTCAGGAAAGGGGTCGTTTTCGTGACCAGTAACAGACGTGAGTGTGCGGTCCACTGGGTCACATCCACTCTCTTGTTCATCTTCTGACATGCTACAATAAAACAAACCAAAGACTACATTTAGTTCACATAAAGCTCAATACTTGCTTTTCTGCTTTTTCTCAGGCCTCTTGCCTGTTTGAATGTTTGCAGGGCGAGACACTGGAGTGGCTTGACGAACTGGTGCTGAGTGTGCTGTCTGGACTACTGAGTGAGCACACCCTCTCCATATCCACCGTACTTTGACAGGCCTCACAATCTGTGGTACCTTCACATCTGTATCAATGAAAGAAAAAAACAATTATTGAATGAAGCCAGTATCCATGGCCTTGCATCTGCCTGTGTCCAGAGTCAGGAATAAACATGTAGAGATTTATGAAGCTACAATCAGGGGATGTGATACAGGCTTCCACTCTGACAATGCTAAAGTGTTGGTTGAAAAAATCTTTATCTTTTCAACCAACACTTTAGCATTGTTACTGTCACCAATAACAGAAATCCAATAATACATTCCTAAAATTATTGGTTTTGAGTCAATATTGATTGACTGATTTAATGAAATATGTTTAAATGAAAAATTAAAAAATTAAAGTCCGGTGTTGTATATCAGGTACAAAGCAGTGTGTATTCCTTTTTTCCATTCTTGTCTTGCAAAGCACATGTATGAATTTTTGCAATGAAAAAAAAAACTAAAAAATGTGTTAATTTATCACAATAAATGAGTGAACTAGATGTAGCAATCACTTACTCTCCAACTGAGTGCCTTTGCGAGGTGTCCTCCTCATCGCTGCTGATGCTGATGATGCTGACCGTTGGGCTGGTCAGGTCGGACATGACGACAGCCGCCCTCTGCTCTTGGGACCTCGAGCGCTCTGGACAGTGAGGCTCCAGTCTACAGCAGTTGCCTCCGCGCTCCTCTGCTTGCGCTCTGCCGTGGCGCTCTCCCACAGTTTGGCCTTTAACCACACATCTGGACTGCTCCTCCTCCACTTCTTGGACATTCTTTGCTGTATCGGCCATCTTTGGGGATTGGCATTCAATATTTTGGATGTTTGTGTTTTGGGAAATGTTGCTGCCCCTTTGAAGAAAATACATTCAAACATGAATTACACATTTAAAAGTATAAGAGACCTCGATGGGCATAGAATAGGTTACATCCCAATAATGAAAACATAGGCATGATGTTGGCCAGTAGAAAAAACTTTTAGACATAGGTATATGTCAGGTTTGTGTTTTGTTTCCAAAAATTTTCCCATTAAATTGTATTGACATTTTCCCTCCAACTGAACAAGAATTCTAGAACCTAAACGCAACCAATTAAAAGGTATATGGAAGGACTTTTCTTCTTCCAAGTGGATCATATGGATTCTGGACTATTGGTCCTCTGGTGATATGCCAGACACTTTTTAATAGGTGTTCCCTCTGATGAGGTGGCTCTTTCCTAAAATTCGGGAAAATCCCCCTATATACCTTTTAAGTAGAGAGATTGGATGTAGCAACTTTGTACATAATTAAAAGGGGCCAGTCAAATAAACTGTTGCATGTTTAACTTACCTGTGACCAGAGGGCTTTGCTCTTTTGTTGGCAGCAGGCTGTGGCCACACCACGTGTGCGATACCAATGTTGATTGGCTGGTGGGTGGGCATTGTCATTTGGTTGGTTAAGAATGGCTGAGAGTGGGCAATCATAGAGCTGTAGTGGTTGCCATGGGGATGCACTTTTCTGATTCAAGAAAAAGAAAAAACTTTGAGCCAAAAGCCTTCAGCACATTGGTGTATTTACAGCACTGCTGTTCATTAATACAGCTAATGGCTAAGTTCCATTTGTAGACACTGAGATTTCATAACACTTTGAAGCAACTGTGGTTAAAGTTCAAACTCATTCAGTACTTTTCCACAGCATGTTTTGTCTATATGAAGGCCAAGCTACTGGCATCGCGGCAAAAGCTGATTGGACGGTGTTCATTCCTCCATGCTATATTATCACTTGCAGTCTGTAACATCCTTTGTTCGTGCTCTTGTTCATGCTGTACCATCAACAATAAAACATGTCTTCAGTCTGAATTAAAGACAAGATCCCAGACTTTGTCATCTTCTTCAAGGCAGATACACACACTCATTCATCCTGAACTATTGTACTGAGTTTTTAGTTGTAGCTGAAACCGGAGCACCTGGAGGAAACATACGCAGAAACAGGGAGAACATGCAAACTCCACACAGAAAAAGCCTCATCTGGTGGAGTGCTAACCACTGTTCTGCCACATGAAGACAAAATGATCCTCATCAGTGATACCAAAGGACGCGTATGAGTCATCAGTCATTAATATTCTGAAGTGAAGGCACAGGTTGGAGCAGTGAAGCTAGACTGCGTACAGCAGCGATACATACTAAAGTATCTTGGAAACCATCGACTGGGTTATAAAAGTGAACATAAGCATTAGGGATGTACCGATCCAGATTTTTAGTAATCCAATTCCGAGATTCTAAATATTGTTTTGCCGATACCGATCCGATACAATGTTTTCTAATATTTTCACAGCATCAAAGATTTTGCATTTTTACCTGAATAAATATGTTTGTCGTGTCGGCTAACACACGTTAGAAGCCTTGTTTTCAGTCACGGGGAATGAGGCCCGAGGAATATGTTCACAAGCAGTCTCCCTCATAGTTAGTACTGGTGAAATCCTGGTTTAGTTCTGGTTTATCTCGTGTTTTGTGTCCCCATGACGGCTCCGTGCAGCCGCGCTCTGATAGCCGCACGGAGGAAAAAGTTCATCACTTGCTTTCGCCGCCCGCATGCATCGGGTCTCTGTGTCCACTGCCTCTCCCGCACATGCTATGCCTCGCACGGACATGCATAACCACTGACACGGCATTGAAAAAAAATCTTTAGTTTCGTGTACGCTACGCATTGTGCGTTTGTTGTTAATGCATTTCACAGAAAAGTTTTGCGGTTGACGCTTGGCTGTGATAGGTTGAGAAGCCTCTGCCTACAGCCCCCAGAATGCCGCGCGCTTCTGACTCGGCTTTACTTCCTGTGTTTTCGTCCCGTTTTTTCTAACAGATTAATGTTCTAACATTCTATCGACCCCGTTTTCTATTGATATCGAACACGTGTCTATTGCAATATATCTTGTTGTCGTTTTCTCGCACAGCCCTAGTTTTACGTTGTATTTAGTTTACGGCAGCCGTAAAGCGTGAGCATGCTGAAAAGTTACGTAAATCGGCTTCATATTTAACAAATCCGATATTATACGATCCTTACAAAATACCCATATCGGCCCCCGAAAACCCAATACCGGATCGGTACATCCCTAATAAGCATTGATCAAACTCTACTTGTTCATGTGTTTATATTGCTCCAATGTGTGGATCTTACCCCCAGTCTCCCAGTCTTTGTGAGCCGGCCACAGTGTCCGAGGCTAAAGAGCCAGGGGGGGGAGGTACTGATGTCACCTGCTGCCACGTGGGCATCAAGAGCTGCTGCCCACGGCTGGACCAAGCCTAAGCAAAGATCACATATGTTAAAAAGTTAGCAATACCATACAGTGATTTGCAAAAATGTGGGCACCTCTATCATTTTCCTTTATTAACCAGTAGTTAGTCCTCCTATATGGATATATTTAACTGAAATGTCAAGGCCAAACCAAAATATTTGAGAAGTGAAATACTGTCCACATCATTTACATGAATTGCGCAAATTGATTTAACAGTGTTAGAGACGTTATCTTGTTAAAAGATCCACCCTTAACGTAACTTCAACTTTGTCACTGATTCCAGGACATTGTCCTCCAGAATCTGCTGATATTGAGTAGAATCCATGTGCCCCTCAACTTAAACAATATTTCCAGTGCCTGCACTGGAGACACAACCTCACAACGTGATGGAGCCACCATGTTTTTTCTTGGAGTGCCGTGTTCTTTTACCTAACTGCATAATGCCCTTGTTTTGCAAAAATAACTATTTGTTAAGTTTCATCAGTCCACAGCACCTTTTTCCAATATAAGGCTGGCTTGTCCAAATGTGCTTTAGCATACATAAAGCAGCATGGATTGGTCTGTCAGACTAAAGGCTTTTTCCATTCCTACAGCATCTCCTTGTGTAAAGTGTGCAGAATACTTGAACGATACACAGTATCGTTGACTGACTCTGACTGTTCTCACCATACTGCACCTTTGCATATCTGAGATTTTTCTAGGTCTGCCACTTAAAGCCTTAACTAGAACTGTGCCTGTGGTCTTCCAGATCCACACACTGTTTCTCACAATTGAAACCGAAAGCTTAAATCTCTGATTGTATCATTCCCCTAAACCAGAGGTGTCCAAACCGGTTCAGAAAGGGCCACTGTGGCTGCAGGGTTTCTATCAGACCCAGCAGGAGCAGAGCAGACTCCACCCACTTCCTCAAGTAAATTCATTCTTAACCTGAAGATTTGAGGAAATGGGAGGAGTCTGCTCTACTCCTGCTGGGTCTGATAGAAAACTTACAGCCATAAGTCATAACACCATGACGTGGAACAATCTTTGTTTTTAATTAATTTGAGAGTTGTTTTGAGGCTCCCATGTTGCCACTCTTCAGAGAAGATGCAAAGAGAGGATTCACCTAGACTTGGCCTTAAGTCTCCTTTCTCATGATTGGATTCACCTGTGTATGGAGGTCAAGGGTCACTGAGGTTACAAACAAATTTTTGAGATCCAATTATTAGTGCTAAAGGTATTGAAATAAAAAAGACATTTATGCACATGTTTCTCATCAAAAAAACCAATGATTTTTTAAAGAAAAATCAAAAAAATGTATAGGGGTACCCAAATTATATAAATATATCACTTTATAGAAGAATCAAATGAAAGTCACCTGTGTAATGACTCCAGGTCTGATTTGCAGCGGCTGTATAGGAGGAGCTTGAGTGACGAGAGGCACAGAAGCTTCCATTCGAACAGGATAACCTGTTGGTTTAGCTGTGTTTGGGGATATCGGCAAGAATGGTAAATCAACAGAATGATCACTATAAGATATTGTATGTACTTTACCTTGAATTGTAGGTGGACAGAGGATGAGAGCCTGCTGAAAGGAGTCATTGCACCCAAACTGTGAATTCCCTGTTTGGAGGGAAATCGCAGGATGAATAACTGACGCAGCGGATGGAGCCAAACCCTAAAAACAAAAATGCAAATGAAATCAGACATATATAAAAGCTAATTCATAAACAAGCAGAACGTACACAAGTAAACCTTTGTGTGAGACTGAGCACAGCTTAAATTGTTTTAACATATTTTAATAATTAATTGCTCCACTGTATTTCTTATTGTCATGTCTTTGTACACAATGTATGTGGTATCTGCCAGAGCACAATCCCAGTGTCAATCTGAGGATATAATTTGAGAAATCTGTAGATGTAATTTATGCACAACATACATAAATGAAAAAAATGTCAAAACATGTCAAATCTGTAATTGTGATAGCGATGGAATATTTGGACCTTTTGAGAATATGGAAGATATAAATCACATGCAAGCACACCACACCGCGTTTATTTTTCTCCTGTGTGAGATCAAAAGTATAAAGTATATCTCACCTCATCTTATTTATGCTCAATTTTTTGTTTGATATTCTATTTTGTGCTTGTAAGGAGGGCCTTAAATTGAATTCTGACCAATGAGTAAACAGTGCAGTTTATACTGCTCTACTTATCCCGCCTAAGCAACGATGCTTTGCTCAGTTGCCATGACCTGAGCAGCATGACGCAATGTAGTTGCCATGACAGCAGAGGTAAGATGCAATGAGACGATCAAAATACAAGAAAGCGGTAAAGCGAACGAGACCCTACCCCTTGATCGAGCAGCACTTACTTGGGCATGCAGACTGCTCAGCTTAGGTCTCAAGAAAGGACCTTTGTTTCTGTTCAAATCGTATGCTCCAGGACGAGCCCAGCAGATATCCATGATATGAAAACATGATTTTACACTGGAAGAAGAAAATAAGTCAACTGTTGCCAATCGTAAAACGGGATAATGAGAGACTCCATAAATTAAAAAACTAACTGGTTGCTGTGGGGAAAGTCAAGCAGGTGTTGCATTGTCACAAAAGGGTGGTTCAGCGCTTCAGCAGGGACTATCCTTTCCTCAGCATCAATCAACAGCATCTTTTTCAATAAGTTTACAAACTCCAGACGATCAGCTTTCTCTGCCAGTAAATCACAACCTTCCAGATTCATCACCAAGTTCACCTGCAAATAAAAACCATAATTGTTAAATCAAAGTCAGCAAGAATGTACTGATATCAATCCTATTCAAATCCTTATCATTCTTCACTTACATGCACTATGTCATCTAAACAGCTGAATATGTACTTCCTGGCTTCTTTAGATTTCATCCCGGTCTCCGACTCATGGTCATCTGTAGACTACAAAAGGCAAAAACTGTTTATGTGAAGTCCTTCAACATCTGTAAAAACGAGTATCTCATGTTTTACCTTCAATCTCCAGGCTGCATAAGGGGAGTCTGACTCCTTGCAAAAGAACCGTGCAGTCTTTGTCCCTGTGTTCAGTAAATGCTCCCCGGGTAACCCTTGAGTCTGGGAGATGTAGCGAATCTAATAACATGAAAAGAGCAGACATTCAGTATTTCATTACACGATTCTGATAAAAAATGTACCAGTGGTTCTTAAGACATCTTTCAGAGCCTGCTGGTACGTTATGTATCTCAATAGAAGTGACACAATACATTACAATGCATATTTGTATACCGGAGACTTAAACACAAAAAAATGATTGAATCATGTTCAGAATCCCCCAAGTGGCATCTGATCAGTGTTCTCCCCGTTTGAGCAGTGAGTTTGGGCAGATAGCAAAGTCTTGGTCAATTTGCAGTGGTGCCATCCTCTTTTCATTGACTATATAGTTTAGTAACAATACTCTCAGAACAGTTATAAATATACAAAGAGTAGATTGCAAACATGGCTCTATTAAATTGTTGGAGCAAGGTATGCGCTATGAATAGTTGTGCAAGCCCCACTTGCTTGTACTTGCTTGTTATAATCAAATAATTTATTATTTTGCTCTCACTTCATAGTTGTCTATCACTTGTGGGTGAACTTTCAGTAAAGAAACCTATATAAAAATCGCAAAATGACAAAATGTGCAAAGCTCTAAGGTGTATTACTACTTTTGGGAGGAACTTTGATCTAGAGTACAGACCAAAAGTCTGTACCGCAAAATGTGCTACTTTGAAGAACCTAGAATATAAAACATTTTTTCAGTTGTTTCATACTTTTTTTAAAAGTATGTACATAATTCCTCATGAGTTAATTCATAGTTCTGATGCCTTCAGTGTGAAGTCATTCAAAAACTCTTTGAATGAGAAGGTATGTCCAAACTTTTGGTCTGTACTGTATGATAAATCAAAATAAATAAACACCATTACATAATAAAAAAATCTGTCGTTGAATTGAAATTCATCTAAAAATCTATTGTTTTAGCACAGTCTGAGAAGATATTAGGGGTCTTTGAAAATATTGTGTTGGGGATATTGTACAATATAATCTTGAATTTGAATTGTACACATTTATTTTGAGAAAAAATTTTCAAAGCATAGTTTTGCTTATACTGCACTTACACCTCCGCTCACTAAGACACTAGAGAAACTAGTTTAGAGAGGATAGAACTGACATAATTGCCACTGGAATCCAAAGACAAAAACTAAGCCGGAGGTAGTCCTTTAGAACACAAGTTTAAACACACACTATACGTTTGTGTGCAGTTGTACTGTTTCTAAAAAACCCTAAACCCATTGCAGCTAAACTAAAACAGAATTACAACATTTGTGTGGGTGGGTTCCTTTTTACTACTGGGAAATCCCATATTTTCCCTGGGCAAGTGAGCTGTAATTACGCCAGTGACTGGTGTGCCTTCTCCAGGAGCTGAGAGGATGTGGAAACTGCCTCATGACAGTGGAACATGAGTGACCTACACAATTCACACTATGGAAACATTCTGCAGTTTTTTCCCTCCACAGTTGTATGACTGTTAAAGTCAAAAGTAAGAAAATATGACTATAACTAAAAAATATTAAGTGGCTTGTTCTAAAAACTCCCCCCTATAAATTTAAAGACCTTATGACGGGTTTGATTTATTTAGAAATACAGTTTTAATACCATTTTATATTAGAAGAGAACTACTAAAGGTTTCAAAATCAGTTGTTTTTTTTTGTCTGATCCCCCCAAATTGAAATAACCCCATAGAAACGCCCTTAGAAACGAAAAAACTTCACAGCCCTTGGTGACGTCATAACGGGTACGTTTCAACGCTGTAAGTTGTTTACAATTTGGTATTCGTTCTTTTTTCGCGGATATTCAAGATGACAAGGCGGTGTACAGCGAGTCTAAGATAACTACTAGATGGTAACATTTCATTGGCACTTAGATAGTCCAGTGGTTGTGTCGATGGACTGCCAATCCAGACACTGGGGTTCAAATCCCACCTCAGACACTTTTTCACTCTCAAAACGGCAATTTATGTGTAGTGAGCAATTGTCACCTGAAGAGGGCAGTATTGTGTTGGGCATCAGTGGAGAGAAGAGAGAAAAGGCAGTCCTGTGGCATAGATCCATGGTTTTCAATGCATGGGCGTAACCCGCTATGACGTCACACACAGGTTAGAGCATAGACAACTTAAATTCATGAAAAACACGTTCTTTTTATAAAATATAGGATTTTTTTTGCCGGAATCTTTCAAATTGACATTGTCATGCAATTTTGATATCCACTTTTTTTTTTTTTTTTTAACCTGTCATAAGGTCTTTAAGAATTACAGTATAATATAAAATGACGGGGGGGTTTAATAATTAATCACATAAATGCTGTTTAAATTGTGTTTTAAAGCTGGTGGAGTCAAAATTATAAAGGATAAAAGATAAAATAAGCGACATTAGTCAGAGTTATAAATACATTATGCTGCATGGCATGGAATAAGAGCCCGTGTAGTAAGATGAGAAGAGTAGAGGGGCCGCAATGCTCTCATCACACACTGTGGCCCCTGGATGACACCCCACACCAACAATTGACCTCAGCCCAAAACACACAGACAAATGTGTATATACATTTATGATTGTAAATAAGAGTCTGTTCCTAAGTGACAGTACTTTTTAGACATGGAGATCAGTGCTTGTTTCCATTGAAAAATAAAGAGGTAAAAACACAATGCAGAACATTCTCAGTGGGAAAATAGAGGGTTGTATCAAAATATGGAAGGTTATAGCTAAAAGAACATTTCCCTGAAAATAAACATGAGCGAGTCAGGTTTGTGAGTTACCATGGTCTCATACTTAGTTGGGACAGATGTTTTTGCCACTTTTCAGGGCAATAAAAAGCCTATGTTTTAGCTTAAAAATAGCACAAAGGGCATATTTGTTAGCGTTTTTTTTTTTTTTATCCCAATTGAAATCCTTTCATTATTTTTTTTTGAATCCCTTAAAATCCTGTATTTAGACACACTTCATACAATCCCTAAGTTGCCTCATCATTTTTTAGAGTCTGGCTTTGTTGTGGTCTGGTCAAAGCTTAAATTTTGTCATGTCCGTCTCATAACGACCCGGGGTATTATTAATGCACATATGGTCAGGAGGTAGTGTGGCATTACAGTAGACACGGCGCAATCAAAAGGAGATGCTTGGCAGACTGAGCAGATCCAGGGGCTGGGAAAGCCGCTCAAGATAAGCCCAGATCAGTCTGGTCTGGGGACGACACAGGCAGACCCTGAAGGGAAGGGCTGATTTCTACATGCAAGACTTCTTTTTTAACATCGACAGTGAAACATTTCATTCTGGACCAAAAGGAAGTCGTCTGATCTTGTTTTCTGGGTTTTATTAAACTGACTGATTTAAACATTGCGGAAGGAGTATAATATCGTCAAGGAAAACTGTTGTGTTGATGAATGCTTTCCAATTCTCTTTAACCATTAGTTGGAGCCTCGGCCAATTTAGTGAACGCCGTTTTTAAGTAAGATGTGCCATCACGTGATAGATGTTTGCACTGAGGGCAACATAATTTACTAAAAGAGCCACAAATGAGCTGATAATGCTCTTTTACCAGTGAATATGAATAACTAGTCATTATTAGACTCCAATGTAAAGAATATAGTAAAATAAATACTATAAAATGAGTGCTGACCTGATCGTACTCCAGAGCACCAGGATACAGGGGCCAGCCCAAAAACAGCTCAGCTATGACACAGCCCAGTGACCACATGTCTATGGCTTCACAAAAGGGTAATCCCAAAATCACCTCTGGAGCCCTGAAAGAAAGGCAAAGAAATGGACACGTTCAGATGAATTTCCAGGGGGGGGAAAGGCAATGTTTGAGGGTCATTAAAGGAATAGGCCACCGTTTTTACATACCGACATATGTTCTTACCTTACCTTAGACTAGTTGATATGTACCTGTCTGGTCTTTGTCCGTGCGCTCTGTCATGCAAACGGAGCACAAACGCAGCCTCTTCCACATTTGTAACTATACAGTATGTGGAAGAGGCTGCATTTGTGCTCCGTTTGCATGACAGAGCGCACGGACAAAGACCAGACAGTGGCCTATTCCTTTAATATCAAATAGACAAAAAGCAGAATGTGCAACAGTAAATAGCCACACATTTCAATGTGCTCAATGTGAATAGTTTTGTCTCTATACTAGTAGAGCTAATCGGACATGAGATTTCAATGAGGTTCCTGATGCAAGTCATTGATCTTGTTCATGGCCTGGGATTCAGGACAGAAGTAAGTCATCATCAGGTTGGGAGTGGGCACAAGTTTCAAGTATCGATTCATATCTGCTTAATACAATTCTTGCGGCAACTCTGATTACCATCTAAATCATAACAGTTTCAGATATCTGCAATCCTTTAGACATATGTATCATTTAAAGAACTTAGTCATTTCAGTTCAGCGACGGAGTCTGAGGTTAATAGGTCACAGTCTGAATCTGTTATTGAAGAGCAGTCACAACTCTAAGCTTGAGCCAGAATACCGTCTGCATTTCTGCAATACTGGGTCACAGATGCAGGATGGTTGTGGCTTCTTTGCAGCCTTTTTTGTCTTTGCAGAGCTGGGCTCACAATAAAAGGCGCCTCCGCTCAAGCCAGCCCCAATAACATGCTACTTATACCATATGACTTACAGTACATAAAAGAATATGTTGTACTAATACATGTAATCCATACGTTTTAAATGCAAGTATTCATGCTACCAATTCATATTGGTATCAATGTACAAAATGTTAAATTACTGAGGATTCCTTTTAAGATGTTAGCAATGCAACACTCATACTATTTATAACCATCAGACTTCTTGGAAAAGTCATACACAAGTGTCTGTACAAGTGTCACTGATAATTCACTAGTAACTTTGTCACTAGTCACTTTACCTGTTATCAGTACTACTGCATTATTACATATCTGATATTTCTGCCTTTCACCAGTCACTTTACCTGTTGATATTATTTCTGATGTTTATTCTGCTCATATTCATATTCTCATTCTCCGCTGCTAATGTATAATTTAGACATCTGTAAATACTTCGAACCAAGTGCAATTATAGAGTTTATTTTATTTTTATCTTAATTTTATTGTCTATTATCTTAAATAATTTGATGTGTGCAATCTGAGTGCTCTTATTTCCCTTCTCTGCTGTAATGTGCGCAACAATGACACTGAAATTTCTCCACTGTGAGACGAATAAAGGTTTATCTTATCTTACACCAACATGATACAACTTAGTGAGAGACTTCAGTACTACAAAGGGCCTTGTATTTGTGTTAGCCATGTCATTTATAAATAAGGTATAAATAAAAAACATACTCCTGTTTTAGCAGTTGGGTATGAAAACAATAAAGCAAAGTGCCCTCTCCGAACAGATGGAGATTGGAAGACAGGGTCTTTATTTCGTGAGGTGAAGGGGGCAAGGACTCAATGTAAAAAATGTACTAAGAACTATCAGTCTTTATCAAGCTTAATAAAGACACATCCACTCATTTTTATGTGAAGCACAGAGCGCTTTATCAGCACAGGACACATGTTTATGTATCACAACACCTAGTGTGCGTATGCGTGCCACGTTCGCCAGGCACATCTGTGTGGGGTACATTAAAGAGATGAAGGAGAAGGAAGCACCGTGGGAGGAAGAAGACACGAGACGGCAATCCTTTGAAAAAAAATATGATAAAATGTAAAACTTGCACTGTAATATTGTGTTTTCACTGATAGAACTTAGAAGGCTACACACATACATTTTATTTGGGCCAGGTTAAAAAATAAATAAAATAAAAGATGCTTTTCCTAGTGCCATTTATGATGTTAATTATACCGTTACTGTGATACAATTATACTTTGGCAACATTACAAAATGACTTGTTCACGTTCAGAATTGTGATTTTCTTTTTAATATTAACTAATAACAATTCTGATAATTATCCATCATTCTGGAACCCATACACTGGGACACATAAGAGGCCCTTTTCCACGACGGGAGTTAACAGGAATGATGTTCATCATGTGAGCATAAGCCTTGAATCATGATCATTTTGCCCTGCGGGTGTACAATATAAACGAAACATTCTTATCAATGTTAATTTAGAGTACTGTACCAGACTACTTTATGGAATTGAGTGAGTGGAAATAATTTACCATACAAGTTGATTGTAAAGATAGATAACCTTGAATGAGCAAGTGGGAGCATCAGTATTTCAGGCTGCTTACGTGCTTCACCATCTATAGAAGTCAAGGCACGGCGACCAATGTCCCTAGAGCTATTTTGGGCAACCTTCACTTAGCAAAGTCCGCTGGCTCTGCATAGTCCTGTCACTGTCAGTGAGAGTACAGACTAAATATCAACATATCAAAACATTACCGTAACAAAGCTCAGGGTGCAGAATTGTTAAGAAAAGGTGGTCAGGGGAAGTACGTTGAAGGGGTCTTTTTCCATTGAACAATTTTTAGGTCAGGCCTGTGCCGTTTACAGGGACCAACCTCGAAAGAGCCTCCAAGAAGTGGTCCCCTATGGGAAAAGGCACGTGCATAGTTTGGAGTAGAAAAATTCAATGGCACCAGGGGAGCTATAAGAGACAAGCCTGAAAATTAACCATAAACTTGCCTTTTTGCAAAAATGTCACTGGAGACTTCATATTTTTGAATAGCCCTGGTTTGCTCCTCTATGACTTCCAACTAGTAAATTCAGCATCTTAACATGAAGTTTTGCAAATTAAGAATTCAGAAGATCCATTTCTCTATATTTGATTTGATGTATTTGTAAAGTAACTAATGTATAATCAATGTTGTTTTGAAGTGTTTTATTATTTTATCATCAATAATGGCAAATATTGTTAGTCACTCTTTATTTCCAATCCACAGAATTGGTGTCAGTGAGTTTCTCTGATGTATCAAAATAACCTGATAGGACAGAGTTAAAAACAGCTGCAGTGATCGCTTCCTCCTCAGCAAAGTAAATCACTGTGACTGTTCTATTTTCAGACACTTCCTGTTAAACAGAGCATTTATAATAATAAAATAAATTCACTACTCTGTTTCCTAAAGCAGAGAGCTACATAAGTACATAACGACACGTTTTATAGGTTCATAATCAGACAAGGAATTGTTGAAGCAATTTTCAGCAACTGAACAAGCCCTCTAGACAATACATTAAAAAGGACTTCCCTCAACTCATTCCCAAATTGTCACTTTGTGACACAAAGATTTAAACCTATTATTAGTTTGTTCATGTTTTTTACTGGAGGTATTTCTTTAATGTTACTATTATGTTTTCCCTGAGAAATGGTTGAAAAGAGTGATGTCCTTAACTCAACAGAATAATATTCATTACTTTACCCATCATTCAATGTCCTGGTCAAGACATTATGCCTGCCTTAGGTTGAAAGCTTTTAGGATATCTTGATTATACAGGACACACGTAATTGGTAGAACAGGATATTAACCTTGAATATTACAATCTTCATGTGTGTTTTTACCTGTAGTAGCGAGACTGGAGGTACGTGGAGCAGACTGCTTTGGACACATGACTGGCTGAGCCAAAGTCTATGACCTTCACCCTGTAGGGCTGTCTGACTGGGTCCACCAGCATGATGTTTTCAGGCTTGAGATCTGCATGAATCAGACCCATGCTCTTCAGCTTCTTCAAAGCAGTGGCTACCTGTTGTAGTATGGGCCGGATCACCTTCAGAGGCAGCGGGCTGAACTTGTTCTGCTTCAGAAAGTCATAGAGATTCTGCTCGAGCATCTCAAACACCAGACATGTGTGACTGCGGTGCTGGAAGCATTCAAAGGCCCGCACCAAGTTGTGCTCATCCGCATTCTCCCCACTAAGACGAGCCAAGATGCCCACCTCAATCTGGCCCTGTCGTGCATACGATGGGTGGTTCTTCAGGATCTTAACTGCCACTACATCCCCTGTGCCCCGTTTCCAGCACTTCACAACCTGACCAAAAGTGCCACGGCCCAGAAAATCCAGCACTTCATATGTATTCTTCATGGAACATATGACTTCATGTTGTACAACTTGATAGTCCCCATCCACACATCCTCCTCCTCCTGTAGCACCCGGTTTGGGCCCACCTGTGGCCCCCGCACCTGCAGTCCCTACATTCGACGATTGCAACATGGCAGGCAACAATGACAATTCCTCCACAATCTGCATGGTGCTCCCCTGGGTTTCCAGTTCTCCACTTTTACGCTTGAGCCCACATCGATGAGAGCCGTTTAAACCTGCCGAGTCCTCCTCCACCTCCTCCGGACCACCACCTTCACCCCGTCCCCACCCCGCTTCCCCCACCGCTCCACTGCGGCCCCCACCACTTGCAGCGTCCGTCTGCTTCTGTTTCTCCTTGCCCTCCGAGTGGCTTACTTCTCCACCTCGTTTGATGGGAGGGTCTCTGGGCACACCCTGGACCACTACCGTCTGTACAAGGTATTTTTGTCCACCACGCACTTTTACGGCAAACGAAAGGTCTCGGTTCACAAACAGCTGGGCTTGTTTTGTCAGGTTTACAATAGGAAGGGTTCTGCTGTTCAGATAAGTCTGTGGGTGAGCCCTCTCATGGTACACACAGCTGCTGGGCTCGACTTTGAGTTTCTTCACACTAAAGGCACTTGTCTGGGTCTGATATATGTTTGGTGGGTAAACCAAGACTTGTGAGGCCATACCTGCAAAGACATAACCAGTAGTTACTTGATCAGAATTAAATGAAATATCAAACAAGCGGTAATAACCTGTAACCAGTTTCTTCCATTTCAATACCGGAAAAAGGGTGCAAAATTTTCAATGTTTTACTAAGTGAATAACTCAACACAAAACGAGCAGAGCCAAAAGCGAACACACGGGATGCACTGATCATACTGAGAGAATCGATGCCTGATAAGTGCAGGGCAGAGTGGCACCACAGAGAAACCTCTCTATTTAAAAAAGTGCTACAATTTGTTACAAAAGGTTTACGTAAGTATAAAAACTAGAAATTGTTATCAAATACTTTGATTAATATCAAGTGGCCGTGTTGTGGTGGTAGTGGCCAAAGGAACCAAGGGCTTTGTACACACGGTGGTTGAGTGGATAGCACTCTCGCCTCTCAGCAAGAAGGTCCTGGGTTTGAATCCCGGTCAGACCAGGGCCTTTCTGAGCGGAGTTTGCAAATAGCAAATAACTGAATCTGAATGTTCTCCCCATGTCAGCGTAGGTTTCCACCGGGTACTCCAGTTTCCCCTACCACTAAAAATATGTACAATAGGTCTGGCATGCGCCTCCTGTTCGGCGACCCCGCTCCCATCTCTGTGTGGAGTGGGAGGACAAATGCCAAAAAATAACAATTGTAAACCGCTTTGTGACACTGGTGTGTGAAAGGCGGTATATAAATAAAGATTACTTACTTACAATTTAGTAGCAAATATCAAATATTTGAATTAATTTTGAAATGACATTTTTATGTTAAAGCAGTACCATGTCATATTTTGTAATACTGAGAGACATCATCCTTAAACCAATAATTAAGATTCCACGAAGTAGGACGTGACCCAGTCGTCCCTGGTATGGGAATTATGGGGTATGACATCACACAAAAACATTGCTAGGACTGACGGGCTAGGGGCAGCTAAATTCACTGGACAAGAAATAAATAAAACAGGAATGTTAAGTCTAAACATTCTGTGATAGCCCAATGTTCAGAAACTGTCTCAGAATAGATTATAGTTATTTCTGAAATATCATAATCTTTTTAGTTTAATTCAAAACTGCGATAATGGCCTTTGCTGACATACTGAATTTCCAAAACTACAAATGTAACCTCTCAAACCGTAAACAATATGATTGATGTTGTGTTGTTCCCTCATAATGCTGAAGACTCGGCCTCAATACACTGAAGCTTATGAAAAGGCAAATGAAGAGTGTACTGCAACAGAATCCAATATAAAGACTACAGTCATCATTGCCAATAATCTGGAACCTAGCGGCTCGTGCATTGATTGAGTTTGTGGAGAATGACCACCGACATCGAAGAAAACCAGTTCAGTTCCATAAACTATTGTAGACACAGAATCAAATACGACAGTGTCTTCTCCAACATAGAGTCAACACGAGCATTAGCGGCTGCGTAACTGTTTGAAATAAAAGCTATGAATAATACTCAAATCATATCTACAGAAGAATCAGTTAACGCTAAGAACCATTATATGAAATACACATCTCTGGTCTATAGTTTATATTCGCTAGCATCAAGTTTGTAACTATAAGCCAAGTTACGAGTTTGTGCTACGTCACAACTTCAATGTAGTTTATAGAGATGGGATCAACACAAACAAATTATGGAGACTGAGCATTTGCGATGAATTCTTACCTTCACATAGAGGAACTATAAACAAGACCCAGGGCTTCTCTGAACATGTTATGGACTCACAAATCCACACCATGAACAGCTCGCCTGCATTGCTGCCATCTTGTCCGAGACGACAGGAAGGGAGAGCCCGCTCTCGTCAAATCCACCATCTCCCACATTTTAAACATGAGTTACTCCGTCATGGTCTTCTCCGACCACACCACACCGAACCAAGAGAGTATTTACAGTGTTCATGCGTGTCTCAGTCCGTTTAGGGCAGAGTATCCCATGTCAAAGCGGGTTGACGATACCGCGTCTAGACGCGCGACTCCGCAGCCCAGTCACTCTCCAACATGTCTCTGCTGCTCTGGCAGAACAGCGCCAGCGCAATGTTTGTGTGACGAGGCCAGGCCAGACTAATCCCCCACCGATGTCAAGGATCACCGATGGAGAGAGCGGGGAGAGAAGAGGAACCATCCTGATTAGAACCGACTCAGTTTCAAATTCACTTTCATTGACACTTGAAGTAAAACGATAATACAATACTTCCACGACTGTGCAAAGTTAGAAAGTAGCTAGTTAGCCTGCGTTTTGTCTTCAAACTATTAATATTTATTTTTAAATGGGACTTTCAATGTGGATTTTTTTGTAGCTAGAGCGGACTGCCACTTCGCAGTTCAATAAGGATTGTTCAAATATATAGTATATGTGAATTTAATGTGAACTCGTAATAGAAGTACACACAAAACAAGTCACCAACAAGTGTTTTATTCTGAAGAAAAAAGAAAAAAAAGCGGAAGTCTCGTTTGACGCCATTTTGAAAATCAGACTCCATAGAAAAGCTTGTGGTACTGGCCTATCGACCAAAAACTGTACACACAATCTGGCTTTTAGAGACGATGCTGACATTAAAATAGTTTCAAACCACTGCTAAAACGTCGTTATTTGAACGTTTGTGTGATTTATATATCTTTTCACCCAGATCACTCCTGCAGCCATGACCAGCGAAGCAGCAGCCGATCAGGTAGTTCACCTACACGCAGTACTGCATGGCAAGCTAACAATACCATGAGATTTTTTTTTTCCTTTTACGCAAGATGGACATCTTATTAAAATACTATTATCATTGCAGTAAATGTTATTCTTGGGGGGAAACAATGGGTTATTGGATAATGCATGGCCGAGAGTATAGTGATAGTAGGATAGTAAACAACAGATAAAGAGCCGCATTGCAAACTTGCAGTAATGCTACATAGCATTAGCCCTTTGGAGTTTTCACTCTGCAATCTTTGGTGATGCACACTTATTATTCTGTAAATGTAATTCTTAATTTTAATACGGTTCAAGCTGTTATATCCACTTACTCTTGCGTCTTGGATGTAATGGCTTAAAATAAAAAATAAATGCGTTAACCCTAAACTGTTATTTTGATTTTGTTCTACAGTGATCTGTTTCTTGTTTTATAGTGATGTATGCCGTCAATACATTATGTGTGTTATACAATGATGATTGGGGAGCATATTTGTCTTTGTCCAATACATTTTTTGTTTGTCTTGAAGGCTGCAGAATATATTCCGGAGAAGGTGAAGAAAGCAGAAAAGAAGTTGGAAGAAAATCCTTATGACCTTGACGCATGGAGCATTCTGATTCGAGAAGCACAGGTTTAGTGACACAGAGTTGCATTCCCGGGGTTCAGTGTATTGGGGTTGGAGGGAGGTTTGAATAGAGAGTGGGACATGTTTGAATACTGTATTATGTATCTTTGTGGTATGTAAATGCACTTTCCTTTCATAGAATCAACCAATAGACAAAGCCCGGAAGACTTATGAGCGACTAGTCGCGCAGTTTCCCAGTTCAGGCAGATTCTGGAAACTTTTCATTGAAGCTGAGGTTATTTTTTTTATTATTAATTCTCCTTCTATGTGTGCGTGGATGGGATATGTCCTAAGTGATCAACAATGTGATTTTCACACAACTAAATGGTGTAATATGGGTACATTTTAAGGTCCCATTTCTTATGTTTGGAAAATGAATCGAGTACGTCAAGGTTCATCTAAACTTTATAATGCCATTTGGAAATAGGCTTTTTCTTTTTTTGCCTATGCAGATTGATTTGGTTCTTTTTGCAGTCATTATCACAAACTACATGGGGTGGTTATGTGCATTTGTTGCATGTTTGGTTTGCAACAGTATTAAAACAATTTAAATGGTATTGGAGTGCATTAGCCTTTTATTCACTTGTCGTGTCAATTTATTGCCTCCTGTGTCATTTCTTTTGGGTAAATGTGTTTTTGGCACACTTTTAGTTTGAGAAGGGTTTCCTCCTTTATCGAGAACATGAAGGCGCTGATGTAGACCATCTAGGACCCGCAAAACATACACACATACTGTAAGTGCAACCTCTATCAGGAAAAGCAAATGGCATAGGATGGAGTGCCCTCTATGCCTAGACTGAAGTACTTCACTCTGGCTCACCATTTTATTCACTACACTGTGTTTGCCCAATATGAATTATACCGATTTTCAGATGCAGTCGATTTTTGATATTTAATTCAACAGAAATGCAATCTCCTTACAATTATTAGTTCAGATTAAAGCACCAAGCATATGAAATAACAATTGAAGAAAAGTGAAGAAATATTTTTGACGCCTTTTTTAACTGAACAGGTTTTGTCAACACTTCTGGCTGCTTATTACAACTTTCTTCTTATTGAATATATGTATGTTGAAATAGTAAATGTAATATTCACATTGTTGCATTTTGAAAAATCCCCGTAAAGTCGATAATGGGCACAAAAGTATGTGTAATGCTCTCTAAATTCATACTCCTGAAAGAGTCATATCCTGTTAGGATCTGTTTCCATGGAGTCATGTGCCACCTCTAGAAAGTTAAATACTGTCACTTTAATATACCTGGTCACTTTTAACCCTTCTGCCATCTTTGGGTCAAATTGAGCCGCCACAATGATTTTTATTTTTTTGAGCTGAATTGAATTTGATCTTTTGACCAGCCCTGGGTCATTTAGCTTCTGAATTAGGGTCTAAAAGGAAGGGTCTACTTTTATTCACTGGGGTGGGTCATTTTAATCTGAGGTTAGCAACGTAAATTAAAAGTTTGTGTTTGGTTTTGAACAAATGGGAGAAAGGTTACAACAGATTTAAATACAATTTAGTTTTGGTTTCTTGGTAACATCAACATTTTCATTTCACTCAACCTGTTTATTGTTCAAGATATGAACAGTAGAATTTATTTGATTTCAGTAAATACATTTTTGCACTTTAGACATGGTCTGATATTTGGCTCCTTCTACATTTGTAGTAATCTTACTAGATTTTTGTTTCATGTGCACAATAATTGAAGGAAATGGTCACATGCTGATTTACAAAGGTTTTCAGCATTTTTTTCCACCCTAATTTTGTGATTTATTGGTGAATGTGTTGTGGCTTTGTCCTAGGTAATGGGTAGATTTCTTGTAGATGAATTTAAATACGCCATATAATAACTTATGTTAATCCCATTGCAATGCAATTATAAATGACTATTGTATCAATAACACTCAAGCCAGTTTTTCAATTCTTAACATCCTAACACATGGTATAACTTCACATGCCACACTAACTGCCATCACACCTGACAGTTCATTCATTTTTAAGATTGTTGGGTTTTTTTAACAGCAGTGTTTTAGTGTATGTGATATCTCATGGATATTTTGCAGTTTGCTATCGTAAGGTTGCATACGAATGAAAAATCTTCAGGCAGCAAAATTCTGCTTATGCTATAACCGTGTTTGAGGTTCAGGAATTTAAGTGTTGAGATATTATCTGTAAGTAAATCCAGTGGATTTGCTGTGGTGCAGTTTAAAAAGAAAAATAAACAAATATTCTCTTAAGCAATCTGTCATTATTGTGTGAAATTCACTTTGTTGATGTTGGCTGTTTGTGTGAATGGGTAGTTGCATGAATGCATGTTTTCTAAAAAGCCACACTGCTCTATCAGGCTGTTATAGTAACAATGAATGTGCACTCTCATTTTCAGATCAAGGCTAAAAACTATGACAAGGTTGAAAAGGTAAGTGCACTCTAAACTTGTAAATTGTTCAATTCAAACATATACCGGTATAAAAAGAGTGAAATGCCTTCAAACAATATTGTTTCTAACATGCTCTATTGCCCTGTATTACATCTATTCACCAAATAGGCTTGATTTATTTGAATCTGTCGTATACTTTAAAGCAAAATCTATTGCCTCTAAATACATCAGCTGAGTGATGGGTTTTTTCTTGCTTTTCTTTCTTTTCTGCATATTCTTCACAACACATTTTTGTATCTGCAAAAAACAAATGCACGATTTATTTAATTTCTAAATCAGATGTACTAATCTCTCCAATAACAAAGTGTCACAGAAGAATCACTATTCTGTTCTCTTCTAGTTGTTTCAGAGATGCCTTATGAAAGTATTGCACATCGACCTGTGGAAATGTTACCTGTCGTATGTCAGAGAGACTAAAGGAAAACTGCCTAGCTACAAGTAAGTTAAGATGATAATAAAGGGTTGTCAGTTAACAAGTCTGTTCAATCCAAATCATCATGTGTCCCATCAACAGAGAAAAGATGGCTCAAGCCTATGATTTTGCCCTGGATAAAATTGGAATGGAAATCATGTCGTATCAGGTACACAAAACAAAAACCTATCAACACCATTATGTTATTGAACGTACCTCATTTTTTATTGTATCCAATCTTTGTTGATTAGATCTGGGTGGACTACATCAACTTTCTCAAAGGAGTGTAAGTGGTGTTTTTTTCTCCTAGAATACAGTTTCCGACTTGTCAATAATATGTGTGTGTTTGGGATAGTGAGGCTGTTGGGTCGTATGCAGAGAATCAGCGCATCACTGCTGTACGAAGGGTCTACCAGCGCGGCTGTGTCAACCCTATGATAAACATTGAGCAACTCTGGAGGGATTATAGCAAATACGAAGAGGTGAGCTGCTCCAAGCATAATTCATGATGTAGTTCTTTGGGCATGTGACTTAACAAGAAAACAAATGATCAAATAACACTAAACATGATGGAAGCCTATATTAATGAAGTTAACATTTTGATTTATATTGGGGCTTGAGCACCTTAGACTGAACAAAATGCATGCACATGTGGCTTTGGGAATGAAATGGTCTGGCTACTGGTGTTAAATAAATTACATTTTTTCTTTTTTTTTCCACAAAGGGAATTAATGTGCATCTGGCGAAAAAAATGATTGAAGATCGAAGTAGAGACTACATGAATGCCAGAAGAGTGGCAAAGGTATACAAGAACAAGACAGACCTGTGAAATTATAATTCAATTATCGAAGTCTATCACAAACCTGAAATATGCTGTTTTGTTAGGAATATGAGACTGTGATGAAAGGACTGGATAGAAATGCACCCTCAGTACCACCACAGAATTCCCCTCAAGAGGCTCAACAAGTGGAGATGTGGAAGAAATACATCCAGTGGGAAAAAAGCAACCCATTACGCACAGAAGACCAGACTCTGATCACAAAGAGAGGTTATTGTCATGTTGCATTCACCATCAGCAGTACCATCTTTTACCCAGTAGGGGGCAGAGAGTCAACTGTCCCAACCTGGTCTTCAGTAACATTAGTCTTACATATGTCTTCTGTGTGTTGCAGTCATGTTTGCCTTTGAGCAGTGTCTGTTAGTGCTTGGTCACCATCCTGACATTTGGTACGAAGCAGCGCAGTACCTGGAACAGTCTAGCAAATTGTTGGCAGAAAAGGGGGTAAGGGCTTTACATAAAGCTGGAGTACCAAACATATTGTTGGTTTCATAAATACATTTTTTGGGTAGGAGTTAGTTTTGTTCTAGTAAAAAAAAAAAAAAAGGTAAATCCAACCACTGTATGCTGTCTTTATCTTTTTCGGAATTAAAATAATCTTTTACATACTGAAAAAACGGATCTAAAGTTGTGACATAAACCAATGTGACCACAAATAAATGCATAGATTTTAATACATCGTTGGGTACTCCAGCTACAAAGGCGTTTTTGAGTATGGTCACTTTGCAAAACAATGCACTAAAGAATGAAGACTAAACCACTACTCCCATCAGGACATGAATAACTCAAAGTTGTTCAGCGACGAAGCGGCTAACATTTATGAACGTGCCATTGGTACTTTGCTGAAGAAAAACATGCTTTTATACTTCTCATTTGCGGACTATGAAGAGGTGAGTGTATATAATGTGTCTTTCACGCTGTGTCTTGAAGGGGATTTCTGACCTCGACTTGTGTTACAGAGCCGCATGAAGCACGAAAAGGTTCACGGCATTTATAATAAACTGTTGGCTATTGAAGACATTGACCCCACACTGGTATATATTCAATACATGAAGTTCGCCAGAAGAGCAGAGGGCATTAAGTCAGGTCGAATCATCTTTAAAAAGGCCAGAGAAGATCTACGCACTCGTCACCATGTGTATGTCACTGCAGCGCTAATGGAGTATTACTGCAGCAAAGTAAGAAGAGACTCATCCATTTTCCTCTGAAATATCACAATATTTCAAATGTATAGATATGGGACATAAACATGCATTTGTTTTTGGAGGGTTTTTTTTAAGCATGCAATTTCCCCACTGCGGGCCTCTTAAATGTATCATTCATTCATACATTTTTTGTGACTTCAGGATAAATCTGTGGCCTTCAAGATTTTTGAGCTCGGGTTAAAAAAATATGGTGACATCCCTGAGTACATTCTTGCCTACATCGATTACCTCTCACATCTCAATGGTAAGGAATGTTTATGGTTAAAAAAAAAGAATGGCATAGACTTTGGGTTTTAACAGCACTGAACACCTTTTTGGTCCATAGAGGATAACAATACACGGGTCTTGTTCGAGCGAGTGCTAACTTCAGGAAATTTGACACCTGAAAAGTCTGGGTGAAGTATATTATTGCCTATCGTTACATATGTGATCAAAAACAAACTCGACTAACCACACTCCATTATCGCTTTTTTCTTAGTGAGGTCTGGGCTCGTTTCTTGGCTTTTGAGAGCAACATAGGCGACTTGGCGAGTATTCTCAAAGTGGAGCGTAGACGGTTTGCTGCCTTTAAGGATGAGTACGAAGGCAAAGAAACGGCCTTGCTGGTCGACAGATACAAGTTCATGGACCTGTATCCCTGCTCCACCAGTGAACTCAAAGCACTCGGATACAAGGTAGGAGTGTTTCTGCTCAACGGCACATGAAAAAAACCTGAATTATCATTTACATGTGCTTTGTTATGGCCCAAGGATGTATCTCGAGCAAAACTGGCCTCACTACTCCCAGAGACTGTGGTGACTCCTGTGCCTACACTGAAAGACGAAATAGACCGTAAACCAGAGTACCCCAAACCTGATACTAATCAAATGATCCCCTTCCAGCCTCGGCACCTCACCCGTATGTGTCTGTCTTTATCTTTTATCAACCAAGTGTATAATCTTTTGAAGTAAAAGCTATAATTTTAATTATTTCCTCTCCTCAGCCCCAGGATTACATCCAGTCCCTGGAGGAGTATTTCCTGTCCCACCAGCTGCTGTCGTCTTAATGAAACTCTTACCCCCACCTACATGCTTTACCGTGAGTTAATACATACAATACATTATATATACTGTCTGTACAGATATGTTTTTGCGATTTATAAGTTTACTTTTTAATTGTGTTAGGGCCCTTTTGTCCAAGTGGATGAGATCATGGAAACATTGAGGAGATGCACTCTTCCTGAGAGTAAGTAGATGTGGAGTGTGTTGTGCAGCTTGGTGTTTCGTCCTGTTGTTCACTTGTGTGTTCTTCTCGATGAAGCTGTTGAAGCAGCTGTGGAGTTAATCACAGGAAGATTGCCTGATGCACAGGGTGAGGGCAATGGCGCCATGGAGAACCACGCTGTTGCCAAGTCACTCAAGAGGCCGAATGCAGACTCTGATGAGGAGGACGACAAAGGGGCGATTGCTCCTCCAATACATGACATTTATCGCGCCCGCCAACAGAAGCGAATCCGATAAACTCACCGAGCCCTACATGTGGAACGTGCACAGTTGTGGTCTTAATGAGTTGTTTGTCCTCGTTTGAGATCTGCTTGTGTATAGAGTGGTCAGCTCAACAGTTCTAATTTTAAAATATTCTGTAAACATTTTTTAAAATCTGGTTGTCGATGTTGTTACATCTTGTGATGTGTGAATGATCGCAATTTTTTCTTTTTTTTTAAGAAAAAGGAGTTGCATTTCCTCTCAATAAACACTGAAAAAACGTGTCAAGTCAATATGATTATGTATCAAGCGTTAACGTTTTCTAAGAATAAGAATGGAACTACTCAAGTCAAGCCCTCATAGTTATTCACACATTGTGACCACTAATAGGAATGGGTTGATTACAATGGATTGCTGCAAGCCATTTCTGAAAAATAAAATATTTTATTAATGAAAAAAAGAACAATTATTTGTCCTTGCCTTGGAAAGCCTTCTGTCAAATTAATTGGACTTATGTTGTCACATTCACATTGCTATGTTAAAGATCTATGGTTAAAGAGTAAAATGACTTCAAACCTTTTTGACTGCAGAAGCATGGTTTGCTTTGTAACATCAAGTACAACTATTAACCAAATAAATATTTAAATAATTTATTTGAGTGTATTGCATAAATTAAAATTGTCAGAGAATAATTATACCTTTAGTTAAACATTTACTGTAGATATTCTGTTTCCAAAGTATTGCACAAATATATCTGGATGGCCTTTATAAAACTGTCCCAAAAGTCTTTTTTTCTCATTAGCTGAGAGATGGGGGTTTTGGTGGATGGTCTGCAGCAGCGATAACAGCTCTTCTTTAGTGTTTCTTTGAGTATTGGCTGCATATTCTTTAGAACTTATTCTCTCACAGAATGATGTATCTGCAAAAAAAGAGAAACACAATCTTTAGTTGAGGTAGTCATTGGATTAAGACTAAGTACCATATACTTGCCGTTCATATGATTTGGATCCTCTCCTTTAACCAAGTTAATTATCTTGTCACTGACCAATTTGTGTAATGTGGAAGGTGTCTGAAAGATAAATTGAAAAACATTTAAGAAAGAAACATGAAGGTGTTAACATTTATTTTAGTATCAGTTCTTACTTTAAACAAATCATGATGTTTATCCAACATGAATAGCACCATTAAATCTACTTTGCCTTTTGGCAGTCTTCTACTGTACACGATGGCACTGGAGAAGGCTCTTTTTACAGCCATCCTGTTTTCTATCTGTAAAACGTAAAAGAAAGATTATTGAGCAGATTTGAACACACATAAAAGCAGCAGTGCAGACAACTGCTCACCTCCTTGTGGAGTTTCAGTCCCTGTGATTTAGATGCTATCGCCATAAACCTCAGCAGTCTACGTAGCTCTTCTCTACTGCGGGAGTCCTGGATCTTCAAGCACAACTGGATGGCCTCCAGAGCTTGTTCTTGCTTTCCATTTACTGAAAAGGACTTATTAATAAAGTTATCTTCAATCAAGAACAAGCATTGTGCAAATATATGGTTCAAGCACCTAGAAGGTCGGCGATTCCAGAGTGGATGTCAAAAATGTGGTTACTCAACAGAGGTGGATGTTGAGCATGTCCATAATGTTGGGCCAGAACCTGATAGAAGAGCTTCTTACACTGCAGCAGGTCCTCAGCAAAGCGGGCCACACCACGGCTCAGATCTACCACCAACTCGTCTGGAACAAACTCCAGACAGTCCACTGCAGCCAACATCCACTCATCCGCCCTGGGACAGAGAACTGGAGTCAGTCAAAGCTAGAAATGTGTGTTCTTGAGTAAAAACAAAAGCAATTGAAACTTACTGAGCTTCGCTAAATGCCTTCAGAACTTCCCTGTTGAGGAAACTTGATGTGCACATGACATCCGTATCACTGCCGGTGCTGTTTTTGTTGGACTCTGATGGACACGTTCCCTCTAACAAACTCTCCAGCAGGGGGAGCTCTATCAGCTGCAGCAGTCTGGACACAGCCTGCTGGTGCCACAACTCATCAAAAACTAGCGAGAAACAGGAGAAGACATGACATTCTCGCACACATCCCTTAGATTTATTCGGTAAAAGAAACAAGGCAAGTCATACTGTCTTGAGATATTCCCATGTCGATCATCTGTGGTGTGACGTTTGCACTTAGATCAAGGTTGCCCAGCACTTCCTCCAGAGACCTGTCTGCTGCTGACTTCATGAAAAAGCCATGCTCCACCTCTTGCCTGAGGATACAATACAGTACAATAAAAAGGAAAAACAAACAGTCATTTTTCAATCATAATTTGCTCATCAACAAGCTGCATATGTTATGATAAAGGGAAGTATAAAGTATCAGTTTCTAATAAGTTCTCAGTAACATGTTTATTCAGCATTGTGAAAAGGCAAATTCTATTTATATTCGGACTGGGAATTATTTGATAATATTAAAAAATAACAATGGGTAATGCACTGAATGATTGCATGATATAAGATAAGATAAGATAAGATAAGATTGCTTTATTTATCTCACAGAGGAGAAATTTACATGTCACATTTGGCATGGATAGAGACACTCAGATTGTGCAAAGGGAGGAAATGTGCAACATAAACATACAATTAAAGTTGTTCGTTTAAATACACTTTAGCAAAAATATTTTAACCCAGGTTTCTTGAAATATAACTTTTTGGCCATACATGATTTTTGCTCTGTCCACATTGCTTGAGGATGCAGCAACAGTTTCGCCACAGAACCTCCCTGTGGCCCCTGGTGTTCCCAGCGGACTTCCATCACGATACTAGCCAGGTCCTGCCCTACTGAGTTTCTGAAGTCTGCCAGGAATAATCTTTTACATTCAGCTGGCACCACAACATTTTCTTTCCTAAAGTGTAGGGTTAGGGTTAGCTTTAACAATTTGGTTTGATTCAACAGGAATTGCAATTCATAAATCCCCATGTGAATTTACACACAAATATTATTACATTTATATATGAATTGACTATTTAATCTTAGACTCAGTGGTATTATGTAATAAGTCGAACAAAATATTACAATGGCCATGTTGAGCGTTGTTTATTTGATTCTGACCTGGTCCAATTTGGGTTCAGTCCTGGTTCAGTCCTTGTAGATGTGCTAACATAGACAGAACGAGTCGCTTCATACTAGAGCTGATTAAAGATGCTCACATAAACTAACTGAATATGAACTAAATCTCACAAGATCAAACTCCTGACTTTGTAGGTAGTAGAAAATATGTCCAAAGAACTAGCCTTCGTTATCATAATTTTGGGGCGACAGTGGCTCAGTTGGTAGCATTGGCCTTTGGGCCTGAAGGTCGTGGTTTCATGCTGTCATAGTGTCCCTGGGCAAGACAATTAACCCCACTTTGCCTGAAGCCCCTGCTTAAAAATCAAGGCTCCTGTGGACTCACCACCTGCAGGAGGATCAGTGAGGGGCTGGTGCTGTGTGTACTGGGTGCAGCTCTGACTGACACCCCTTCCACCCCGGAAATGGATTAAGGGGAATAAAATGGATGGATGGATATTATAGTATTCAGCCATTACAAATTATTTTGGTGAAAACAGCGGAATCAAGTGACATAAAACATGTGGGGAAAAGGTCAAAGTAAACATACATTTTTAGAAGACTAAAATTGTACCTGTTCTTGTTCCAGTTTGTGCTGGGGGATTCATATCCACTTTTATCAGGCTCTGGCGGCACATAGTTTAATGAACTGGTCCCTGGACTTAGAAACCGATACAAGCTGCAGCTGCTATCCTCAAAGGTTGGTTGCTTCTTGTCTTTTCCAAAAGCAACTTTATTTCCAACTGGTTCAAACACTCTGGAGTCCATGAGAGCCTGGCAAAGACGAACAGCCTTATATCGTGGCACCGCCTCCTCTCCAAAGAAGCGCATGAGTGTGATGTGTGTCAGCACGGCGTCCACTGCCTCGGAGCCCAAAAAGCAGTCGTGGTAGGACTTCAGGTTATACCGACGTCGTTTCACCTCCACATGGCTGTGGAGGTTGGAGATAATGCTGCCCCAGATATATGTGGCCCGGAAAGGCTTCCCTGCCATGATTACTCTGCAATGGTAATAGTAAGAAATAAAACTCATATGGAATCAACAATCATTGTCATTATCAAAACTTGATTCATTAAGCGCCTTTCATACAAGTAGAAAGTACTGTTTTAGCTTTGTCACAATATGTTAATGTTAATAAACATGTGTATACAAATAGACTTATCGTTGTACTGTATGTTGTAATATTAGTATACTGTAACACTCTTCACTACAACCTCACTACAAGTGTGCTGCTTATAAAGAAGAATATTCAACTTCTCAGATCAGACCATTTGAGGATTAGTTTAAAAGTCCACTGCATACGTTTTTATGTTGCCCGCTAACCACTTCTTGCCATGGCTTGGCTTGGAATGTTATATAACTATACCACATCTTTTAGTTACAAATGTAAAACCATCTCCAAAAATTAGGTCGGCTTGCCCATACCATAGATATGACCCCTAAGTAATCATGGTGGCCACTGACTTTGCTGATATACGTACTGTAATGGTAAAATGTGGATTGCAGACAAGTGTGACAGTACAGACTCTGCAGCCGTGCTGCTGGGTAACACATAAAAACCAGGTCCATAGATATAGAGATCCATTACCAGAATTAAGTCTTTATTCTGAGGTTAAGCAGAACCATCTGCCACATCCCTGGGGGTCTGTGGATTACATTGTACAGATTAACTTCATTTAAATTATAGGAAGGAGGTACGTGTCTCTCTCACATGCTGAGATTTGATCCCACTCATCATGAATTATTCTGCCAACCTTCAAAACCATTGAAGTAAGAGTGACCTGTATTTCAACTAAAGACAACACTGCCATTTGTGTTTGCACTCATCAGTGGAGGTAAATACTCACAAAGGGAGCAGCAGCAGCACATGGGACTATCCCTTGTGAACACAACAACCTGTTAAAGGAGACGGATATACATCCATGGATAAAAAATATTGCTTTGATTTTGTAGAGGCTTCACAATATAAATAAGGCAGACAAGGCAAGAAAAGCCCTGAAGGCGTCGTTCTTACATGTCGAGTCAAGTTACCTTAACTGATCAAGACATCTTTTAAAAGTTAAAGTGGGTTTTAGAAACATGTTTTTAAATACTTACAAAAAAGCAAACTTATGTCCACAGTTTTGCATGTTTATACATTATCATCACGTCCAAGGACAAAACCTTTTAGCCAAAATATAGAACAGTATTTTATTTATTTTTGGTCATCTTTATTGTTCTGGAACTGTATCAGTGTAATAGTATAAGCTATAAGATCATCTGCAGCGGGATATTTGCTTCCTTTCTATCTCATTTTAGCTGATTATATTTTCTACAGTCAACTTTTTAACTTAACAAACTAAACTCGTTTTTTATGTCAATTGAAGCTTGGTAGAAGTGGAATATTAAAAACCATAAAAACACATAAACAGTAGATAATCTAGTTTTAAAAGTTCCCATGTTAGCTGCCTTCATATACGCGATTACCACATTTGGCGGCTTCGCGGAGTTCTTTTAACCATTACTCGCTATCTACGGGTGGAAAATCTGAAGAGGGCCATTATCTTACCGTATGTCAGAAGCATCGAAACCCCTTTCCCTCACTGCGGGGACTCATTTACGCCGCCTCGGTCCTCGGTCCTTGTTCCATAGGTTTTCAGAGCACGCACCGTGACGCACGCAACTCGACTACAGCAGTGTCCGAGCGCGTCTCCTCCCACGGACGTACATTATTCATACTTCAATCAGCGCCAACATCGCTGCGCCTCTCTGCACTTTTAACGTGAACAGAACACCCAGGGTCAAAACATACACTGTCTGTCTGAGTTAAAACACCCACATCACCTGAATGACAGACGACACGTTTTCTGCTGAAATACACTGAAAAATATGTTACAATATGAGGTAATAATTGCTTAAATCAAGTGGGGTTTTTTGTCTCAAAACAAGATTTGCTAATGGAAACAGCCATTAGTCTTATTTCAAGATATCTTTTTAAAATAAGATAATTTTGCTTGTCCCATAGGCTAATCTGGTTTCAAGGCAGTCAAAATGTGCTCAAATTAATTTACATTTGGACAAAGATTGAGCAATGTTTGACTTATTAATTTATCACTTTTTACAATGTAAGCAGCATATTCGACAGGCTGTTAGTTTAGCATCGTGCCTTTTCATAAAGGATACATAAAGAATAAATTAAATAGGGCACCACTGAGTAGCAGTAGGCAATAGCAGCTCCCTCTGATGCAGCAGTCATATCATATGATACATGTCATTTCACACATCATTTCACATCATGGCTTCAGCGGACAAGTGTCTGTCTTGAAGTGTAATCTGACAATGGAAAAGTTGTAAGATGACACTCAAAGCGGATGCTGGTCACTTGCTGAAAGAGAGAGACACTGCTGTAAACTTAGTTTGTTTGGCGATTAACCTTTTCTTTCTGGTCACTTCTACTGGACATTCATCTTTGACTGTTAACTTTTCAGGTTTGACTTGAGGAAATGAGCTCTTGACGTGAAGGATCTCGGTAGAACTGGTTGAACGACTCTGTATGTCAAGAGGCAGGTTTATGCAGGAACAAGTAAAAGCAACATGAAAGTCATACATGGACCTGGATCATCACAATGAACAATTTAATGTATATTTGCAAACTGTAAGTAGCTGGCACTGGACGGAAATGTACTATAAAATACTTATATATATATATATATATATAGTTACACTATGTCTTTTAAAGAAACAGATATGTAAAATAGACCCTCCTCCTGGCATAACTACCATTGGAGAATAGTTAGACCAATGAGAAGAGAGCTTGCCTGTCAATCAAGGATTTGAATTAATTAATCAATTATGAAAAACATTGAGCATGGGCTTAAACTGAAGACTATAGTTGCGTAGACTATTATTGGGCTAAAACATTCTCTGTGTTCTCTAATGATGAGAAATACATAGAGAACACAATTGACTTTTTTTTTTAAGTTAAAAACGCAGTTGATTTTTTTCAGTAGAAACGAACCATTAACATTCCAGTTTCAGTCACTTTCAGAAACTTAAAGGGTCTCTCAACACAACTCCCACCTGTAACACAATGATTCATTAAAATGCATAAGTTTTGCATCGAGAGGGCGGAGCTGTGTATCTCTTACAGCTGCCTCTGGAATCTGTTGCCTGACGTCTGCCTTCTTTCCCCTCTCAGAGGACAGTGGCTCTCCTCATGACAAACACAGAAACCTTTGTTATTCTCACTAATGTTGCCCATTTGGAAATTCTTTTTTTGTTCAGTTCAGACCAAACAAAGACATTTCATTAATAACTTTAAAAATTACTTTGAAAACAGTGTTGTCTCAATTTTCTAAAACAAATACTCTGTTAACACACAGCATTACCACAGATACAAATGGAAATAAAATTACTTGTTTGGGGACAGTACCATTTTAAAAACACAGTTGAAGGCAAATACAATATACTGTTGTGCATTAACAAAGCATGCAGGACTTTATTTACAAACTGCATTTCAAAGTGATAGCATATACAAACCTTTTTATCTCAGAAATATTGAGGAAATGTATAAAAATATGAATAGAAATCCATTTGGCTTAAATTGGGATATTTGAAAATGTAATAAAGGCTACTTTACATTACAGTAGAATGATAGATCTCTGAATACAGTCCTTTAAAAACATATTGGAAGAACAGTTTGTGTAGTGAAACTATGCAAAATGTACAACACTTGGGTAGAAAAGGCAATTTTCAATACTGTAAACAGCAGTTACATAAAATAGTTCTTTAAATAATAAAAAGATTTGCATCTTACATAGAGAACTAGACATGTTTATGCTTAGTTTAATCTCATGACTACAAGTTATATAAAAGGGATCTTGATATACAACCATAGGTTAAACATGTTAAGACTTTAAAAAGTCATAAAAGTTAAAATATGTTTTGTACAAAAACCTATATAGCTTCAAAGTCTTGTTTCATTCTTTAAGGTCGCATGAAGTAACTTGTCTTTACTCTCAAAAGGTCTGGAGGCTTCAATTGTTATTTCCACCATCTTGGATAAGTGAAGCTCATCGGCAGACCTGCTGCACCTGATTGATGAGTTCTCCAAAACGATCAAAGAGGCTCTCCAACCATGCTCCGTTCTGCAGGCACTTCTGTACACTCTGTTCTGCTCCCATCTCTCCAGACTGGACCCGCAGTGTCTCCACCTGTTGGTGAGAAGTTCACACGCTCATCAGCCAACAGCTCTGTGCTAAGAATCTGCGTGTGAGAAAGTGTGGCGTACCTCATTTTTACACATAAGGTATGTGTGGTACTTGTAATGCTGCAAAGAGTGGTACAAAGAGAACCACCGAGTCTGCTGCTGGTTAACACTATATTCCTAGAACGTGGAAAAGAGCAGGACGGCATCAGTAACAATGCAATTGCACCATCTGCTGGACGATAACAGCACACATCACCCTGATCGTTCACCTGTGGCACTTTGTTTGGTAACTTGTAAGGTTTCATCGTTTTCCTGTTGTAGGCCCTTCCACTAAGACGAATTTTAAAAGCTGTTTCACCATCCTTTTTCAACTCTGTCACTACTGCAATCTCAGGAAAGCTGTCCAAAGCAGTCTAGACACAATCAACAGAAAGAAGTTATTCCATATTTACATACATTTTGTAACGTTATCAATTCTAATGCAATCACCTTAAGAATATTTTCAATAGAAAGTTTTTTGAGCAAACATTTCTTGTTGTCGATTAAAATCCCATCCACCCTCTTCAAGTGTGGCAGGAGCAAATCATCTATGGCCAGTCACAAAGTCATTATTATACACAATTTCTAAATAGCATGACAAAGAATGTAATTTGTGTTTTGCTCACCGTTGGATCCTTCTAAAGAAGAAATCAAATCCTCATCAAATGCAGTCGTGAAGAGCAGTTCCACAAAGCCCTTAAACGTCTCTTTCATTGTCCTCGTGTTGAGCAGGCGAGAAGTAACAAGTACTGGGGCCTTTAGGTCTACAAGCATTTGCAAAACAATTCATTGATAGTAAAGTTATGAATTGGGATTAACTCCAGCTTTACCATCTTCCTCGGCAGATGTGTCAGAATGAGCAGAAGAAAACTCCTCTTTCCATTTCCGTCGCTTCTTGGGAGGTGGTTCTACTCTGGACTTGGGCTGTTTCAGTCTTTTTTGGCACACGGTGGTGGTGCAAGTGTTAGCCGTCAGCCCAAGCAGGGTTTTTACCTGTATGCCTCTGTGCACAGCAATAAATCAAGATTACCATATTGATTTATTTAAACTAATAGTGGGTGACAATAGGAAACATCTACCTCAGTGAAGTCATGGGCTTACAGCGAGGTTTTCTACTACAAACTCTGACATACTCCCTCTTATTGACAGTGTCCAAAAACTTGATATAAACTCGTCTGTACATGTTTTTTGCATCTCCAAAGTACCCCAGATACTATAGAGAAGAGAAAACAATTAGACATTTTATATTCAGAACCATGTGGATGAAGATCTTACACTGTTTGTGGCTGAAAAGACTCTGCGTCCATCTCGTAACTCTGGCACAAACTTTTGCAACAAAGCCTTTTGGACCTTCCAGATAGCTGGAGGATCACTCCCAGCTTTCATCGTGGCCTGAAAATGACAACAATAAAATTAAAAGTCTGAGGAAAAGCAATCTATATTTTAAAAGTGCTTTCTCCAATTATCCTGGTGGCAGTCTACTTTCTGATCGGTTTTATGTAAATGTTGTTTTGCCTGGATTTGTATACATTTTCACGTTGAAAAAAAGGGACAAGCATGTAAATTCACTCATCTGTGGAGAGGTGAGAAGTCTTTTCACTGTATGCAATCTTTTAAAAAGGTAAAGGCGCACTTTATTCATCCCCGTAGGGTAATTCATCCTCTGCATTTGACACATCCTGATGCCTCTAGGGCGTATGTCAGGAGCACTGGTCACTATAAAACAGCTCTATCAAACTTGGATCAAACTTGTGTTACTGTAAACATGTGTGTGCCTAATATCCTGACAGGGACCTCTCTCCAGATGTTGATGTTCGGCTTGGTCAGGACCTGCGCTGGAGGATTTTACCTAGTCTACATGTTTTTAGTGGTAGGGGAAACCGGAGCACCAGGAGAAAACCTATGCAGGAGAACATGCCATTCTACGCAGACCAACATCAGGTATCAGACACTTCACAGAAAGCAAGTCACCACCAGGACAGGTGAGGATTGCACCTTGAAAAGTTGCACCGGACTCAGATTAGCACCTGCAAACTATCAATATCTTCCTTTCGGACGACAAACTCATCTCTTTCTCGGTACATTCCCTCTCCTCCGCTGTCAGAAAGCTCATCATCTGTGAGTCCTTCCAAAGCCACACTCGGCAGCTGTGTGGCCAGCGGGGAAGGTGCGGTCACAGAGGCCTTCTCAGGGGCAGCACTGGGTAATTGTGGAAGGCAAATGGCTGTTATAGTAATTGGCACCATCACGCGTTGTTCAGGCTTCAAAAGATGATTGGAGATTCTGTGATCTAAAAGAGGATGAAAACAAAAGATAATCAAAGAGTAAATACTACACTACATTAAAGAACTTATAGCTAGGGTACCTAATTTATTTGTTTGTCCCAACTCAAAAGTTAAAGGTAAAATGTTGCGAACTAACCAGACCATTACATGCCATCATTGCATCATAAAACATGTTATTCTTTGCATTAATATAAGAAAGAGCCCTGTAAACCACAATTTGACTCTTTAGGCTATTATTAAATGATTGACTAAAAGAGGGTGGTCGTTTTTTTTTTTTTTCCGGTCTGATAAAACAGATTATAAAATACAATACAATGTTCATAGTGATAGAACCAAAGTGTTTTAGAGCCAGGAGATAGTTTCAATTCCATTACATAGTATTGTTGTTGTGCTTTGAAAGTGATGTACCCCGGCTTTAAGCAAAAACGTCCTACCTATTTGTATTTTCTTTTCCGTAGCTTCATCCAGAGACGAGAGGACCGAGGTAATGCTGTTCCTCAAAGCTTGATTCTTCCCAGTATTTTCCTCCTCATCGGAGCTGAAGGATGGCAGTGTCTCCAGGTTCCTTTGCAGCTCTTCTTCTAAACGCTTTGAGTGAGACTTTACCACTGGGCTCTCTTGAGGAATCAAAGGTGCTGTTACAGTCTGCACTTTAGTAGATGTGGAAGGTTTCGGGGGGTTGCAAGACTTTTTTGACCGACTGACCGTTCGGGTGGGACTCAATGAATTTTGCTGATTGGAACCAGATTTTAGAAAATCCAAAAATGAACCTATGAATCCATTTTTCACCTCTGGCTGCTTCTCTTCCACTTCCTTGATTTTCTGCCATATTTTTTCCTGCTGGGGACAATTGTCAGCTAAACTAGTTGTTACAGGTGGTATAAAATCACTTTGATTGCAATTTTGACGCTTAGATTGTCCATTCCGTTTGAGAGTTTTGGCCTGTGCATCTTTATGTCCGACAGACTGGTTCAAGGTCTTCCCCTCCATATCCATATCATGATCACCCTCCACAGAACCACCATCTGGTTTTATGCTTATTGCCATTCCCATAGTTTGAAGTTCGTTACTCGAGGGGCTATATGTAAAGTTTTGTTCTGACCTGGCTTTGTCTTCACTTGTATGATGTTCAGAGTTATGATTAAAATGAATGGAGGGACCCTGACAGCCTAATGACACATGAGGACCAGTGGAGGCCATGGCCACAGTGCTGGATGAAGCATTTGTGAGTTCCTGAGCAGTGGAGAAAATATACCCCATGTCTAAAGTCGGAAACTGACTTTTTGGATCAGAAGCAGAATTAGCCTTTGATCCATCAGCGTCACCAGAGGATGATGCCTTCACAAAATCCTGCACACCACATGCTGCAACTGTAGCGGCCAAAATATCATCAACGTTGGACAATATGTTTCTTTCGTCCAACACAGAGTCAGAAAAACAAATCGAGTTAAGGGCAAAGTGGTTCTTGACATCGTTCATCTGTTGGTTTGTCGTCTGGTTATAGTGAATTTTAGGAGTCAGAGGATGATTAGAATCAGGGCATCGGGAGGTCTGTTCATGAAATTGCCCCTGCACATTTGTGGTCTCAGCCATGCTAGATCGGAGCAAATCTTGATTCATCTGAAGATATTGGACATGAGCCGGTGCCAGGCTTTGGGACTGTAATCCTGGCTGAGACACAACCTTTGATGAGGCCTGAGTGTGAATGATCTGATTTGGTTCGAGAACTTGATCACAGGGAATTGTTATAAATTGAGTGTGGCCTCCTGCTGTAACAATACCTTGCATTCGATTCTGTTGACTTGGTTGGTGAGAGTCAGGAGATCGGATCTGTGAAGCATGCAATTTTTGATCGCGATTAATTTGATTAGATGAACACACTACACTACTGCCTGTAGGCGGTAAGGGGGAGGATAAGTGCCCTGTGGTTTGGTGGACATGTTGGCCCCTTGTGACTGCACTTTTAACTTTAACCTGTGCTGTATTTTCAGGCTCCTGTTCATTTGCCTGGTCACTTGATCGTGAACTGCTTCGAATAACAGTTTGCAATTTATTCTGGTCTTCCATCTTGGACACAACATAGACAATGTTGTTTTGAGTGGTCAAACTGCTCTCTGCTAAATTGGCAGATGAAATGTGTAGTGTAAAAGGCTTTACGTCTTGATTTAAAGTTGGGTTGTTTTTTAAGGACTGCAATGACAATGAATTAAGGGATAATGATTTGCTAATGTGTGCTTCTTGCGGAGATACGTTATTAAGCACTTTTTCTGTAGATGCCTGAATTAAAGAATAGATCTGAGGTGTAGTGAGCATACAGGTTGTTGGAAACGAGTTAAGAGATTGCCCTGGGGCATAACTGTGAGAATAAATAGAAGCTTGAACCTCTGACTGAGACGTACAGGTCAATAAAGAGGTACCCTGAGAGTGTGGGGAATCAAATCGTTCAGAGAGAGCAAGCTCTTGGCACAAGTTTTGAGCTTGCGCTGTGTAGTGGATCTCCTGTTTCTGACTTGGGGAGTAAGTATGGCTCTGACTGACTGAGGAAACGCCCTCTAGCTGGCTGGAGGATGCAGGCAATGTGTTTGGAGAAGAACATGGAGGCTGTGATTGAGCATGAGAAGTGGTATAAATCTGGGAATTGGTGGTTATAAGGCCAGACAACTGCGTGGACTGCGGATTAGCAATCACAGAGTTCTGCTTTTGTGCGGTAGAACTGTGATGATTGAATCTACCAACTTTAGCATCATCATTTAGATGGTCATCTTTGGGCTTTGGCGCAGTGATAGAGTAGACCTCAGAGACTGAATTGGATTTGGCTTGAGAAACATAAGTGGAATCTGATCCAGTGGAGGGATTACCAGACAAAGAAGATTGCTTAGAAGGTTCAGGTGAATAAGATACGTCTTCGTCATTAACGCCAAAGTACCCTTGTAGTGTATGCTCTGGAGACTGCTCTGTAGCTGTGATATTTGTAGAAGGCCTCTGGTGGTGTTTGATGACACTGCATTCTCTCTGAAGGGCTTTCTCTACAGACCCTGAAAAAACAGTAGAGCCATATTGCTGTGTAGGTCCATGGGTCAGGAGGCTGAACTGTGGTTGAAGGAGGTGAGGGGCGGACTCCTGAGCCGAGCGGTACGTGGAGGATTGGACTGGTAAAGTGGAACCTAAAGAAGGTGCAGAAAAGGCCAAAGCTGCAGGTAGCATGGTCTGACTATGTTTGAGATGTAGAAGGGGGTCGTGAGGAGAGAGAAACAGGCCACTTGTAGAAGTGCTGAAGGCAGGGTCCTGAAGAGCTGGGGGAGAATTAGCAGCACAGCTTCTGGTGGGGTAGGCACTGGCATGTTGATAAGACATAAGAGCGGCAGTAGATGGGAAAGTGGCAGTAGATGGTAGGGCACCAGTCAGGTACAGCTCTGTAGTAGAATTGGTGCCTGGAGAAAAAGGAAAAAGTCAAACAACAAAATACATGTAGCCAATAAGCCAATAAGGACTTAATGAAGCATAAATGTAGATTTACATTGTGTGTAATCTAAATCATACATATTTTAAAATAAATATCCTGCTTTATTTAGTTGGAACTTTATAAAATTAGAGTAGCTAACTATTTGTAACGGAGTTACACCAAACACTGGTCATAACTGTTCACAAACTCAGCCCTCATATCTGTGTTGATATTATTTCAAATATTCTCGCTGACAATCATTTCAACTACACGCTAGGTATATTGAATTCAAATTTAGCAAAAAAATGCATTGTTTTATAAAGCGCCTTTTTGAACCTTCAACCATTCACACACACAACAAACTCATTCTAGGCAATGTGGGTGAAGTGTCTTGCCCAATGACACAGCACCAATTTAGCACTTTACATCCACTCCACTGTGGCGCCTGGTGTTCTCAGGTCTCCCATCACAGTGCTAGTTTAGATTAAGAGAACCATTATTTGTCCCACAGTGGGGACATTTCGGTGTTGCATCACAAGTTATAGAACAGTAGGAAAGAGAAGCACACGACACATGTTAAGTGAACAATAGCTATACTAATAAAAATAAAACAAAATCTCTAACTCTAGCATCAATAATAAGTATAAAATCTCTATCTTGAAAATAATAATGGATGTAAAAATTTAATTTTAAGTTTGGCCACATATTGAGAATATCCTCCAGAGAACTTGCATACCGATCTCTAACACAACCTGATTTTGTAAATTAAATTAAATTATATATTTACATATATATTTATTATATTTATATATATAAATCTTACCAGCTGGCCAAGATGGTGGTCGAAAAGGAGGGAGCAGTGAGGCGCTGACAGGTCCTGCCTGAAGACTTCTGGACTCCATGGCTGACAAGAAGCTCATAATGGAGGTCTCAGAAGTATGATTTGTATCAAGTGTTCCTAAAACAAATGCAAGAGATGACATAAATGCATAATTCAACCAACAAGTTATTGCTGAGTTATTGAAATTACCTGCTGCAGGAAGGTGTGTGGTAGTGTAGTTGGGCAGCTGATGGGAGGCAGTGTAGATTTGTCGATGAAGATTCTCCGTGTCAATGTGTGTCGAGCCATAACTGATGCTATAAAAAAATATGAATTTGTACTATTATAATTATTACAGTTGAGTAGATATTAACACGTGTAGGCATGATAGTAAACATCGTGAATAAACTGATCGAAACATAATAGTTGCATTCTTGAATGGAACCCCTTTCACAATAAAAGCTAAGCATAACACAGGGCATCCAGAGAAAACTCCTGTACACAAGCCTACAACACAGTATTTTGAAGAGTCATGCATGCATGTGTCTATTCTCAAAGCAACTATCACTTCAACATGTCCACAACAACTTAGGTGACACTGACACAGATCCACGGTAACAACAAACAGTAAACTCCAGCGCAGGCACCGAGGCCTTTGATCAGCGACATAAAGTATGAAGGTGATCCGCCCTCACGGCTCTTTACCTCGGCTTCACACTCGCAGGACTGCGCTCATAGGCCCAAGACGCTGCGCTTTGTGCTGGGGGAGCCAGCCCGTCCGCAAAGCCTGAGCACGGGTAGTTTCTGTCCATCATCCGGTGAAAGATCGGCTTCCCCTGCGGAGCTTCGAGAGCCTCTGGACACACATTGTACCAGCCCGGACTCCGAACAGTCCTGCCAGGCCCGGACCGTCTGCACAGCCCCTAAAACTGTCACTGGGCTCTACCTTCAACTTAAGTCACTTTTTGTTCGTCGCAATTTCTTTGAGAAACGCGAAAACCATGGTGCAGATCCTGTCCACTTTTGCCCGTGTTAGCATATTTCCCAGGATGCACCGCTGTCAGCTAGTAGTTTTTTTTTGTTTTTTTACAAACGGGAAACGGGGGTATTATCTTTGAATCTGTAGAGTTATGTTCCGTATCCATTCAAGCTGGAGTACCTTACTTAGAAACCAATAAAAATAACTAAAAGGGATTTTAGCATCTCTAGTTTTCACATGCTTGTATATTTGGCCCGTCACATCTGTAGATGAACTTTAGAGGGAGCACCCCCCTAACTCTAGCCTGGTCTTACCCGTATTACCAGGGTCTTTATTAGGAGTGTGACGATATATCGATGTTTAAAAAAAAAAAAATTTGTATCAATACTTAATATATGGCTACATTACACATCTCCATTCCTTATCATGAAATAAAGTGTATTTTTTCACTTCAAATTTTTCTATTTTATGTATGCCATATATTGGCATATTGCTGACCAATATATCAATAATCGTCATATCGTGATATAATCGTTATCGTGAGCTTTGTATCGCGTATCCTATGGTATCGTGAGGTACCCTTATGTTCCCACCCCTAGTCTTTATACTGTTCTACTGCGCTGCTGTTGTCTTACCACACCATCGTACAAATTTCATTTAGGGAAATAATTGACCTGAGTTTACGGAAGGCCAGGCTACACTCATAAAAACTAAATGCTTCAAAAATCTGATCATAAATTGACTTCCAGTAAACAAACAGACCACCTTCCACAATAGTAATAATGCATTCAACAAGTTGTACGTGTTGGCTCTGGCCTACACCATTATGTGCAAGAGCCATTACATTTATAGTTCACATATATCATTGTAATGGAATTAATATAACAAAGCAGACAAATGAATAAGCCATTTCATTAAAAATGTATTTCAATATTTTTATATTTCCAAAAAAAACATAACAGATATTGTACCTCAAGAGACAAAAAGTATGAGAAAAAACATCTTGATTTTCATTGCTGTTAAAATGTAATTCATATCATTAGTGTCAAATTATGTCAAAAATACATAAAAAACATACATTTAGTATTGGTTATTAGAATATGTAGAGTAAGGGAAAGCACAAGGGTTAAAAGTGCATAAAGCTTTCTGCTGGAGGCCTGTGAAAATGGCATTAATCTTAAGATTGTTCAACTGTTTGTATTGTACTATATTAACATTGGATTTTACAGCCAAAAAATGACTCTATGTTGTAACTGACCGTTCAATTTCTCGCAGACAACTACATAAAAGCGCCATTAATTTAAGTTCAAATCAAAACAAAATACTTCATTAAAACCAGCCTTCATCATTCAATCAAAACACACATACAGACTAATACTGCTTACATGAATATATTCATGTAGCAAAATATTATCTTTACTTCATATTCATTTGGTAAAAACATCAATAAAAAAACCTGAGGCGTCTTAAATAAGTAAATAGTAGTTTGAATCTTGTTCATTTCCTTTTGTTGTTAAGTGATAGTCGTGTGGAGAACCATGAACTAAAGAGGTCTGGAAAGGAAGAACAGATAAAAGGGTTTCTGTGGGCCTTCTTGCTACCGTCTTGCACTGCCAGGTCTTGATCTATAGACAGAGAAGTTACTCGAGTTAGTCACATAGTAACATATATACACTCAAATGAAAAAGAAGAACACACACCCAGGATAAGGCGGCGGTGGGGCATCATACTGTCCGCTGTTTGCAATAGCCTGGTCATATGAAGGAAGCCCTGGTGCATTTGTCCCATGGAAACGGTCCATTTGTGGATTCACAGGCTGCAAAGATACTTCTTCTAACCGTTGAATAACAACAGATGCATTACTTCTCCTTGTGCGAACACGGATTGAACTGGAAACAGACCAAGAGCTGAAAATCTAAATCATTTGTTGCGCATTCATGTAGATAGATGTTTGTATGTGCTTACAACAAATGATTGACACAAGAACAGTTAACAGTTATGATCTAAGAATTGTTAGTAGGCTGTTAAACTGAACTTCAAACCAACTCACTCATGTTTCAAAGTATATTGCAGTATTTTCAGAGAAACTGAAGGTTTAGGTACTAACCTGGCTCGGCTCATGTCTTTATATTTGCCCTGACAGTAATACCAAGTGAGGAGGGCCCCAAGAACAAGAACCACAGCAGCTGCAATCAGCCCAATCAAGAGAGATGTCACGTCAACTCTGTTCGGTCGCTGGCCTTTATCTGTGGACATGACAACATTACATTCTTACAATATCAAATCACACAATCACTACACTATAATTGATTTTGGGATGCTGTGTTAATGTGATCTCTGAAATTATGATACCTTCCTTTGCTCATTTTTGAGAAAGGCACTTCAAATGTGTGACATCATAAAAAGAGCAGCAAAAATGGGGTTTCTCACTGTAAAAAGTGCTTATACATATCATAGACTGTAGGAAAAGTGCAGGAAATGTGCTCTACGAATAAAAGTTGATTGATTGATACGCTCATGCTACACATGACTCAGTACAGTACAAACTGGTTTCACCAGGCTTACCTTCAGTGTAGGTCTTCCAAAAGATATCCTACAACAACATAACCATTAGAACATTAGAGTTCATATTTCATATTTTTTTCATAGTTCATATTTTTTTCTCCCCCCCCTCTTTTTAAATTGGAACGCTGACACTTAACTGTTTGATCGTTGTTCTCAAACACTTCTCTGGCCTCTTCATAATTACAAATTTCTTCGAAACACTCCCTCTCCAAGTTTCCAGGAACAAAGATTTCAAAATCAAAACGATTCAGCAACAGGCGGCGACTCAAGTAAGATTTTGCACCCTCTTCATCAACAAAAACTGCAGTAGAAACAACAGATAAAGTTACACATTAAAAACAAAAAATAGGAGTAATACATTATAAAACACACAAATATATAATATAAAATTATAAAATATCCAGCGATTAAAGGGACAGTATGTAAAACTTAATTGTACATGTTTAAATAGTTTCCACTGACATTTGTAGAGCTTATTTATAAATCACATAAATCAGCAATTTTATTGTCTATTACCTTAAATAATAGACTATTTGTTGTGTGTAATCTGAGTGCTCTTATTTCCTCTCTCTGCTGTAAGGTGCGCAACGATAACACTGAAATTTCTCCACTGTGAGACTAATAAAGGTTTATCTTATCTTATCTTATCTTATTACATTATAATATATATAAACTGAGTGCCACCCCCCTGACCCAGAAATGGATTAAAGGGTAGAAAATGGATGGATGGATGGATGGATAAACTGAGTGTCCAACTAGGAAGCAAAACAATCCTCTTGTTTGGGTTGCCAGTTTATTTGATGAAATCCTTTGTGTTGGGTCTATACCCAAATCTCAACACATGTAGCGTTTACCAACTAAACTTTTGATCAAGGTAAATACCAGAAACTATTGGCAACTCGTGGCTTAATTGTATCATTTGTAGTACCTTTATAAGACGGCAAGAGCGCTGCATTCTACAGTACAGTAGGAATTTTACAGTTTGAAATGAAAGTAACACCCATGGATCTATAGGCTAATACCACATTTTATCTAGATCATGGAAACATTTAAGACGCATCACTTTCTACTCCACTACAATCTAACGGGGCAAAGTACAGAGGAGATTTTAGTTTTTCTGTGGAACATTTGTGATTAGATCTGAAACACACATGAGCGTTACTAGAAACAGCTGGATAGTCTGATATGCTTACCTTCATCGGTGGAGCTCCGCAGACACGCCAGCTCTCCTTTGGACACCAGTGCGAGTAGAGACAGCGCAAACATGAACATGGCTGTGCACCTGCGCACTGACCGCGGCTTGGGCGTCAACTCAGGACTTTCGAAACTTCAGCAAGCTACAACTAGGCGACATTGAGACCGCTAAAAATCTGTTTACGATAGATCTGTAACTATAAGGTGAACACGGGTACGAGCAGATACAGAAGAAGGAAATAAGTCACGTGTCGTATAAGTTCTAGAACTTTGACAAGAAAATGAAAGTTGTTACTCAAACTTCAAAGTTCAAATTAACTAAAACGGCGTAAAAGTCCACAAAAACGTTATCAGCCGATTGACTAGAAAACAATTCCTACTTTTGATTTGTTGTCGTTTGATCGAGCTGTTTGAGTTGACAGAATGTGATGAGCTTCCAAAGTCTGTTTTACTGCCTTACAATGTAGCTCTTCCAAAAGCACCTGCACAGACATGACCAATCGATCGCGCGTACCTGCGTGCACAATGCGTCAAATGGACTCTAGATGGCGCCACCACGTAATCATTTACATAGGAACCAAGGATCTATTATAATAACGGATAGGAACATATAAACAGTCTATGATAGGAACATATGAATGCATGTGAATTAATATACATTTTTAATTTTCTAACCATGGTTGACTCCCTCGTGCTCCAAGATGTGTTGAACGTGTCCAAATTAAATTGTTTATACTGATAAAAGTATATTTAACAACAAAACGACCTGATGACATGAGTGGAATTTGATGGGCACCCCTGCTCTAATCGGAGTCCTGACTATCAGAATAAGAGCAGTCTCTCCATCTCTATGATCTTCTAGCGTTCTCGTGGATTCAGGAGAAATGAATCCTGTACTTACACATAGAAAAAGTGCTGCATGTTTATGTATTGAACATCACGGGCCATGTAATAATATTGAATAGAGACTAAGTATTGGTTAACCCCCACTGCATGTGCCTTTGTCTGCTCTGTGCTTCATCTTGCAGGTGGGGATGAGGCCTGTGCTCTTTGAGAATGTGTTCTGTGATTTACTCCCCTGATAAGAACTAGAGACACAAATCCTTTTGGACATGATGGCAAAGGTGAACACTGAGGCAACACAGACATTTATAAACAAAGCATCACCACAATAACTTTTAATGAGAGGGCTGCACTGGTCAGTAATGTTGTAATGGACCTATTGAAGAGTTAGAAGTTAAATATACTAGTACAGACAGTGTACTATGAGGTCTGTGCTACTTCTGCTTGTACTGATTTTACCACCAGACATTAAACAACATTAAACAAATGTACATCTTACACAATGAGCAGCTGCTTAAAATTGGCTCATTGAATTTGGGTTAAATAGCAACTATTCCCAAAAAACAACACGACTTATTAAGCCCTTGCCATATAGGACTATTGTAATTAACTATTCAGACTTGTTTGTTTCAACCAGTTTCAACATGTGTACATTTTGTAGAGTATGAGAAATAAGTACTGACCACAAGCCTGTTGATAATACAGTTATGCAGCATTGACCCTGACAGATAAGGAGAGCTTCCCATTTCTTGTACTTTAGAAAGAATTTGAAAGTTTTACGAAATGCCTAAATATTAAGTTTGGGGAAACTCAGACCATATGCCTCATTCTCTCTTAAAATTAGTCCAAGTAAAATAGTTGTGCTTTTATTCATTTTCTTGACTGAAATCTTAGTCAATAAAACCAGAAGTTAAGTGATGAAATATTTGTATACTCCAAACTGAAAGAACTAAACACAAAATGTCATTATTGTTTTTATTAATGACTACAAAAACTGATGGACCAGTCATAAAGCAAATGAGGGATGAATTGGGTGTGTAGTAAATATGCATTGTATTAGGCAGAGGGTGACAGGCCTTGTAGACTGGTCTTCACAGAAGCAAGATTAGCCTTCCAGGAGGACAAACTGTCATAGAGCTGCTGCCACTGCTGTTTGCCAAAGGTGCGATGTGTGCTATGGCTGAAAGAGTAAACAAATACGCATTCGCAAAGGAAAGTTTCAAAATACAACTTGGTGTTGAAAAATCTTACCTCACAACAACTTTGCGTTGTGTTTGATCAATTTTGCAATAAACCATCTTAGTCCGAACAGCTAGGGAAATCAAGAAACATGTTTGAATAACTTTGGAGGTAGACATGGTCATATTAGGTAAATGGTTAGGTACACAAGGTACAAATATATGTACCATCAATGACAAATGCTTCAACGTCATCAGCTCCGATTTGCAGATCCAGCTGCATGGTGTCAAATGGGATCTCTTTAAATTCTGCTGCCATGCCCATGAATGTTAGCAGACGCATCTTGGCCATGTTTTGCTCATGGGACAGTCCTGGGTGGCAAACATTTATGGGTCATTTAACACAAAAACACTTCATAGTCTACTACTCTTGACCCTGGGAGTTTCCCATTTATTCACTTAGTCTCACATGAAGGGAACATTTCTACTCATTAAGACTAACATGATCCTACACTGTCTGTTTTCAGTGTCCATCCCACGCAATGCAATTACAAACATGCTTTTTTGACTAAGGCCTTTGCTGACACATGCACATTCCAGGGCTGGATCAGCACAAAAACAGAGATTATAATAGTGATATAACATGTTGAATATTATACTGGTGTTTCTAGTGCTACGGAAATAATTGCTAGTGAATTAGAATATCTCATACTTACCCAGAGAGTCAATGAAGTCTTTGTTGTTCTGGTAAAACTTTACGTATGACACCAGTTTAGCACTTACAAAAATGGTTAACAGCTGAAAAGAAAAGAATATTGTAATCAGTATTAAATGCATACGAATCATGTAGTGATTTTCATGACACCCAAATCGTTACATGCATTAATCATGCTATGTTAGTGGGTCTATGTTGTCGCCATATACCTACTGGTAAACTATTGCTGCATGCCCTACCGACCACCACCAATCATTCATGCACACACTGGACTCATACTCGGCAATGTGGGAGAAGTGTATAGCCCAAGGGCACAACAACTTTTGAATGTCCTGGAAAACGGCTTCAAGTCCTAAGGAGCTCTGTAACAATTGTTGTTTTGTGCTTTACAATTTTTTTTTAATTGATTTTTTCTACCTGAGATGTTGGTGCAGTACAGTGTTCAGGGTTTTGCACTGGTCTAGACCAGAGTAGAGAGGGTTTATGGTCCGAACCAAGCGGTGAACCATCAGGTGAAAATCCACTGGAGGAATGCTAACTTTTTGAAAAACGCTTATGAAGCATCAAGCATTTTACTTTGGACTAAAGCAGAGAAAATGGTCCAAACCAAGCAGCTACTTCACCCTGTGACCCGTCCTGCTCCACCCAGAGGCCACTCCATCTCTGCTGCTGTGACCTGTCCTGCTCCACCCAGAGGCCACTCCATCTCTGCTGCTGTGACCCGTCCTGCTCCACCCAGAGGCTACTCCACCTCTGCTGCTGTGACCTGAATGGCTGTTGCTGATTATTACTATCGTTAGCTTTTCAGAATGATCAATTTTATTTGTTATTTTGCTGCTACTGCACACCTGAATTTCTCCTACGGGGATCAATAAAGTATCTATTTAGCTATCTATCTAACAACAGTTTGGTACTTTACAGAGAAAAATCCCTCTTTTCAGGTTTGAAAACATATCTCAATGCCAAAATGTTTCTCTTGCTTAATGATAATGTGATTTTACCGTTTTCCGTAACATCTGTACCATTTTACAGAAATACTTACGTCATGAATGAGTTCGCCTTCCAGGAAACGTACAGGCTTTAGAGTGAGGAGGTGGTCGAACAGGTAGGTATTAGGGTCTTTGAGTGCACGTACAATACATCTTAAAAAAAAAAAGAAGGGATCAAATACTCAGTTTTGTTCTCAATCATTCAAGAGTAGACTGCTACCTGTGGGCATCAACACGTGCTTGTGAAGCATTGTCTTCTGTGTAACTTCCCAGCAGCTCAACCATAACTTTAGCTGCAGCTTCACTGTAAAACAAAACACGTGCCTCAAGAACAGAATACTCAAGACAAACATATCTCCCAAAATTGGATAACATAAAACGACTTTGCAGTACTTAAAATATACCTTTTTTTGCAGTCAACAAGTGCTTCATAAACCAGCCTTAAAAGTGTGTGCTTCTTCTCTGTGTTCAGGTTCCAGTCAATAATCCACTTACGTACCTGCACATAATAAAAATAATATGTTTTAAGGATCTGCAAGTAAGGGCTATACAAAACACCACGTATTGTGTAAAGGGAATAATCTCTCACCTGATCGAGGTCTGTGGGGATAAATGCAATGGCATTACATGTTGCAGCCACTTTAATGAGGCTACAGAAGACTGTGTACCTCACTGGAGTAGTCTCATCCATGCCATGAAACAGGTTACTTAGACTGGATCAAAGCATGCGCCACAAGGTCAGGTCATGTGCCAGATGTTTAAGAATAGTGTGAAACTAAACGTTTTCACTTACAGCTGCATTCTCAAAGAGGGCCTCTCTCCTTCACGGAACTTCACCAGTTTCTCACAGAGACTCTCAATGAGAGCTTCTTGTTTTTCCGTCTCCAGGATCAGCAGCAAGGACACAATGCTATTCATGACACTCTCCACATCTGGTTAGAGATAATGATTATGGGCAATGCGCAAGAGATTAAGATTATTTAGGAGACGTGATAAATACCTTTGTCATCATCCTTCAGGCAGACGTCACTTGCTTCAATAATCTGAGCAAGATCGACATGTAGTCCACCTTCAGAGTTCTCCTCAGAGATGTCTGCTCCTTTCGCCTTGATGTAAGCTCTGAGTTCAGAGGCCTGCGCGACAAAAACATGTATTATAACAAGGCGGTGTAGTCCCTCATTCACTTTTATCAAGTTAAAAGAACCAAGCAAGATTTCATTGTAGGTGGATTTCAACTCCCACCCAGCAGTCATTTACCGATCACACGAGAAACTCATACGTTGAAAATGTTTTAAAATGTGTCATTTAAATGTATTCTGGAGGTATAGAAGGTAGTACTATTGTTATGGTGTAAGCAAACGCACGGACACAATAACATGACGTCTCTCATCTGATACATCTGCTGCACAACATTAGCCACTGCTGCTAGCCTGTTAGCATGCTAACACATCTCTTTGCTACCATCGTTCCGGTGAACATCCAGCCAAAGGGGATGTGTGACAAATTAACATGACATTGTACACCGATTGTGCTATACCTGATCCTCTTCTGTGATGTCGATAAAGGCAGGGACGCTCATTTCGGTGTTTTTAAAGCCGAGGTGGTGAAATCCACGCTCCACCAGGACTGAGACACGAGCGGAAAAGAAAAGCGAGAGACACCGGTGCGAAGGATGCTCTTCCGGGTCAGGATGTTAAAGATACAGGAGCCTCAAACATTGTGTTTTGTTTGTTTTATCAAAACCTATTTTTAGCGTGAGGTTTGTCCATTTACAATTGATGAAATTCAAGCCTCAGGCCTATTTCCTCACTGTGATTGTGTATGAGACATCAGTGTGAGCCTGTAGCCCTAGTACCGTCCTGGATGGTAAAAGTGGTAGGGCACTTGATCCCAAGAGGAGAGGTCATCTGTTGGACCAACTGTGTGGACCATAGTCAGTGGACCACCTATCGAGAGCTCTTCAGGACGCAGGCTGCTCCCATTGACCCTAAGGAGACTTTTTATGAGCTCATATGGCCTATGCTGTTAATGTTAAATGTTAAAGTCAGGTTAACAGAGAACCATGTGATTTGAAAAATGTAACTAACCAATATTATTCTACGTGATGCTTTTCCAGCCTTGGTTCCTGGAGTGCTTTAGAGGAATGTCTTTTCTCCTTGTCCAATAAAGAATCCAAAGCTGATAGACTTGGACCATACCATGTGTATGACGTGTGATGCAGGGAAGGAAAGTGCCTGGTACCACACCTCTCTCTTTCTACTGCTCTTGTTTCAGACAATGCTGGAAATTTATAACCTTTTCTCTGCTAGTGCACTTGGAATTTCATTATCTGATTAACCGTTGCCTGGTGTATTTCAAGTCCCAATAATAGTTGTAAATCCTTTGAAGATCCAGGTGCATGTCTTGAATGTTTGTTTTAAGTGTTGAGTGGCAGTGGAAGGGCAAGAGACAACAGTAAATCATTGAGCTATACCCAAATAATGTATGTGCAATTTTTCAAGGTCTCATAGATGTCCCCCCAGTTTTTACAAAAAGTATGCACTTGCCTTAAGGTAAACTATGTGATATTATTTGCAGTTATTCAAAATATTGATCGGTTCAAAACCTACTGACAAAATTTAAAGCGCGTAATAACACAGTCTCTGCAGTCATTATTTGCAATCACCTGATGTCGGTTTAATTTCACACACAACATTCTCCCAAAACTTCTGGCACGTTGCCTGGTCCGCCATCTCAATGATGAATGGCCAACGTTAGAGTTTGAGCCCAGGTGTGGCCTTCTCTGTCCAGCCTCCAAGTGGTAAGTATCCATGTAAACCAGCCTCATGCTCATCATCCAACACGGCCGCCTACCGTCCACCCACTAATTGTCTGGTTCCCACAGTTCTGCTTGCCTTCACAATCTCTGAAAAATCCCCTTGCTCAGCCTCATCTATCAGGCAGTGACCTTGTCAAGAAGTATTGCATGAGTAACTTTCCTCCAAGGAAAGGTGGACAGAATAGCTTGTTAATTACTTAGAAGCACACTTGGCCTCTCCAAGCGCTCATCTACTTTTCTCCCCAAGGTAAAGAACCCCCTAATATTAATAATTAGTGGATATAGATATAATAGCTCTGACCAGCTCTAATTCGGTCTATTTAATTATAAATGACAAAAACTACTTTTGATAAAACTGAATCAAATCAATATCGAATTTGTCCAACTAAGCAGGTGGTAATTACTTAATCAGTGGTCACTCAATGAGCTGCTAAGTTAAATAGCACAGCATGCAAGAATTTAGGGCCATGCAATTCTGTTTTGTGAGTTCATCAGAAATTGCACATGGAAAGGCAGACGAATAGTCGGTCCACTTACACAGAAGATTGTTGATTGTCGCAAATCTTAACTGAGTTCAATTGTTTTATGCTTTGTTTGTTTTTATGATTCCAATATTTAATTAACTTCTCCATCATTAAAAGATTTTGTGAAGTTGCTAATAACTGATTCATGTTTCAAGTTTGTTGTCACATACACTGAATTTGTATCTGCCATTCAGCAGATCCATCATGCTTCACACATTCCATTTACTAGCTAAAATCAATGTACACAAATATATTTTCCCCATTTGTGACATGCAGGGAATTTAGACTCAACTCAAAGGTTGATAAAGCATTTCCATTTTATCGTTTCCTACAGTATGTTCTTTTGTAAACTGCTTGTGTATTTCAAAAATGACGTACTTACTATTATGCAGCAATAGCTAAAAATAAAAAAACATTGTAATGCGTGAGCTGTGTTATCAACATTAAGACTACATGTAAATTCCACTGTTATCCTACCATATTTAATGAGCTACCACCAAATGCATCCGTCAGAGTCAGTTTGTGGCTGGACCTATCTGAGGTCAGTAATCCCTCTCTGGAGAATGATTGAGTTCTGTTGAAATGGAAATGCTGCTGAAGTAAAAAGAAAAAAAAAAGTCAGTCTTCTTGGAAGTCAGGACACTTCTGTGTCGTTACTCAATCATAAATTATATATAAAAGATACCAACTGCGGTGATGATTCTCAAATCTTATTTTTATGTTACAATTTAATTTTGTATAGAGATTTTAATGATAGCACACCGGTTATCTATTTCCTAATATTTTGTCACAGGCATCTAGGTTGTAGGGTTGTCAAAGTATCAAGAATGCAATATTAATCAATAATTAAGTAACTCATTTAACAAGAGTATAGAAACTGATTTGAGAAAGTATTGATCAATCACAATAACAACATAACATTGCAGTTGGTATCAAAGGCTGAGACTTTTTAATAGCATAGAAATAATACTTAGTTTGTAATCATAGTGCTGTGAGAACACTTTGTTTCTGGTCATATCGCACATTTTTGTTCCACACTAGTTACTCCGCACTTCTGAACTTGTATGTTGTAGATAGTAAAGTAAGAATAGTAGAAAACTGTCCGTCAGTCTGCTAGGCAACAATTATTTCTGATTGAGAAAGTGGCCTTCCCTTGAACAGATCTAGCAGTGATTGCGGTAACATCTGTTGCCCCATGTCACACATTTTCCTGACATCTGCAGACTTGGATGAGGTAGTAGCTTATGACCACAGGACAGAACCACTGCACAGATATGTGCAGTATTTCTGATGATTGCTCACATCCAGCTGCTCAGGGTGTGACCTCTGGAAAAGGCTGTGGTTTACTGTAAGGACCAGATAAAGACTGGCCTTGATGCTGACACACAAGCACCTGCTGAGATGAGACACACTTATTCAGCTGAATTCATACTTACCACAATTATTAATGTTACAACATCCAGTTGTCAGCATGGAACAAGCTATCTATGGGTTTCACAATAATGACAAATGTCTAGTCTATATTTCTAGTTACAAAGATTACTTGATGTATAGCAGCAAAAGTTACTGTATATTTACCTTTTTTGAAGTAACTCAGTAATGTAACAAATCTAAAAGGATAATAAGTCACATCAGATGTACACTTGGTTTGATCTCACACTTTTACAATTCATTTCAGTTTGATACAACTTGTACAACCAAACATACCTTTCTACATCCAGAAAGAATGTATGAAATGAAAGTATTCCAAATGACACACAACACTATTGCACTACTATTAAATTACATTGTCATCCCACAACTAGTAATATTTAAATCTACAAAGGCTCAAGATAAATATGCATTCGAATGTTTATTAAGTTACATTTGCACAAATATATGGTTTGGCGATGAATCCCTGTCAGAAATATTGCACAATGCACACAGCGGGAATTGAATAATGGGAGTGCAATCCCCCGGGGGCTAGACCCTGGTGGAGGTGGAAGCTGAGCCGATGAGATGTGATTTCACAGGAGGCAGGTTTCTGCACAAACAGCAGCTTAATGCATAGACTGTGAGGCACCGTTTAAATGCAGCCATAGAGGTGAATGGTGATTGGCAGTTGTAATTAAAGCACTATCACTTTCTACTTCAGTCGCTTGTGTCTGAAGTTATTACATTTATAGGAGCGCTTTAGCAAACATTGCACACATTTGCTCGTATTATTGAGTAACTTTTCCTGTCAGACACAGGCCCTTCTCATATTGTCTTACTCAGAGCTCTAGCGCGATTCCAGTTAGGGGTCAGAGACAGTGTTGACCATTTCCCTTCTACACCAGTGTTGTTTTAAACCCGGAGTTAAGCAGAGGAATGGCCGTGTTTGGGGGTGCCATTTGTCATGTTTTGACAAAGAGAGTTTTCTCCTGGGTCTGTCACCTTTGATGAATCTTCACACAACACTGGGGGCGCAAAGACACAGTCTTTGCACCCCCAAGTTACCTTGGCTGCACAGCTAGCAGTTGTGCTACAGTCTTTTTTCAAATATCCTCTTGTAATGTTACGATACATTTTCAATTTTCAACAAATCAAAGTAGACCTTCACCTTGATTTCCTGAATATTTCATCATTCAACAATGATGACTAGTTTAGACTATTTTAAGGAACTGTGATTCATGTTTGACAATAGTCAACATGAATCACAAATATGGGAATTATAATCAAATAATGTATCACTGCTTGTATTGATTTTAGTACAAGAAGTATAATAAAAAAGAATAATTTCAGGTAGCAAAACTCCCATGGTCCAATCCAATAGTAAGTCCAGAGTAAGGCAAAGTTAGTCATGGTCTTGCTCCTCCCACTGTCCATCCTGTGTCTTCAGCAGAGTAAGAAAAGTCAGAGACCAAAGCAAAGAGCCCACCACACCTCAGCAACTCTGCACTGACTTCACAACCTTTTCTGATACTTTATGTATTACCGTAATTTATCAAACACCTTGGTTTCAAGATGCACTCTGCGACTTTATTCTCTGTTATTCTGATTGTGGATTAGCGTCTAGTAGTCATATCTTCTCCTTAAACCTTTTTTAGGACTTGTTTTTTTTTTGGACTTGTGATGTTGACGGAGCCGTGTGCGTCCATGGGCCCTTTGAGCTCCGAGGTTCGGGAGCTGACTTTGTTATCGCCGGCCCCTCCGGTGTCTTCTCTACCTGGAGTCAGCGAGGGACAATGGCCTCAGTTTTTAGACCTCCATCCCTCCTCCACCTACAGCTGTTTGCAGGCCCCTCACTCGCTCATCAAGCAGGAGCCAAGCTGGTGCACCTCAGACTCTCTGGAGGAGCAGCACTGTGGCCTGGGGGCCTTCACCGTGCACTTCTCAGGACAGTTTGCAGGCGCGGGGAGAGCATTTGGAGAACCAGCCTCAGGCCAACCAAGAATGTTCTCCAATGGGACATACCTACACTCCTGTGTGGACAGTTCCTCTGCGCCCAGGAGCCAAGGTGAGGAGGGAACATGAAGCTTTTCTTTTCTGTGGTCTATTCATCTGTCTCTTGTTCAGTTTGTAGATCACATTTTAATTCAATTCAATGTATTATTGTATAGAACTAAATCAAAACAGTAATTATCTCGGAGGAATTTACACAATCGTTGAATTTGCCAACACAGATCAGAGAATCAAACTGTTCAAACAGAAAACACATTGGTATTGGTGCATAAGTGGCAGATGACCAATGTCCATAAATGTTGATAAATATCCATACATTTTGTTGATCGTTGAATGTCCTGGATCATTACCACTGTCGTCCTTTTAGTTAAACCCTCACAAGGCTCTAACAGACCCCCTGCATCAGCAAGGAAAAACTCTAAACCCAGTGGGTATCTAACTTTGAAACCACAATAGACTAGCGGTGTAATAAATCCCGGCTCTTTAACTGCTTGTTTCTGTCACTAGTTTTCACAGGATTGTATGTTTGGCCTCTGTCACATCTTCAGATCTGCCTGTTCAGTGAAAACCAATAACCTTTCAGTATGTAAAATATAAAATGTTTTCTTTTAAAGTTAAGATTACATGTTATGGTATGATTTGTTCACAAAATTTCGCTTGAATAATTGTTTAGACTGTTAGGACAAATCAAACGTTTTTGATGACACAAATAAAAGTTTGGCCGTTATTATTACGTGATTTTTCCCATCATGCCTGATATCCTTTTTACCTTGAATGTCTTAACTTTGAGAAATGTATTAACTCAAGTTTGTGAGAAGCAGGTTCTGTTAGACAAGTATGTTTTTATTTATGCTTACAATTGAACTATACACCTGGATTCTCATCTGGAGTTAGAATCATTTTTCACTTACAATAAAAGACCAAATCCAGTAAGCTGGATTTGTGCTGGGTTTTTTAAGTGTCATTACCATTCTTAGTATATTCTCTAAACACGTTTTTAACATGACACTACTCTCTCTTTTAAATCCACATTGTTCAATTATTACTCACTGAGAAATGCGACTTATCCTCGAATAAACTTTGAAAACTTAAATTTAGCCCTGACTCATCTTTTGCAAGTTATGACGCAATTACTTTGTTTCGAAATGTTGACGTTCTTTGTCACTTATTTTCATTCTAAAACTTTACAAGATTGTTGTAACTCTAACTTTAAAGCAGTACATACATTTGAAGGTTTAGGCTCAATTTTCTGCCCAAATGAATTGATTGTACAAAACCAAAAATAAAATGTGCAATAGATATTTAGGGTCAAAAACATCTGATGGACATATTTGATAACTCTGCAGAAGAGAGAAAAACAAGTCCATAAGTTAGTTTATTACTGTATTTTATTATCTCTTCGGTCATTAGTATACAAAAAGAGAAGACAAATTTCCACTTCCACATGTCAGCTCTAACAATATCAGTTTTACGAGCTGCAGCAAATTCGCAGGACGGCCAATCTCTAAGTTGATGCTTCACGGATACATTTCAGTGCTTTTAAATCCTGAAGTATATAATTGTATAGCTTAATCAGAGCATAATTCAGAGTTTAAATCAAGATTTGCCATTGGATTGAATGAATGGAACACAGAGAAGGCATGCAATACTCACTTGGAATGATAAAAATATTTAAAAAGACTATACTTATTCTGTTTGCAAATAAGTATATTCTAGATCTGCCTCCAATCAGGAATAAAAAGGCCTGATTAAAGCTAATTACTGAGCAAAATATGACGTTATTTGTGGTTGTTTTTGCGGTGCTATAAAGCAGTTGTTTTCTTTATTCTTTCAGGCTATGGGGCAATAAACTTGGATAACAACCCGAGCTACGGTCTCACTCCTTCCCACCAGCTCCCCAGTTTTTCCTTCAAACATGAAGACCCGCTGTCGCCCCTACACAACATGGGTAAACTCTTCGCCCTTGTGTTTTTACTGCGTTCATTGACCGACTGTGGGACTGTCAAGTCTCTGCAAGGTTATATAAGTAACCCATCATTTAGCATTTCACAACAAAGCCATTTCCCTCTGTCACATCACTTCAGATTGAGTCGCATACGTTCGACAACGCGCTCCGCTTGTCTCTTTATGCTTTTAACTTTAATGGCTCAGAGGGAAAGTGCCTCTATTGTTATTATAGACTTTCTAGATTGTGGAACTGTGACTGATTTGTTGTCAACACACATGGTCCACGGGGGGTTCAAGTCACAAACTAGGAAATTATATCTATTTATATTTTTCATGTATTATTTTAACCCAAGCCTCATAATCTCATTCTTTGAAACAAAAGAAATAGCACTATTAAAAACAAGATCAAAATATAAAAAGAATCAAATATGAGAACCGTGTTGGGAAACAGCTTGTGTGAAGCCAAGTCTCTGTACAGAAAGTGTCCTGGAGCTCTTTAGCAATTCTGTTATTTTGCCGCCTAAAGGGTTAATGCATTGTATATCTTTATCATTCTTAATTGTGTATTTTCTATTTGCAGTTGAGCCGCAATATACAACTCCAGCTCCAGTCTTTGGGTGCCATAATCCTCCCGAATCATGTCCAAACAACCAAGCATTACTTCTGCGAAATTACAACAGGTACAACCATCATTTCTGTATATTACAAATGTCAGAAACTACACAGTACTAGTAAAAACAACACAATCAATAGTTAACTAATGTATTTTTTTTATTAAACTAAATGGTTCTCATTAAGAAAATAACACTTTTAGTGGGTACAGCATCCTTATGTAATTCCAACTATGTTCATAATACAACCATTTTTGCAACAATTTACTCAAATTAGCACAGTCCTTGAGGCTAACTCCGGTGCATTGCATGAAAAGGAAACATGTATGTTCTAATACATTTATTAGCCTCATTTATTCCCAAACATTATCCCTATTTAAATATAAACACATAAAACATAAATAGACCCACCGGATTGAAGCCACGTTTTATACAAAGGAGCCACAAAGAAACATTTGAAAAGTTCATTTGCAAAAAAGTGTCATGAGAAAAAAAAACATTTGAAGTGCTTACAGTTTGCCATTTACCAAGACATTTCTAGTGCCAAACAATTAAATATTCTCCCCTTATTTAGCTTATTCATGCCAATAACAAAACATGTTGAAGATTGTGGTGAGAGGAACACAACTTTTCCACACATTTTCAAAACAGATGTCCAATATTTAGCAAACATTCACACACACACACACACACACACACACACACACACACACACACACACACACACACACACACACACGCACACACACACACACATACACACACACACACACACACACACGCACACACGCACACACAAACACACACACGCACACATCATGATGAACTGCTGAAGGGGTAAGCAGTGACAGTAAGTCAAGAGTGGAATCTCCTTATTGTAACCGATGTTCCAGTGCCCTGTCTGTTTTCCTTTTGATTCTGAACATCTCTTGGGGTAAATTAGGATGAAATTCCTCACATGCCGCCTGAGCAGTGTTTTTGGAGAAAAGGAACATGTTCAACCCAAATACTGGAGCAACAGCTGATAAGAGGATGACTTTGAGAGCTTCTGGTCCGAGCTGGAAGCCCTCAAACTTTGTATATATAAGTCATGTGTTAGTGAGTGCTTCCACTGTTTTAGCCGGGCTGATTAGAGAGCCATCACTATCCTGCCTCTCAAGGACTTCTTCAGGAATGCTGTCCAGAATTCCCCTGAAATTGTTTTTCCCGCCTTGGAAGATACAGCCGACTGAGTGATGTCATGCACTGGGCCGTGAGGTACCAGGCACGGACACACTCAGGCCTCCACTGATCTCTGTATACGGCTAGAGCGATCTACAGTATGTGTGTGTGTGTATGTTTGTGTGTGTGTGTGTGTGTGTGTGTGTGTGTGTGTGTGTGTGTGTGTGTGTGTGTGTGTGTGTGTGTGTGTGTGTGTGTGTGTGTGTGTGTGTGTGTGTGTGTGTGTGTGTGTGTGTGTGTGTGTGTGTTTGTACAAAGCAGTGATAGTTGCCAAGGTAAAGAATGGCTCAGATCCCATGTTTTAATGAACCAGGGAGGAGTATATGATGGGTGGACAGGATGTGTTAATAAGTGAGCCATTTGGACTTCCCCTAAATTACCTTTTGTTGTCTATAAAAGCGAAGAGCGATGACACTATCTTTAATAATACAGGCTTCACTGCGGAAGGACAAAAAAACATACTGTATAATGTATTGTGTTCTGATTCTAGTTGTTGTTCTAATGAATCCCTGAGACTATGGACAATAAGGACAGAAGAGGTGGAAGTGATACAGCTATAATAGTTATCTGTTGTTTATAGCCCTAATCTGTACAAACTAGAACACTCATTAACATAATCCTCACTGAGACTTATATTTCTGGTTTTCAATCAAATGGTTGTAAATCTCATGTCCCCTCCCTCCTCTTCTATTTCTATAAACTTGAATTATTACATAGAGATTAGAGAAGTGTTTTTCCCCATAATGATCCATACCTCTGTTTTAACTGTTTTATTTGCTTTATTATTATAAATGTCATTTTTGTCTTGAATAACTGGTATTTTATTGTTTTAATTGAATGTTTTATTGTTTTTCATAACTTCATAAGTAATAATTGTTGCACTTATTCTATTTTTGATACAAACACTGCTGGCAAACCTGTATATTTAAATGAGTTACTTTCATCTCTTGGAAACTTATAAAATGTGCCAAATGAATAAACTGGAATGGAATAGTTTGGACACATAATAATAATCATCATAACCGGTCATGCTTTTAATAAATACAGATTCATAATAAAACAAATGTATTATAGTTCAGTATTTGTGAAAGGAGGCTAATCAGAAATGGTGTGATGATAATAATATATATGTTTTTTGTTTTCTGCAGTGATAACTTGTGCCAAATGGCCTCTCAGATGGAATGTATGACGTGGAACCAGACAAACACACTGGCCTCCTCCATTAAGAGGTACATCTCATATGCTTTAAACCACTGGGTCACTGTGAATCTGTTAGGTTGTAAATTGCCAGTTCTGGTTTTAATTTAATATTTAGATAAGTACCACACAATGGTCTTTCAATTTAACATACTTTCCACATTAGTCTATCGTAGCTTATCTTATCTTAGTAGCTGTGACCTGTCTGCTTGTGTTATTCCCAAGAATTGGACAAATGGTTCCAATTATTTTATAATGCGTTTATCATTTCATACCTGTAGCTAGCTTAGGTCCTAGATCATTAGCCTGTCCGTCCGGAGGAGCGGATCCCTTTCTCATATGGGTCTCCCTCCCTGTGGGTTTCCCTAGTTCTCCCCAAGGTTTCTCACTTTTTCCCACTGGGTTTTTTAAGAGTTTTTCCTTGTCGATGCAGGAGGGTCTTGTTGGACAGTTAGTGTCCAACAGAAAGGATTGGTGATGATCAGGACACTTCTACAACATGTATGGACATTTTCTTCTATGTGTGCTTTATATTCTCCATGTGTTTTGGCTGTTGATTCTCTGACCTGTGTTGGTGATTTCAATGGTTTTGTTAAGTCCTCTGAGATTACTTCTGTTGTGACCTAGGGCTATACAAGAATAAATTGTATTGTATTGTATTGTATTGTATTTGTTTTCTAACATATTTAACTAATAACCTCAGCAGAACAGGGCCTTCTGTACATGGACATCAGTTACCTTTATGCATGATTATTGTCCCTGCCAAATAAATGGCAACTTTAAAACAGCAGAAAAAGAGCGGTCACTACCAGAAAACATAATAGTTTATATGATTGCTAAGATTGCTAAGTTAAATTCAATTAGGGTCTGCAGATGGAAACTATAGCTGTCTAGCTCTGATCTGGTGCAGAATATATAGCTTTGTGTCGCTGTGCACTTCCTCTAAATTAAACTAAACTAAACCAATTTCTCGTGCAATTTGACTTTGATCAGATTCAGCCTAAACCATTCGGTCTGTAAAATAGTCAATACATGGATATGAATTGTTCTTGCTGACTAATGGCTATATAAATATTAAAATAGAATGAATAAGTGCCAATGTTTTGTTTTTGTGTGTGTTTGGCGGCAGCTTTGAGACAGATCCAGCACCTCCACCTCCTCAGATGCTGCTGAGCTGTAGCACCCAGTACCACATCCACGCACACGGTGTCTTCAGAGGCCTACAGGTAAAAGATCTTATCGATTATAACAGAAGACATTTTCTCTTATATTATCTTAATGTATATTGACTTTGCATGCAGGATGTGAGCCACGTTCCCAGTATCACCCCATCTACATCCAAATCTAACGAGAAGCGTCCGTTTGAATGTGCTTATCCTGGCTGCAGTAAACGCTACTTCAAACTGTCCCATCTGCAAATGCATGGCCGCAAACACACAGGTGAGCTATTTATGAGGAGCAAAGGTTTATTCAGAATGGAGGGGTAAAAACAGCATGATCATTTGGGATTTGCTTCATGATTACATACTTTCTTCTTTTGCAGGGGAGAAGCCATACCAGTGTGACTTAACAGAGTGCGGCCGCCGATTCTCTCGATCGGATCAGTTAAAAAGACATCAGCGGAGACACACAGGTAAGTGCAGGGGGGTTAAATCAACCTGTATAGTGTGCGAGATTTTAATAAAGACAGGGAAGCTAGAAAGAACACTGTAACAAAAAAGTCATGGATAAACAAGGAAGGACCCAACAGCAGAACTGCGAAATTAATATAATTTGATAAATGGCAAAGAAAATGAATCCAAGAGAAAAACACAGAGACAAGTCAGGGCGAATTTAACAACAATGGACCGACAACAAGAGGACAGGGTCTAAATACACACAGGGAGACGCAGGGAGACGCAGGGAGACGCAGGGAGACGCAGGGAGACGCAGGGAGACGCAGGGAGACGCAGGGAGACGCAGGGAGACGCAGGGAGACGCAGGGAGACGCAGGGAGACGCAGGGGTAACATGTCAGGGCGGGGCAAATAATCAACAGGAAGTGAAACTCACAACAAGAGCACAAATATGTATCAAAATAAAACCAGACATGACACAAAAAATCATCTAAGTTCTGTGATCCAGTATCTAGGTTAAGTTAACTTTTTTTTTTTTTTATTAAAGCTGTATTGTAATAGAATTTTAATAGTAAAAAATGAAAAGACCAAAACTTGCTGCCTTGAGATCTTGTTAGAAAACATTTTATCTTTTGCATACTTAAGAAAGGGCCCTGTTAGTCACTATTTGATGCTTTGGGCTGAGAGCTGATTGGCGTATGAGTGAGGGTATGACCTCTCTTTTTCACTTTTCTGTCTGAAAAAGCAGATCTAAAGATGTTTCACAAATACATGCATGTGAAATCTACAGTGATAGAACTGAAGCTGTGTTGAGAGTGAAGAACAATAGTCAGGTGGCTTGTAATGCATAGTTCAATGTTTTTTGGTCTGAAATTAAGGTACACCTGCTAGTGAGTGCAGTGAGATTAATAAAAAATAAAAAACATATATATATATATATATATATATATATATATATATATATATATATATATATATATATATATATATATATATATATATATTATAGCATCATACTCTAGAATTTTCTTTTTAGAAGAGAAAAGTTGATAAAACAATATTTGCCGATGAGACAAGCAGACCTGTCTCATTTTTAAAGACACTTGATTTAAGTCCCTTTGGTAAACATGGCCAAATGCATTAACTGCATTGTATTGCGTCAGTTTTTGCAGTGCTGGTTTATAACAATCACCAAAATGGAAGCAATGTAAAAATAAAAATAAATCAATTAATTAAATCAATTCCTGTATCCCTGTATTCACACTGGAAATGCTTATATATCCTATTTCAGGTGTGAAGCCGTTTGAGTGCCAGACCTGCCAGAGAAAGTTTTCACGGTCAGACCACCTTAAGACACACACTCGGATTCATACAGGTAAAACAAGTGCGTATAACCTTCTTTTTTCTACTTTTGTATTCACAGTCTAAATCCTCATAAATATGTGACATGGACAAATGAAGTGATTCCCTCTTTCTCTCTCTCTCTTTCTCTCTCTCTCTCTCTCTCTCTTCCTCTCTCTCTCTGCCCTGTCTGTCAGGTGAGAAGCCTTTTACCTGCCGCTGGTCCAGCTGTCAGAAGAAGTTTGCGCGCTCCGACGAGCTGGTGCGCCACCACAGCATGCACCAGAGGAACCAAAGCAAACTTCAGCCCCCAATCTGAACCACGGCAGCAGCAGCAGCAGTGAGGAGGAGGAGGAGGAGGAGGAGGAGGAGGAGGAGGAAGGTGACAATGTGCTGTGCCAGCGATAGGGACCGACTGCGCAGGAGCCTGGTCAGCGCTTCTATGGTGCCGTGCCAGGTTTACCCAGCAGCTGATGCCTTGGCTCTGGCCAGATGACAGCAGGAGATTCACTTTCCTAATGTGGCACTTGCTTTGTTATTTGAGTTTAAATAGGTCTGTTCATTCTGAGCCAAAAACTATAACGAACATACATAAATATGTATACAGGAAATGCAATGTAATGTAACTGCACTGGCTTCTTCATTCATTTGTGATAAGTAATGTACGGTGTTCTGGAAACTGGATTTAGGAAACACCAAATGTGCCACATAATAATAGTTTGGGTTCACATGAGATTCTATGTTTAAAGGTGGCCTTAAAGCTAGGGTACATGTTTTTATCTGTTTCATAAATAAATGTTAATGGTTCCAACAGAAAGATAATGAATCCATTATTAGTGAACATAGTCTCTTTGGCAAACTGTTAAGAAAGATCCCTGTGAGTCACTATTTGACACTTTGGGTTGAGAGCTGATGGTGCTTCTCTCGGTTACACTTTTTTGTCTGAAAAGACTGATGTAAAGATGTGATGTGATAGAGGTCAAAAATATAAACAAGGGATGGAATCCAACTAGTTAGATGGATTTATTTACATTTTATTGGTTTAAAAGTTAGGTACTCCACGCCCCAAATATACCTCTAAGGTGGATTTGACTGTCACATGATTTAACGATACTGAATGTGGTTAATATTTCTGGAATGATGGGTTAATGTGCAACAAAAAGAGGCACATATTTTTCTGTCACAGAAACATGTAATATTTTGTAATATTTTTCAACATTGTACAGTACAACAAAAATATTGTTTTGTATTGTGTTTTTGCTCGGTTTCTATTTTGGAAGTGATTCATGATTAACTGAAAAACAAAAACATATAATTCTCCAGTTGGCTTGTTTATTCAGCGAGGCATGGTAGAGATTTCATTCATTCATTTCATTCATTTGTATATAGGAATTAACTATTGTAATTTACAGTATTTACATATTATACATGATACAAACATATATATACACTCATTATTCATGAAGATACAGACACCTTTTGTTGACATGGGGCCTCATGTCATATTAACACGGCCACTATGTCTCATCCTACTTAAAATGTTTTGACCTGTTTGAGACGTGATAGCCAAAACTACCAAACTAAAAAACTAATATAAACTTCAACTTCAACTTCGAACTTCAACAATGAATTTCCGTAGAAGAACAAAAGTGTTTGACCCGGTGTGACCACACGAGGGCAGTGTGACCCTGTTGGGTGAGGGGAGCTCTGAGCGCACTGATCCGTCCTTATTGTTAAACGTGAACTGTGTGAACGCTCAATGTCCTTCTGCACTTTGGGTGTCCACTTAATATCTGTCCACCTACAATACATTTAAAGACACAAACAAAGATTTTTCTTTTTTTTAAAGCACATTTAAAAAAAAAAAAAAAAAAAAAACGGACATATGATTGATGCCAGGGCTAAATGACCACATGGATTGTACAGCACATAGCAGCAGGCTCTAAGTGGCGGTGGGTTTTAGAGCCACGTGCTTGTCCGCACCTGTGTCTGTCTCATACATCCACGGTCTGTCTCATACATCCATGGTCTGCTTCATACATCCATGGTCTGTCTCATACATCCAAGGTCTGTCTCATACATCCACGGTCTGTCTCATACATCCATGGTCTGCCTTATATACATCCACGGTCTGTCTCATACATCCAAGGTCTGTCTCATATACATCCATGGTCTGCCTCATGGTCTGTCTCATACATCCAAGGTCTGCTTCATACATCCACGGTCTGTCTCATATACATCCATGGTCTGTCTCATACATCCATGGTCTGTCTCATACATCCATGGTCTGCCTCATATACATCCAAGGTCTGTCTCATACATCCATGGTCTGTCTCATACATCCAAGGTCTGCCTCATATACATCCATGGTCTGCCTCATACATCCATGGTCTGCCTCATATACATCCAAGGTCTGTCTCATACATCCATGGTCTGCCTCATACATCCATGGTCTGCCTCATACATCCATGGTCTGTCTCATACATCCATGGTCTGTCTCATACATCCATGGTCTGTCTCATACATCCATGGTCTGTCTCATATACATCCATGGTCTGTCTCATACATCCATGGTCTGTCTCATATACATCCATGGTCTGTCTCATATACATCCATGGTCTGCCTCATACATCCATGGTCTGCTTCATATACATCCATGGTCTGCCTCATATACATCCATGGTCTGCCTCATACATCCATGGTCTGTCTCATACATCCATGGTCTGTCTCATATACATCCATGGTCTGCCTCATACATCCAAGGTCTGTCTCATACATCCATGGTCTGCCTCATACATCCATGGTCTGCTTCATACATCCATGGTCTGCCTCATATACATCCATGGTCTGCCTCATATACATCCATGGTCTGCCTCATATACATCCATGGTCTGCCTCATACATCCATGGTCTGTCTCATACATCCATGGTCTGTCTCATACATCCAAGGTCTGTCTCATACATCCAAGGTCTGTCTCATACATCCATGGTCTGCTTCATACATCCATGGTCTGTCTCATACATCCACGGTCTGTCTCATACATCCATGGTCTGCACCTGCACAACCTTCATCCCGGGCACGGATTCAAATGTGGCTGTGTTCCAGAGTTAGGGTGAGTCTTGAAGGAGTGATTTAGGCGGTTGTCCCTCAACTGTCTCAACATTGACAATGCACATTTGTGTACATTCGTTCTACGTGTTTCATAGCGAGCCACAGAAAGCTACAGAAATGGCATCGAGCTACTTGTTTTAAGTTATCAAAAGAAATTGATTTATTTTTTTGTGAGTAAGCGCTCAGTTGGGTACTGTTAAATCTGGGTACCTAACTTTTTATTTGTCCCAACATAACGATAACACTGGGCGTCTATCAGGAGCAGTAGAAGCCGTAGTTCAGCGGCTGGGGACCCATCTCCAGAGGTTGGTGCTCGGCGGAGCACTCGGAAACCTACACAGACACAGGGAGAACATGCAAACTCGACCGGAATTCGAAGCCAGCACCTTCTTGCTGAGACGAGAGAGTGCTATCCACTCAGAGAATGGTCTTCTCCTTTTCAGTGTCTGTCTGAAAAAGCACACGCATGTGGAAACTAGTGATAAAAGCACACTTTGAGAGCACATCACATGGATTTTTTACATTGTTTGAAATTTAAGCACCCCAGCTTATGAATTATGCATTTACAATATGTCAATCATAGGATTTTGATCATAGCATCTTCTTGTCAGGGGTGGGCACTGGTAAAGGATGGAGATTGGAGACCCCTGATTTTACATTTACATTGACATAATCCATGGGAGAAAATGGTAAAAGTAGTACTTTCTAAGTCACAAACAAGAAACTCATATTATTACTTTAATGGATTCCTGTAAAATGCCTGAATAGCGTCTGCGATGGCTTGGTCTGTAAAATGTTAGCAATGCATGATCACACAGGGACGTGCACTAACTCCCTTGCATGCCACCAGATGCCCCTTCAGCTGTTGGGCGAGTGCCTTTAAGGGTGTGAGCATGGGTAATCTCAGGTGACATACACCTGGTAATGCACAGCTCAAGACATCTGTAGGACAGCAGGCCTGCTAACTTCACAGCCTCCAGATGCATGTGCAGCTCCTGCAGAGTGTCTGCTCAACCACATATGAATGATCAACTTCATTGCTACATAAACCAAACCAATGACTTTTATAGTGCGACTTTACAAGGGTGTAGTCACAGAAAAGAGTTTTCCAAATAGAGACAACAAAAGTTAGATGGACTGTTGATTAGTTCTCATTTTTTGACAATCAAAGAAAATAAAGGCATTATACAGTAATTGATTGACACCCACACCTAAATGCACAGGTGCATGTGATGTGAGGATACAGTGAATCTTGGGGCCAGATAAGACATTGTTTAACCTTCAGAGCTGGAAAGGTCGGTGCACATATAGCACACTGAGGCCTCAATGAGCCCCTGGGGATTGTTAACAAGGTCAGAGCCCCAGAGACTAAACTCACAGGGCTACAAAGAGACCAGCACGGAGCAGCCTGGCTGTGCCAACAGGAGGCGCTGGCCAGACCCCTTTGTAAGTTCAGTGAAGCATGATTTTAGTGGTATTCCCAGACAGCTTCTCTTCCCTGAGGCTGCTCTGCTGTAGAGCTGTGCTGGGCCAGAGTCTGAGAGCCCTGGTTCTTGGGGTATTCCCTATGGTCTGAGGCTGCCGGAGGGGCTCCGGTGTGGAGCAGCTCTGGGACTGCATAGGCCTTGGGGGCCTGGAGCTCAGATGGAGCCTACAGGGCAAACTTTCTCACTCAGGGAGCAGAGTGGCACACTCCACAAAGACAGAGGGGAAACACCTTGAGAGGAGTCTGCCATGAAAGCAGCAGCAGCCGTTCTATACTCCCACGAGGATACAAGGCATAGAAACACACTTATAGTGAATAAAACCAACATGCACTATATGCTTGAAAAAGCCTCTGCCCTGAGCCATCTTTCATCTTCCTTAACCTGTCCTGCTGTCCCTGACTCTGCATGAGGATGTTCATTTCTAACAGGATTAGATGTATTTCTCTCATGTGAGATCACAAAGCTACACATGCTCCCTGGGGAACACAGGAAAGAGATAAAACCAGGGCCAGCATCACCCAGATCCCGCTCACTATCCCAAAGGTAACCAGATGCTGAGATGGAGATCGCAAGGGCCACAGTCAAATGGAGCGAGAGAGGTATTTTGTCCAAAGATATCAGTCTCAATGGGATCGTACTGTCTACATCCCATGTGACCTCAAAAAACAAGTCCTCTGTAATGAGCACTCTCTCTATCATCAAAAATATGCAGAAGTGGGACAATCGTTATATCTTAATTATCCAGACCTATTGGAGGCACTTACAATTAGTTACCAACTCACTAGGTTTATAGGTTGCCAAATTAAAATATATGGCAGTTTAAATCCCCCTCTCTAATTGTGTAGCCATTAATTGAAGATTTCCTATCTACACAGGTCTGATAGCAACACGAAAAATGGTCAAGAGCAATCCCAAAATGTGGTCAGTCAGCACACACACACACAAGATTATTCAGCACATAGAGCCACCACAAGTTATGTACAGTAATTTATGAATTCATAAATGTAATTTCTTGAAGCTAGGGTACCTAACTTTCAAATCAAACACTATCTGACCAGTTTGCTCTCAAAGCAGTTTGATACTTTATCATTTTCACAAGTCACTGAGAAAAGATTCAAGATTAATTTATTATGTCCCGTATAGGAAATTTGTCTTGGACTCACAGGCTGCTACATTGAAAATACACATAAGACAGACATAAAAACACAACACAGTAACACCGATGGCCTGCATTCAGGAGGTTTATTTATTTATTTAGAGGATAAGCCCCTTGAGATTAACCATCTCGTTTTTGAGGGGGTCCTCAAGATTTCACAAAGAGACAGATACAGCAAAACAGATGCAAACAAAACAAAAATACAAGAAAATAAAAATAAACAAGCAACCATAAAACATACACACACATAAACCCTCAATCACTCACACACACACACACAGGCTGTGACTGTACTGTTCTTACACTAAATAAGGATAATACTATTAATAATAATAGTAATAACAATAATTGGGAGACAGTACAGACAAGATTAGGTACACTCTAAGATTGTATATAATCGTGAACAAATGTAATTTTGATAATTTACATTTGTATATTATTCAGAAATGTCTCCACTGTGGACTCTCACTATAAGAATTGGTCAGCAATTAAAAAGAGATCCAACATTCAGGATGTGGAAGACAAGAGCCCTAAAGACTATAAACACATGAAAGCTTTCAAGTGTTTTTGAAATAAATGGCACAGTGCTATAACCATATTGTTGGAGGAAGAAGGGATTATTCCACGTTGGAGGAGGGTTAACCGATTCAGACAATGCAGTGCAATGAGTTTCACTTTACGAGCCTTTTCAGCATCACTCTCTCCCTCAGTTCACCCAAAGGGCTCATTATTATTAGTCCGAAGCACATGGCGTCCACCGACATTCATATGAGATCCGTCTGAAGTCATTACAACACAAACACTCCCCCAGTGCCAATGATTAAGAGGCTATCAGGAGCGTCAGGGGCCGGCTGTTAAGCATGGCCGCAGGCACCGCCCTCACACAAGCAAACACAGGCCTACTTAGTTCATTTACATCCTGATCATTCATGCCACTCTTCACCTTCATGCATACCTTCTATATATTATTACGTAGCCTGATATATGTCACAGATGATTATCAAACTGCTTAGGGACGCATAATAGTACATACTGTGTGTGTGTTTTTATTTATACATCAATAAATACAAAATGGGTTCAATTTGTCTAAAAAGGAGTATTTGATTTTTTTTTTGTTCTGACGAGAACTCGGTTTAGTCTTGGTTTAGGTCCGGTTCTGTTAGTCTTCTAAAGCATTCAGCACTTGGTTTAAGTCCCTAAAATATAGCAACGTCTTCAGCACTGCAGGAATCATCTAATTTCAAATATTCACTTATCCCTCTGGCATGAGCCAGGCTACAGCTCTGGAGTTTTGATAGTGAGAGTTAACCCAGCTGAATTCCAGCAAATGTGGAAACTCGGCGAGTATAAAAGTACAAAGAGTAACATTACAAAAAAAGTAAAACCAAAATCTTAGATAGACCTCAGGCTTTAGTTCTTGGAACTAGTCCAATTTACCAAAAACTCTGACATTTTGTTTTATTGTGCTCAAATCATTTGTATATCTATCGTTTCAATGGAAAAAGTACCAACAAATGTTACATCTAACAGAAAACTGAAACCCACCAATGTAGATGGAACCCTTTATATTAATTTACATTTCTCTCACAGAAATCCTTGACTGTCTGACATTACATTGATATAAAAAAAACGAAAGTATAACACATCCCACTCATGTCCGTCTCATACTTCTTCTAATGAGTTTTATTACATTGGTCTCGCTTGACTTGCCTTGCTAACTGGCACACATACATCCATATGTTCCACATGAGCGGGCAGTGGACAGGCTCGGTGGCAGCGCCACTTTCTCAGTTACATGTAAGAGTCCGGCAACAACCGCCAGCAGCAAAGGCAAGTCAGGCCCGCTCCATCACACGAGGGCTGTGCGTGTGTGTCTGTGCGTGTGTGCATATTCATGTGAATCACATTATTATTGTTTTTATCTTGACCCTATCTTTTCTTTGTTCAGAGTAAATGTGCTAAAAGCTGTTTCCATCTGCCTGAGTTGGTCCTATTGTCATACCCCAGCTGCTCGTCTGAACCAAGATCTAGTACTGTTGGTGCTTGGTGGATGCTCACTATGACCAGTGACCACAAGACACTCCATGGTAAGTGAATGTTTCTGTAATAAAAGAGACCCACATAAACGTAAGGATATGAGACTCGAATCCCAGGGCAAGAACAAAAGAAGGATTTGTACAATAGATGAGGGTTAAGGTTTGTCTGTTTTCACGTAGAAAAAATATCAGTTCATAGGCAATTTAACACAATAAGATAATTCAAATAATATTTGTATGTTTAAAAAAAAGTTTAAAACATGAAAAATGTTTGCAATAAGAACAAAGAAACCAGTGGTGAACAGTAACACTTTCCCCAATACCTCTTATAAATAAATAAAAACAGGTGTTTATGAAAATGCAGTTTCACATTCAAATATGAAATCTTCCGTCTACAGATTCTACACAGATACCAAAGACTTGACTAAAGGCACCACTGTTAAAATCGAGTTCACTTGGACCAGTTGAGTCCCTGAATGTCAGACACCGGATCCATAAAGGCAGCCTCAGTTCAGTGGGGCGCTGAGGCCCCCTCTCTCTGTAACTCTGTTCCGTGGAGGATGTGAGAGATCATTCCCCAAATCACTGAAATTAAAGTGGCTTCCTCTCAAAGCTCATCGTGGTTCTTGGTGAGGTCCTCTCCATAGTTGGTAGCTTGGCTTCCCACAAACATGTTCCAGTTTTCAAGGATTTCTTCCCGGGTCAACATCTGATCCTAAGAGGTATCAAAAGAAAAATATGCAATTTGTTAAAACATAACATTTCCTTGTATTTACAATGGGACTGAAGCATAATGTTTTAGTTTAGCTCTGTTTTTTTTTCCAGATTGAGAGGCACCATTATATTACTTTTTACAAGCGAGGTCTGGGGAAATACCTATAATGGTCATTTACTGGCTTTATATAGGCTCCAAAAGAAGGCCATTAGAATAGTGCACAATGTTGGGTATAGAGACTATACAAATATACTGTTCCTAAAATCAAATACCATGAAACTTGATGACCTGATAAATCTTAATACTTTGTCACATATGTATAAAGCTGTAAATAATCAGCTCCCAAACAACATACAACAAATGTTTTGTAATAGAGAGGGAAGTTACAATCTAAGAGGTTCTCAAAATCTGAAAGTACAATGTAGTCATTCAACCCTTAAAAGTCTCTGTATCACTCGGAGAGGTGTAAATCAGTGGAATAAGTTAGAAGAACACTTAAAAGATGCAGCTAGTCTACTGCAATTTAAAAGACTGTATAAGAGAAATGTGTTTGAGAAATATGCAACAGACTTGTGACCCCTACCATTTCTAGTAAATATTCTTGTATTTTTGTGCATTTGCGAAGTACCACATCATTACTGGAATAATTAATGTCACCAACTCTAAAGTATTTTGATTTGTATTACAGGAACTTGAGCGAAAGTACCGAAGGAAAGACATGTGAAATTGCTGTCACTGCTTGCTTCCACTGGTAATTACTAAGTAAAATAGAATCAGGGCTGGCGAGAGATGGAGCTGTTGGAGGCACCCCCTTTCAATAGGTTCATAAACCTTGTCTTTTTAATGCAACACTCAGTACAGGGTACAAAACGGCTCACATCTACAATCTAGTCAGGGCAGCAGGGTGAGGGCTCGCTGATGGGGGGTTACTGCCCCTTACCAGCGGGCCACACTACACCCTGGCTTTTTAACGCACCTCAATGAATAAGGCAAACAATCATAATCCGCTGACAAAAAATCACAACCAATACAAATGCAGTGGAAATGGGAAGGACAGCAAGGTGAAGCATGATATTTTGGAAATGCAATTGCCATCGTCATTAAGGTGACGGTGATAATGGTATGCATGCATGTAGGTATGTATGTATACATGCATCTATATTATAAAACAATGAGAAATATAAACTTCAATTAAATAAATCAATAGAATGGTGACCTGTTGTTATAAGTAATGACTGAACTTGGTATTTTGTAAATGGTTAAACTTAAATACTAATAATCGTTCGTACCTTTGTTATTATTACCCCTATTGGGGACCGCCTGCAGCTGGAAAAAAAAAAATGCAGTTGAATAGGGGGTAGGCACTTATAAGCTTTCTTGCTTCGGCCTACTCCTTTTGAGGTAGTTCCTTTTCTTTTTCAATCCTTATTATTATTTTTTATTTTTCAAAAATGTTAATGTAAATAATTGTAATAATGTACAAAGATGTGAATGTAAAACACAAATGGAAACTGCTCAAATAAACTAAACTAATACTAATACTAATACAAAGGGAGAAGGGAAAAAAATACAGTAGGGAAAAGAAGTTGTGCAAGTTCTCCCACTTCAAAAAGATGAGGGAGGCCTGCAATGTTCATCATAGGTAAACCTCAACTAAGAGAGACAGAAGGAGAAAGAAATCCAGAAAATCACATTTTAAAATAATTTATTTGCATGGTGGAAAATAAGTATTAGGGCATCTACCAAAAAGCAGGATTTGTGGCTCTCACAGACCTGTTACTCCTTCTTTAAGAGGCTCCTCTGTCCTCCACTTGTTACCTGTATTAATAGCACCTGTTTGAACTCGTTATCTGTATAAAAGAAACCTGTCCACAGCCTCAAACAGTCACACACCAAACTCCACTATGGACAAGGCCGAAGAGCTGTCAAAGGAAACCAAAGAAACCAAATTGTAGACATGCACCAGGCTGAGAAGACTGAATCTGCAATAGGTAAGCAGCCAGACGTGTTCCCCTGCTTAAACTACAGTGCCTTGCGAAAGTATTCGGCCCCCTCGAACCTTTCAACATTTTGCCACATTTCAGTCTTCAAACATAAAGATATAAAATTTTAATTTTTTGTCATGAATCAACAACAAGTGGGACACAATCGTGAAGTGGAATGAAATTTGTTGGATAATTTAAACTTAAAAAAAAAATAAAAAACTGAAATGGGGCGTGCAATATTATTCGGCCCCTTTACTTTCAGTGCAGCAAACTCAGTCCAGAAGTTCAGTGAGGATCTTTGAATGATCCAATGTTGTCCTAAATGACTGATGATGATAAATAGAATGCACCTGTGTGTAATCAAGTCTCCGTATAAATGCACCTGCTCTTTGATAGTCTCAGGATTCTGTTTAAAGCACAGAGAGAACCATGAAGACAAAGGAACACACCAGGCAGGTCCGAGATACTGTTGTGGAGAAGTTTAAAGCCGGATTTGGATACAAAAAGATTTCCCAAGCTTTAAACATCTCAAGGAGCACTGTGCAAGCAATTATATTGAAATGGAAGGAGTATCAGACCACTGCAAATCTACCAAGACCCGGCCGTCCCACCAAACTTTCATCTCAAACAAGGAGAAGACTGATCAGAGATGCAGCCAAGAGGCCCATGATCACTCTGGATGAACTGCAGATAACTACAGCTGAGGTGGGAGAGTCTGTCCATAGGACAACAATCAGTCGTGCACTGCACAAATCTGGCCTTTATGGAAGAGTGGCAAGAAGAAAGCCATTTCTCAAAGATATCCATAAAAAGTCTCGTTTAAAGTTTGCCACAAGCCACCTGGGAGACACACCAAACATGTGGAAGAAGGTGCTCTGGTCAGATGAAACCAAAATCTAACTTTTTGGCCACAATGCAAAACGATATGTTTGGCGTAAAAGCAACACAGCTCATCACCCTGAACACACCATCCCCACCTCAGCTGTAGTTATCTGCAGTTCATCCAGAGTGATCATGGGCCTCTTGTCTGCATCTCTGATCAGTCTTCTCCTTGTTTGAGATGAAAGTTTGGAGGGACGGCCGGGTCTTGGTGAATTTGCAGTGGTCTGATACTCCTTCCATTTCAATATAATTGCTTGCACAGTGCTCCTTGAGATGTTTAAAGCTTGGGATATCTTTTTGTATCCAAATCCGGCTTTAAACTTCTCCACACCAGTATCTCGGACCTGCCTGGTGTGTTCCTTTGTCTTCATGGTTCTCTCTGCGCTTTAAACAGAACCCTGAGACTATCAAAGAGCAGGTGCATTTATACGGAGACTTGATTACACACAGGTGCATTCTATTTATCATCATCAGTCATTTAGGACAACATTGGATCATTCAAAGATCCTCACTGAACTTCTGGAGTGAGTTTGTTGCACTGAAAGTAAAGGGGCCAAATAATATTGCACGCCCCACTTTAGTTTTTTATTTGTTAAAAGTTTAAATTATCCAACAAATTTCATTCCACTTCACGATTGTGTCCCACTTGTTGTTGATTCATGACAAAAAATTAATTTTATATCTATGTTTGAAGCCTGAAATATGGCGACATGTTGAAAGGTTCAAGGGGGCCGAATACTTTCGCAAGGCACTGTAGTACATGTCCAGGCCCATCTGAAGTTTGCCCCAGAGCATTTGGATGATCCAGAAGAAGATTGGGAGAATGTCACATGGTCAGATGAAACCAAAATACAACTTTGGTAAAAACTCAACTTGTCGTGTTTGGAATACAGTTGCTTCCAAAAGAACACCATACCTACTGTGAAGCATGGGGGTGGAAACAACATGCTTTGGGGCTGTTTTTCTGCAAAGGGACCAGGACGACTGATCCATGTAAAGGAAAGAATGAATTGGGCCATGTATTGTGAGATTTTGAATTAAACCTTCCTTCCATCAGCAAGGGAAACGAATGAGTATCTTTGTTTTTCAAAGTCCTGGAGATCTCTACCCCATAGAAAATCTTTGGAGGGAGTTGAAAGTCTGCGTTGCCCAGCGACAGCCCCAAAACATCACTGCTCTAGAAGAGATCTGCATGGAGGAATGGGCCAAAATATAAGCAACACTGTGTGAAGACTTACAGAAAACGTTTGAGCTCCATTGTTGCCAACAAAAGAGTATATAAAAGTTTCGAGATTAACTTTTGATACTGACAATACTTATTTTCCACCATGATTTGCAAATAAAATAAAATGTTTTTCTCATTCTGTCTCTCATCATACTCATCTTTAAGTGGGAACTTGCACAATTGGTGGCTGACTAAATACTTTTTTGTCCCACTGTATGTATTTTTACACTATGAAAACCTCCTACAAATTCCAGATTTAGTCGTTAGAGGTAAATCTTATTTTCTTGACAGGTTGATTTTATACAGGGGTTACCCTGGCACCAATACAACATCTGACTTTTTTCAATTCAGTAAGACATTCCGTATTCTACTTGAACAAATGCCTTAACTAGTCTAATTATTCTAATCCAGCCTACTGGTTGAAACAACAATGATGGTACTTTTGCTTTACAGGACACATTAAATACAAGTATACATCGCTCAAGTCTGCTGCTGTTATAAAGAATCACAGGGGCTAGTATCCTTAGCCTGACTCTCTCCAGACCCATGTAGATCGCTGCGCTTGTCACATGGGTCTAGGTCTATTCCATAGCGGATACATTATAAAAGGGTGGGGCCTTATAAAAAACATCCTTGAATGTGATTGGATAAACCACTTGTCTGTCATCTTGAATGATTTGTTCCTTCAACCACTCACATCAAAGCACACAATTCAGCACACCACTCCCATGGGTTGCCAAATGCCGGCAAGATTTTCCAGCCCAAAACCCGCGAGAATGCCCAAAAAAAAAAAAAAAAAACATCCAGAATGATTTTTTTTGGCTAAAATCATAAGGTAATCAACTTGGGCTATCATGATTCTGTTTATTGTCTTTCTTTTTATTTTTTAAGTCTATTGGAAAACAAGTTTGCGGGAAACCACCCTACCTGGCAACCCTGCTGCATAGTGTTGTAAACAGGAACACTTAAACCAGTATCTACACGAACATTTGACTCTTAAAACACACATATAACCACATGGAACCATCAACATCTGGCCTCATATTGCATTAAAAGTGACATCTGTGTCTTAATTCGTTCGTATTTAAACTTTTAAAAAATGTTACAGACATCTTGGATAGCCAAAGACAAATTTATGATAGTTATTCTATGCTAATGAAATGTGTTTGTATTTTTAAAAAATGAATTATATCTATATTGGCCTTCATGACTACTTTTATAGATGGCCACTAGCGGTGTCACAATTTTTTTAATTTTTTTAATTTTATTGAAATCGATTAAAATTACATCATGGTCTCGAGCATCAAAATCAAAGAGGGGATTGATCATATCTGTAGCGCTTATTGCGTCTGTGCGCGCGTGCCCGGAACTTTCATGGTTAACCTGGACCATTTAAAGTGGCGGACTGGTGCTTAGTTTTTTTTTTTTTCGGTGAACGTGCTCTTGTGAGTAGTTGTACCCACAAATCAAAGACTGAGGAGGCAGCCGGTAAGACCTGCTTGTTTATAAGGACTTTATGTGGCGTGATCGGTCGTGTGCGTCTTGTATATGGGCTCCATTTGGTCACGGGTGACAGAACACCAGCTTCCCAGCCGGCTCGGACATTTAAACTGTTTACGTGGGGTTTCCCAGCTTTCGCATTGATCAGAGCGTTAAGAGTTCACACTGGACCATGCGTAGCATTCAGTTTCAATGCAAAGTCAATGACAGTCTATGGTTTTCGACGACCCTCCTTAGTTTGACAGCTTTTAATGGATAGCATAGACTGTGCTGAGTAGGCGCTTACTATAGTAAAAATTATGCATCCATTTATATCGACGGGGTTATTTATAGCAGCAGATCTGCAGCCTTATTCGGTGGTGGAAAAAGCTGGATGCAAACATTTAACTATGATACTTGAGCCACGCTACAGTATGCTACAGTGTGCTGTAAAAAAAAAAAAAAGAAAAATAAATAAATAATTGAGAATCGAATCGTGACTCAAATTTAAAATCAAATCAAATTGAAGATTTGGATCGTGACACCCCTATGGGCCACCAAAACAAACAAAGTAACACCTAAAATCAGAATCCTGAATATGACTTACCTTGTCCTGGTCTGACTCATGGACCAAATGCCGAGCTTCAGCCAAAGCATGGTCATAGTCTTGAGGCATAATCCAGTGGCGGATTTCATCCAGGTCCATTTTTCCATCTTTGTTCAGGTCTCTGAAGTCGGAAAACTGCTCTCGCTCAGTTTTGACCCAGTCCGGCTCAGGGCCACCGTCCTCGTGAGCGAACATATCCGCTGAAGTGAAAAAAAGGTAATGGTTCATGTTGATCTCATAATCTGTGAATAGTACTAAAAAGAACATACCAATGTACTCATCCCCATCCACATGTCCATCTCCATTTCGGTCTATATCCTCCAGAGTTTCCTGCATTCAAAACAAGTCAACAATGTCAACATGAGGCAGACATACTGAGGACAGCAATGTACAAAAACTAAAATCACACATATCATACATACATTTTTTGTAACATTTTTCTTGGCTGTAATCTATCACAGTCTCATTAAACGGATTCATCTCAATGGAGAATGCTCCATAGTATGCCTTTAACTTTCAGATGATGGAATCATGTAAGTAACGCCTCACCTCGAGGAAGGTTCACCTCTACGTTAACATTCAAATTATTCATCAATTTTTCTTCCACTTTCATTGCACGGCTGCAGGGGCAGCAGTGTTAGCACAGACTTCCCTATCCATGCACACATCATCCTACAAAAGGAAGCCAGTTTAACAATTCTTACCAGAACCACTATATCCTTCATGTGGTCAAACTCCTCTGGGTGAAGGAAAGCTGTGAATTCTTCTTTGTCCGCCAAATTATCATTGTTCAGGTCAACAGCCTTAAACCTCCTTTCATCACGGGGCAGCATCTTTTTAAAGTTGAACTGATCTGATGCGTCCTGAAACTCCTCTGGGTTGGCTAAGTGGAAATTAATGTGTTCGTCATATTTGATTAAAGCACATAAAATGTCTTGCACTAAGGATGCTTACCAAGGTAGTATCCGTAAGTAGCTTGTTTGTACTCGTCCCATGAGATTCTGTTGTCTTTGTTGAGGTCGTAGTCTGTCCACACCTTTGCTACATTTTCATACACATATCGCTTCTGTGCCCGCTTTATCCAGGCCTTCAGTTTAGTAGTGGTTATGAGGCCATCTCCGTCAATATCAATGCGGTCCACTATTTTGCTGGGGGGAAAATTGGGTTAAAATATTTAGTTCAAAATCTCAGAGAAGAGTATGCACCGTTTATTTAGTTAAGAAGCACCAACTCTATATGGACAGTTATGTGAACACACAATGCCCAGGGACCACCCTCATGAACCTGGCCTGTGTGAAATTGTTTGAAAAGTGTGTCCAAAACTGGAAGGATTATTTTTTACTGAATTTGGTTGAAGGATTCACAATAAGAAAAATGACTTCAATGACTTATTGACTTCCCATTTTATTGTAAACTCCTACATACAGTAGATCTGCGGTGACCACTCTCCAGATTTGGGGTCACTGCCCCAAGTGCATCGATCACCACGGGCACTACTGTCCCTGCCAGGCCCTCTCCAGCCTTAGCCTGGAATGTAAATGTGAAAGTAGTGTAAAGTGCATTTTAGTTATTCCAGTAGGGAACTTTGTCCTCTGCATTTGACCCATCCTGCAAGGCCTTGGTCAGGAACAGTGCTTGTAGTTCAGCGCCCGGGAACGCAGCTCTGGTTAGGACTACCAGAGCTGGGGAATTACCTATTGTGCATGTTTTTAGTGATCGGTGGTGGTGAATATATCACTATTGATGAGGGTAAGTGCATTAAAACGCTCTTATCACCACCAATCCTTCATGCAGACCTTAGAGTTGAACTAGATCATGTTTGTGAAACATCTTGCCCAAAGGAAAATGATAGTTTGGTACTTTACACCTACTGTGACACCTAGTGTTCTCAGAGGTATCCCATTACATTACTAACCTGTTTAAACACTGTATCCATTTACTTTATTTCAGAAATAATTTCACAAACTGGGAATATAGAAGAAAAATAAAGTTGAAAATGACTTTACCCAACACTTTTTAAGGCAATTGTACGCATTGGGTGCTATAGAAGGGAAATGCTGGCAGATGAACTGCAGTTTATAATTAGAAACAAGCTGCCACGTTGGGATGTAGGGATCCACCCACTGTACACCCAACATCTGACAGATCACCCATCTCTAAAAACCTCAGAGCCCATGTTCTGGCTGTAACATCCCAGAACCCAGTTATGTCAAGAGCTTACAACTATTGACAATTGTTTTATTATTGATGTAGAATTAAGCCCATGTGTAACGCAAGATTATGTGCGTTAAGTGCTTGTACCAAAATAATGAAACTCACATTTGCTAACATGCACATGTTCAGCATGCAATGCTAGTGTTAATCTTTAATTATTTTTGCACGCAACATTGCACCCCCCTGAGGGGGTGGGGTGCACGCTGCCTGTGCTATACTGCCTTCTTACTCCAAATAAAGTGGCTCTTACCTAAGCCTGTCTTTGCTCTCCTCTGGTGTGAGCTGGTCAAATGTTTTGGCTTCGTCTTTTCCCAGAAATACTTCGTGGTCAAACTGGAAGCTTGTATTATCTTCGTGGGCTTGTCTCATTGTCTCTGGGTCGTGGAGAACTCTTTCTTTTCGTACCGTTGGCTTCCCATTCACTACAACAGTGCATAGGAGCAGAGCTAATGTGATGCAGAAGACGTCCATGAGTCAAATGGGCTAGGATCGCGGCTGGTTGTAAACTGGCCTGCTCTACACTGCACAAGCTACTAGAAGAAGCTAATATAGCCCCCTGCTCACTTGATGTACAACAACTGCCTCTCTAAACAATGTTGCCAAGAGCGGACGCAGACTTCTACCCGTATGAAAATACCTCAAATGCAGTGGGTTGTGGCAACAGCCTACTATATTGCTACTATCCTATAACCTGCTACTATCCTGCGACTATCACATTAGAAAGGGATACAACAGAGCCGGGATTTCCTGGCGTGAATGCGTAAAACGTACGCAGCCAATCACAGCCCCTGTGTCTGACCAGGCCCCGCCTCCTCTGTGCTGTGATTGGACAAGATCGGAGGCACGAGGACAGATGCTTTTCAGGCGCCACGTTGCAACTGCGGACTCTTGAGTTAGATGTGTTGTGTAAAACAACCATGGTGACCGGTTACCGGCACTGGGAGTTCAGATGTCCGTGCTTTAATGAACACTTATACATCTATAAGTTGATTTTATCGACAGATGCAGCATCTCTGCGGTACGAGCACGCACACCTCAGCAGTTATATTGTTTACTTGTACATTCAAACATGCAGGCTACACACACATGTACCATTAGAAAATGCATGTGTATTTCTTTATTTTCCTGTTACTCTTCTAGTATTATAACAATATTACTTTTGTTTAAAATTATATTTATGATGCAGTGCGCCTGTATCCTGGCTTTTCAGCCAATCCATGGTTTTAGTGATACACAATGTTTTATCTTTTGATTGGAAACAATGTCGAGCGAAAAGAGATCATATGGACAGGGTTAACACTGAACAATTCTCATTTCACTCCTTTATCCCAGATATGGTGTAGCTCTTGTTTGTTGCTTCTGAGTGTTGTCCTCCTTTCCTCTGACCTGCTCTGACGTGTCACAGTGGTGGTCCTTTCACTCTCACAAAAAAGTAGCCTTTACCATAGTAATCTTGTTAGTTTCATGTAATGAATTGTAAAATGTTTGAAAAAGAAGAAAATATGCAATTAAACATAAATGTACTCTGCTTTACTTACATTGTAACTACTAATCTTTTACGTATCAAGTACATTCATAGATCAAGGTCACACAAAGCACTTTACAATTTTATATCTATAACTAATGAGTTATAGTAAATGAATTACAGTATCCAGTCACTTTTGCAACTAGTTAAGCCCAACACTGCCTTTATTACCCAGAAAATATGCATTCTAGCTTTCCACATGCCACTGTGTTATTTTCAGACCACTCCCTTGACATCACACCCACCATTTAAACCTCAATCTTTCATTCCACTGTTACACAAGGAGCTAAATAGAACAAGATAAATAATGTATTCATGGGTTTCGGAGTGACAAAAAATACTGTTTATTTTGAATGGGAAACAAAATATAGCATGAAACAGGAAGCTGAAACCCACAAAAACTTTTTTCAACCCAGGGGCTTTGGCTGTCATTTAGTTTTATAATTCAGGTCATTGGGGCACATTTGGTGCAAAAATGACAAAGTTATAGCGCTACTTTGAGCATCCATCAATTTTCTTTTGCTTTATCCGGGGCTGGGTCACAGAGATGTGTATATAAGCAAAGACGCTCAGACTCTCTGATCCATTCACTCTTCCTCTGCACCCCTGAGGCATAGGAAGCATCGGAAACAGACGCTTGAGGCACCTCAGCTGGCTCCTCTTGAATTGATGAAGCAATGGCTCTACTCTGAGCTCCCCTGTGTGACTGAGCGCCAAGCCACTCTGTGTTCTTTTGGTCAATACCCAAAGCCGTATGTGAGCCATACGTGGGAAGGTAGATAAAAAGGTAAAATGAGAGTTATGCCTACCAACTCAGCTCCCTCTTTGCTTCCTTGCACCTAAGCTGAGCCGGGCTGTAACACTCTTCATCACCAAAGTCCATTATATCAGCCACATTTCAGCAGACCCTGCACCAATTCATGTTTTAATCCACGCGTCATCCTCCCTTTACTCATGAACAAGATACTTTATCTAGTTGCTTATCCTTCCTTGTCCGAATACAACGCCAGCTTCTTGTCATACAGAGATTGACAGCCCTCAGCAAAGGGCTCCAGAACCTGCACTTGGAACACACCCTCAGGTCGCCATTATCAATGAGCATCCCCTGTCTGACATGCCAACAAAGACAGTTCCACAACAGACGACTTATAGTCAGAAGTGATCCCATCCACTCCAACTTCCATCTGCAGCCTCTCCCTCAAAGTATATACAAAATTATAAACTTATTCAAAGTCAGCACCCAACAGCGTGAACAGTTGAGGCACCAGACATTTGCAAAAATCTCGCTCTTCTGTTCCATGACTTCTTCGAGCTCCTCTGGGTTTTTACCTCTGCAACAGCCCAGGCTCAGGATCAGACTGAACCCAAGTTAGGTGACAGATATTGTGTTTGTCAATATGTGTTTGCCCCTGCCTTCGACCACCACCCAGTTCTCTCTGCACTGGGTGGTGCACTCTCTCTCCGACTCCCATGAAACCCTCTCCACAGAACCAGCCATAACGAGACCCCTAAACCTGAAGCTCCATTGTTCCATTTAAGGAAAAAGCACCAAAATATATACAAAAATAAATTGAATTGAATTGAAAAATACCTGACAGAAAATGACATTGATCCTTTGATCAGCTTATACGCAGCCTATTCCAGGTGTTATTTTAAATACAGTCATTTTAAGACTGTGCTCAGAGTCTTAAAAGCACGGGTCATTTTGATCAGGAGTATTTGGAACTATTGCAAGAAGGAAACCTATAATGAACTGAAAGATGAGTTTGTTGTGGGAGTGTGGGGGTGGCGTGTTTTACAAACTCCTTGTGACATGTTAACAGCAACACAGAAGATTTAATTTGGGGCTGTCCTGGGATCATGACTATATGAGGACTTAAAGAATTGCATTACTCAGTCTCATCTCAATAGGCTGTAATAGGAAGCAGCAGACTCTGTACTCTGGAAACTACTTGCTGACACTGCCATGCCTAATCCTCCGTCATGGGCAGGAGAAACATGTATTTTGCCATTCATCATTAGCATAATAAGCCAGCACATGGCACTTCGCTGCTTTGCATAAATAGTACACCCCAGTTTATGATTATAAAGGGGGCCCTTGGGCTAACTAGCCTCTTTATTTAATTAATGAATTGTTAATGTATTTAAATGAGTCCTGCCAAGTCAAATTGAATCAGAGTTGTGCAGAAATGACGTAATTTAAAATGTATTTTTTTCCCTGTTAAAAAACTGGAGTTAGTACTGGCTAAATAAGATAACCTGTTGTTATACATGTACGTACATAAATATATAAGAATGATAATAACTCCCAGAATACGATTATGTAAATTGATGACAATGCAATGATTTGTTTAAGTTTCCTCTATAGAATTTTTACTATTTGGTGAACGTCCCAGTCTTGGGTGAATATGGCTTTCAACATGAATATTTCAAAAGGCGATGGGGAGGGTGGGGGTCCATCTCCTGGGGTGTTCTGTTAACCATGACATTACACACCCACTAGAAAGGACATTTGTTTAATGTAATTAAGAAAACCCTATGGTGGGAGACACAGGGCATTAGTGTCCAATGTATACAGTTCTATTCAGATGTGGCCTCTTGGTGCCCTTTCCTCTCTAGCAGCAGAATGAATTAAAATAAAATGTGAGTCTGAGGTTAAGGCGTTATTTTGAAATTATGTGGAGAATCATATAATTACCAGATGTCTTGATGTGTTTTTAACCATTCATCGTGCATAAATGCGTTATGCTTTAAAAAAAAGAAAAACAAGCTGATGTTCTTTCCTATTTTTAGAAAGCAATAACCAATTTGCCTTTTTTAAATGAAGCTATTTTCTTCTCTGGCAATCCAAAAAAGTAGAACATGAAGACACATTTCTGACAATTTGTTCATCTGACAAATTGTGGGAATGAGACGAAAAACAAGACAACCAAACAATTCCAAACAGTACGACGCTGCAGTACAACGCTGCATGGATTCCTTTTATATTCCATAGTTTGAATAACTCACAGGCTCTACTGTGGAGGCCAGATTAATAAACTTCTCATTGCTGCCATATAGGAGAATAGGAACCTTTGCTCTGTTTAATGACAACTGTAAAGTGGAGGCAATCATGGGACGCCTCTCATGACATTTCCCCACTGCTGCCCGCTCCACTTATCTTACACAAATGGCTGTGCTGGCCCACTATCGAAATGAAGCGTTTTCCCCGAGTCATTACGTCTGTCACTGGGGCCATTTCCATATTGAAAAATCTGAAACAATAAACGACGCTGCAGCCTTTAATAACTGTGAAGGAATCATATTTGGAAAATTGCATTGAAGCAATAACCTTTTCTCCCTGTAATTAGATGACAGAGAGGTCTTGGTTTTAATTAAGTCTGCAATTTATAGTTGGGCGGCCATACCTCGGTGTGCTGATTGGTATAGGAGGGATCACAGAACAGCGTTTCCTCAGTTTGAACAGATTTGATCTAGTAATTACTGTGTTATATGGCAAAGGCCGCAGCCAAGTCCCTGAGTCAAGTTGATGTGGTGCTCTGTCAAGCACGGAGAGCTTCAAATGTGTGGCAAGCAAGTATCTGTCTGAATAGGTCTTGAAAGGGGGTCATCAACAGAAGACATAATGTTTTAAGAGTCATATTAAAACAGGATTGTGGATGCGCGGGGCCCTGGGAGAGTGAATGTCAGTGAAAAAGAGAAATTGTTCCGGCTCAGACTCATTTTCTATTGCATTTTAATTGATCTTCTTGGTCACTGTTAAAGAGGGAGGGGGTGGCGGTGGACGAGGCATTTAAGGATGCTGTTTTAGGGCTGTGTTAATAAACAAGGCAATTTACTGTCAATTTATGTCTTGACAGGTCGTAATGAAGACCATGAAAAGAGGATTAGCCCACAGACTGTCTGGGAGACTGCGACACTATGGGGTGGGATGATGTGTGAGCTGGCACCCTTTGGCTTTCTGTAGGCCTCGACATAATTGACATTTATTAATCTGGTTTGGGGCAAGAAGAGGTTTGTGTCCCCTTTCTCAAGAACATTTGCAACAATGTTGTGACTACATTTTACACAGGAAACATAACTAAATTTCCTCTCAGAGGGACCTACAGTGTGGGCCTGTCACAACATTCCATTTAGGATCACTGGAAAAAGTGAGTTGTATTCTCTAGGTTATTCACTTTTGACGTTTGAAGTTTTACTATCCCAAAAAAGGTAAAAAAGCATAGTGGGAGGTGATGTTAGGCTTTAGAAAACATATTGTTTGAAATCATATTGTTTAGGAGGCTTCTGTTAATTTAGAGCCTATGGGGGCCAGTAGGCAAATTGGGTTAATTAAACCTTGTGGACACATAAACTAAGCAATTTAGACGTCTTTGTTGAAAAGGTCACAGTCCGTCCATCCCCTGGCACCAAAACTTCACACCCATATAGTCCATCTTTAGTTGTGTGATGTTCATAAATCAGTGACAACACAAAATGTTTTCAGTTACATTAAGTGATGCAAGATTTTTTCCCAATCTTTGAACATCTCACAGAGCACTCCCAAATGAACCCCAAACAGGGACTGCGCTGACCAGAGAAATGGACAAGAGGCCAGTGGTCACTCTGGAGGAGCAGCAAATGTCCGCAGCAGAAGCGAGGGGAATTGAAAGCTCAACCATAATAACTGAAAACTTGATCTTGTCGGATCTTGTTTGCTAAGCAAGGCAGGGCCTGGTTAGTACTGTGATGGGATACCTCTGGGAGACATTGCCTAGTATGAGTTTGGAGTGTGCATGAATGATTAGCGGTGGTTAGCAAATGAATCATTCTAAGCAATTCATGAATCAGAATAATTATGATAAATTTACATTTATAAATAGATAGATAGATATGTTGAACGCAATACTACCAAAAATAAATGTAATTGTATGTTTTTGAGTACTTGATCATAAAGCAAAACGTTATGTGTAGTAGAAAACTGAATTGAATTGAAAAAGAAAAATTTTACTCCACTCTACTATTTGCCTTGTCAAATCTAGTGGTGGCAGCATCATACTGTAGGGTTGCTATAAAAGGTTGCAAAAGAGGTGGGGTGGATAGTTACCATCCATCAGGACAGTTCCTCAGAGCCCTACTTAAATTCAATCAAGAATCTGGCAAGATCTAAGACGTGCTGTTCATACACTCTCAGCTTGAGCTGTTTTGCAACAATAGAATGGGCAATAATCAAAGTTTCTTGCTGTACAAAGTTGTTAAAAACCCAAGCAGCGGGAGTTCCACAAGGTATTGACTAACAGAGGAATACTTAAACGGGTACACGCCACACTTTTATTTGTAAAATAGTTATTTTACTTTAACTTTTAAATTAACTGTCACCTTGTGTTGTTATTATACAATGTCAATATAATATCTGCTTGTAGTATTGAGACATCATGTGGAAAAGCTCATGAGTTATGATTACTTTTACAAGACACTAAAAAAATGTCTTACTTTTAGACACCTGTATCTTGGAATCAACCAAGGACAAACCATCCTCACTGGATTGCTTACGTGGTTTTCTCAACTTTCAGCACTAACAACTCAACAGTGTTTCTTGTATCTCCTGAAGACTGCCACTGCCGCCGCAGCAGCAGCAGAGGATCAGGTCTGGTGGTGGTAGAGAGCTCTTGGCTGCCTCCGAGCCGCTGTTTCCCCTGGGCTGTCGCGAGGCTCCTGTCCCCCTCCATCTCCCTGCAGCTGGAGCTTGAGCAGAGCCAGATGCTCCATGGCTGCACCACCCTCTGTCGCCCCTCTCCCTCTCTCCAACAAGACCGTGCCCAGAGAGGGGGATGACAAACGCCTGTGCCTCCTCTTACTGACGGATTTGGACGACCTGACTCCAGCCCTGCTCTGTTCCAACCGCCAGCACAAGATGTTGACTTAATGGAAGGGGGTTGGCTATGGAAGGGCCCATATGTGTTTGTATTGGGGAAATATGGCGCAGAATCTCTGTGTATCTGTGTATTGAGTAAAGTGTGTCTATAATTGTGTGTTTTTCAGTCTGTTTGTCAGTGTGTGTGTGTGTGTGTGCGCATGTGTGTGTGTGTGTGTGTATTTTCACCTAGCCCAGACTGCCTACATCCATCATGCCATGGCGTTCTGGCAGAGAGTGCGGCTCAGACAGCTTCACTAACACACGGTCAGTTAAATTGCCTGTTAAATTGTCCCAGTCCATATCTTTCTTAGGTGTAGATAAAAAAACACTGCTCTTAAAGATTGCACTTAAAGACAGAAAATGACAAGTAAATGCCCGTCGAGCAGAGGGAAGACAGGGTACTTTTCTTATAGACTAAATATATATACAGAAAAAGTGTACTGTGTTTCTTCTATAAGTAAAATAATAAATAACCAACAATAATAAAATTCCAAAATATAATTTATTTTAAATTGGAAAAGATCATTACAAAATCTTTTAATTACTGACAAAATAATTTGAAAGCCAAGAATTAAAGAAAAGAAAAGAAAAATCTGTATCCAATCTCTTAAGAAAGGGTACCAGATGTAAATCACAGTGTTGCAAAATAAAATCCCACATATACAGTAAATGACATCCATAAACACATGCTTCTCCAGCTAAAAAATGGCCAAACATTACAGAGCGTGCACTTAACGTGGGAAAAATCCATACTGCACTTTGAACCCATGAACCAGTGAAGGCGAGAGCTGCTGGAATCAATGTATCAAACTCTTTTGAACAAAAAGGATTCAAACATTGAGAAAATACAAAAGTTCAGGTGTTTGGTCTAATCACCTTCAATAATGGCTTTTTATCTAATCATGTGAGGGCCTGAACTCTTCTCTTTTCTCACTTTTAACCTGTGTTGTTTTCAGAAAATATCACATAACACACAATTTTATTCTTACTCTACTGCTCTTCCATTGTCATTAAAACTCTTAATCCAACACGTTTGACATTTCTCTGTATTCACTCGCTTGGAAAATTAAGTCTTATTGAGCTGGAAATCAGCTCTACGCATCTGCAACAGTGTGTATGAAATAGATAGGTTAGTCATGGTTTTAGGTCCACACTTAAAAGCTCTTCCATTAACTGGAAATACCAGCGGTTCTTCTATACAACTTGGAATTAATGTTTTAGCTCTAAAAGTGTCCCATTGTTCAAGGCAATCAAAGTACAATAACAGACTAAATATGACCTACTAGTCTGTGTAATTTATGCATGGTTACACTAGTTATTTTGTTTTTGCACTCCCTTTAAAGTATAGCGATATTGTATTGATAATTTATATTTACATTGACCAAGTTGACCTTGATTTAAACAGGAAGTCCTTTTCAAATTCAGAATCTCTTTTGCAAGAGAGCCCTGGTCGAGGTTGCAGCCAACACTACTATACACAGAATTACACAAGTAAGTATTAAAACCAAAGGCCTTTTCAATTCATTTCTCAAAAGAAACATGAACATGTCCCTCTCTCATTTTCTTATCCAATCTCACTGGTATTCCAATTTCAGGTCTTTATTAATCATTCCACGACAATGTGGCTGTGTGGAAAAGGTACAGTGAACTGTATTGTAAGGAAGAGTGAGGCCAGTACCTGAGGCTGAGTACCTTAGCTTACATCGAGGAAACTACTGAGGTATCTTGGAAGTTTCTATTCTAAACCTGAAACTATAATTGATTGTGCAATGGTAATTCAAAGAGAAGCTTTTAGTCTATGTTTAATTGATTTTAAACTAAAATGATGCAAATAAGACAGTTATAGGTGAATATTTCAGTCACAAACTGTAGGTCTACATTCTGCCACAAGGGGGCACAAAAGCTCCACACAAGCTCCACTTGTTCTATCTTCTGAACGCAGTTAATTAACGAGTCAAAATTGATTCTTTGACACAAAAGGCACAAATAAAATAATGCAGTCTTTACAAAATACTTTCATTGGATATTTAGTCTAATAGACATAACATTGAAGGCTTTATTAAATATATGTTTAAAGGCCTTTTTGGAGGGGAAAAAGTCCAAATATGTGAGAAGCAGCTTATAGTTAGAAGCTCAAGTACAAGACATGTATTTGATGCAATTAATAAAGAATACATGGCTAAGGCTACAATGTTCTTCATGTTATTTTTAAAAATCCCATTAAGGACACGTGCAGGGGTCATGGAGGAGCCCAGGCTAAAAGTGGAGGCCTTCTCTAGTGGATGGTGCTCAGGCAGGGAACTTGCGTGGGGTTTTGGCTAAAAGTCGACCCATCTGCTTGACCATCTGAAGACGAAACTTTCACAATGCAACTTGGGAGGGACTGGGAGTATTTAGGCTAAATGCAAGGGTACGAAGGACTGAGCAGTGTTAAAAATAATAATCATGAAGAAGCCACATTCTAAAGAAATATGGACTACTTGACAGCAGGAATGGCCATAAGTGATCCAAAGAATAACACTTATAATTAGAAGCTTTACGAAACGGTTGTAAAATGATTATAAGAATGCTCAAGTGACAGACAGACGCTATAAGACTAAGACTAATATAATTCATAACAACAGAGTGACATTCCTGAGTTGACATCACTCGTTTTGGACCGTCACGTGCGCATCTCTTCACCCTTCACACTAATGCACTCTGACTGGGAGCTTTCTTTCTCAACAGAACTTACAGCTGCCTATACAAATCAATAGCGTTCACGTCAATGGAATATGACAACAAACGCAATGGAATGGTCTAAATATGCGCTTCTGAAAGTGTTAAAACTGCTTAGACAAGAAGTGCCATGTGCACTTTTAAAACATGAATTGTGACTTGGGCCTCTGTGATAAGTTTGTGAAATATGACAAAGATGAATCATTTTTTGTGCATAAATATAATTGTAGAGGTTTTATGTGTTATTTTGAACCTTACACTGCTTATATTTCTTTATTCCAGCGCTCTATGGTTCCGTTTTACTGCACCGACGCAGGAGGAGGCGGGTTGCATCTGTTAGGGTCCAATGTTAGTCTTAATTACTGGCCTTCATGTTCTCCATAGCCCTCAACCGTCTTTAATTAAAACCTTGATTAGGGGGGAGGAGGTCCCGGGCAAGGCTATTACCAGATGGGTTTCCAGCAATAATAATAAAGACTTTATCTGCTGCCGCTGCTGTGAGCCACAAAGAGCGCAGCTACAGCAGCCCGTCCGTATCAAAGCGCACACAACAGAAAGACCTTGTTAATTACGCCGATAATTACTTGTCTAATTACGGTTCGTTTGTGATTAGATTTAGAAAACGTTCTATTCAAGGAGAGTGTAAGCCTTAACACTGTACAGACAGAAATGTGGCGTGGACACAGTTGGAGTGCAGCTTAATAACTACTCCATCAGGAAATAAGAACTCAATCAGATCAATAGAAGAGCGAAGACAAGATATTTTCCCATGGTGCTGTATTCCGTATGTGTAGGCCCATAAGAGAGATAGAAGTGGCAGAGTTCTATAATGCCAAATGCACTTTTCTCTCTCCCCCTCTCAAGATTACTTTCTGGTTATCTTAAAATTAAACCTGAACTTGCAGCTCAGACTTGGATTTTGAAGGTCATTTTATCAAGAGGCCTTTAGGTTTTTTGTCTTTTAAAACACATTAGGATATAGTACAGCCTATTAGTGTAGTTCCAGACGCGCTCCAGCAATATACCAAGTTCAAACACAATCCGTTCAATTATTCTCAGGATATGAAATTTACAAGAAAACAAGTTTTGTCATCCAGACAGAGGCGGGAGGGCGAGGGGGCTGGGAGAATCTTGTTGCACGATGCGTCCATTTTCCAGGCGGTTTGATGTCGTTATTGCCTGATTTAGTGTGTTGTTTTACATGGCGCGTTCTTCTGTGCGAGTTCACGGTCTCCATTGCATCCATTTAAACATATCACACTGATATGCCGCAAGTTTGTCACATTTGGGGCTCGGCGTGTCTCTTTCTCCAAGCTGTAGGCGCCTGTGGGACCGAGCCGTTTTCAGTTCCCACAAATATTCCATGACCTTAACGCGCACGTACATTGTAATAAACTAACCGTATTGTCTCCCGTTTTAAATCAGGAAGGATGCTCGAGTTCAACAGAATGATGTAGTTGATCTTCTTTCTCTAAAGTGTGTGCGCCTGTTGTGCGCGCGTGCTGCGTAATGACCATTCTCCGTGTGCAGCAGGTGCGCACGGCCTCTGAGCGCCAGCGTGACCCCAGCACAGCGCCAGCAGCCAGGTGATGGCATTAGTAAAATGATGTCTATTTTTACTCGCGCTCGCACCGTGCCTCCTCCCCTCTGCATCAGGACAGAAAGGGGATCTTTACAAATGTCATGCTGTCACCTGTCACTTAGGGGGAGCGCCGAAAGAAACCGAGCACAATGAATCTAATGAATCATAGGTAAAAGACAAGCCTGATATATGTCTTGTGTAATGTTAAGGCCTATAGAAATACCAACAATCAGATATTAAAGTTTATAATGACTCTAACTGAGGTAAGAAGAGAAAGAATTTGATAAAATAGTCGGTCACATACTTCCCCCCACATTTTCTTGAAGACATAAGCTAAAATAATATATGGGCAAAGGGCTGCACAAATAAGGAAACCATCTTTTACAAACTTTTTAGAGATAAATGACACAGTTTGTCTCATGTAAATGAAGGAACCTAATTTACGCTCAGCAGCGGCTTCAAGGTGTTTGTCTCTAAGTTCAAAGTTCAAACTTTACTTTGAAGTGGACACATATAAACTTGGCTCCAAACGAAGGATAAGCAATAGAGCAAAGTGCAAGGTCGGTTCTGACTTGGACTGCATTGGGTTTGGTTTTCATTGGTGTTTTGGTACCATTGAATCCAGGCCAACGCCCTTTAGAGGATGCGTAATTTACCGCGCCGTGCGTAATTAACTGCGTCGCTGCCATCAGAGCCCATTCGCAATGTCTGTAACACTTTATTTTGAACGCAGCAATACGTTTCCATTAAATGTTATTAAGGCGTGGGGAGTGACGAGTTCTCATTTGTCTTGTCAGGGCATCTGACAACCTCGTTAGCTCCCATTTTCTCCTGTCAGCTCACAGCGCGACACGGACACTGACTTCAGCCACTCCTGGCAAGTGACTGATAAATGCGCCTACTCAGCCCTGTGCCAAACAGCAGCGTTATTGTGGCCAACACAGTGCATCAAAATCAATCACAGACAAACTTGCGTGGCAGGTGTCACTCTTCAATTTTCTTCTTTTGGATCATCCTGGTCAATCCATGCTCGAGTCACTCTGCCTGCTCATCTATGGTCTTTACTTCAGTCAACGCAAAGTCTCTTGTTAATAAATCAATATTCATGTTTCCTATGTGTTTAGTTATTGCACAAGCGACCATGTCCGTGAACAATATTATAATAATAAAAGCCTATATCATCCTGTTCCAAATAGTTATAATACTACGTGCTGTCGACATCAGTTAAGTTATGGGAAGAACAGTTAAAACCACAGTTCCCTATCTGTGAGTGAAAAGAAGGTGGCGTGGTGCAGCGTGGTGACGGCGGCTGGGCAGATTTGTCTTTCCGCCTGATCGGCTTCTGGAGAGCGTGGCTGTGTGGGAAGGGAAAGGCAGCACCTGGCTTGACCGCTCTATCCCCATCTCCTTTTATTGACAGCCTGATAAGCGGGGAGCAAGCCGTGTGGTTTCCAGCGTGGATGTCGAGCACCCTGCTGCGTTGCACAGTATCAAAGCTTCTTAATGGCCATGCCTTCAAATAATGGCCCCCAGAAAAGTGGTGAGTCCACGAGCTGGCCTGTATACCTGCGCTGCCCTGGTCTCTTCCTGAGAGACGCGCGGGAGAGCGGTTGCCCATTTACTCAGCGTCTTGTTCAAATTGACACAAACATCAGAGGTTGTGAAAGAGGAGCGTGGGCTTTTAGTCTGCCGGAGAGCTCCATAATGACTTAGGCATGACAAGTTTATGAGGCAAGAGGAATAAAAAGATGTGGGACGGTCACAAACAGGACAGCTGCATTTAAGTTTATGGTTAGATGACATACATACAAAACGTGGTCTGATGTGTTGAATGATTATATTAACCTGAAGGAACCTTTAAGTCGTGCACCTGTTCGGTGGGCCTACAGACCCAAATACCAAAGTAATGAACAAGAGCACTTTCCTCCAACTCACAAACTCTCTGAACATGCCCCATGTTGGTTGGAACTCATATCATGCTGCCAATATTTTTAAGGTTCACGTATTGTGTTACGTTAAATTATTAATTACAAGAATGAATGTTGACGAATTTAAAAGGAGTCCGGCAGGAAAACATTATGTGATAAAGCTCCAAAGAAGAATTAATGTATTGAGCCACAAGGGAAAGTAAAGCTTACTAATCACTAATTACAACAGAAAAACAAAAATAAGAGGCATTAACATACACCACCAGTAACTGTGTGATTAAAACACGTCCTTCCATCTTCATTTTGAATCTTTCCATTGAGAATACTGAGCATCTCCATATGTTTTGTCCTCACCAGGGACTCGTCTGGATTGTTTCTAATACCTTCCAACTGCATGGTAAATGATCCAAACATATGATTTTAAAGTTCCTCCTCCTTGGAGTCAGGCAATATGCCTGCATGATTATGGCAAATCACATACAAATATGCTACAAGTATCCAAAGTATCCAAAATATATCGAGTTAATAAGAGTTTCGTCGAATAGTTTAATAATTATTAATATTTTGAAAAACCTCTGTTCCCATACGCGCTCGACCTTAGAGCAGTGCGCGCACATGGTCCGATGCTCGCCCTGTTCGTACACTTCCCACTTCTGTGTCCTGTTCAAGGTATGACGTCGATCCATCGCTCACCAATCACTGCCAGCGCTGGGGCGGATACTCAGAGAAAGTTGCGGGTAAAGAGCTGCACATTTTTTTCCTCCTCAGTCTGACATTTAACTCTAGGACGGATCCAAAGGTAAAGATAGATGATCGGGACATTTACGTTTGGGTTCGTGTGGTGAAAGCAGCGCGCACCCGGAAGGAAACGGCCACGTTTCGCACAAAGGATCATTGATAAGGTATGTTTTGCCACACACCTTTTCATTTTCCCATCATTAACTGGATCAGACAAATGCACCACGTGGATTAATATTCGGCCTGCCGCTGATTTATTTCCCAAGTTGAAAGTAGAGAGTGCGCGGGAGGTGTGCCTCATGAGCTCAGTGGATGTTGTCATCTATCACACAAGAACAGCGTGTAATTAGCAATCTTCCCCGAGAAATTATGCGTATGTCGAGCTATTTAAAACGCACGGGGAAACGTGCCATCAAAACACCACAGCCGTGCACGCGTAAAGAATGGATGTAATTCCACTAATGAAATATGTGCAATTGCACTTTCTAGTCTATTACTGACACTTACCCAGCACAATGGTTTCAAATCACACATGTATAGGCTACTTCCATTCTGAAAAAAGAGTAGTAAAAGCTAAAGATAGATTGTATTAAAGAAAGCGAATGTGCAGAAGAGTTTGCATCAGTACAGCTCTGATGGAGCCTCTTTCAGCCTCCAGCCAGGAGAGGGCTGCTGTGGACTGCGCGCCTCTGCCTCTGCACAAACACAGCCAGGTCAAATCACTTTTGAAATATATGTGAACATTTTATCTATAAATATAATTATCATCGTCTAAAACCGAGGAATTTGTTCATATCAACAAATCGAACATGAAAGTCCAATGTGCGCATAACGATGTAGGGTATGCGCGCGCACATATAGGCCTATTATTGTCATGCACACATTTATGCACACATTTAGTCGGTATTTTGTTTTTTGTTCTTCTTTAGTTTCATTCAGTAGAATTGCTGCTTGACACACTGACAACAACACACACTCAAATAAATGCATAGGTCATGAATTAAATATCTTCACAAAAGTTTATTGTTTAATTATTGTTCTAAAAACAAAATTATTGCACATTGTCTCGGTTCAAATGATCTATGCAAATAGGATAAAAATGTGTCCATAAATTTCCTCAATGAAAGCATGTGACAGTCTGAGGCTGTATGATAAATCACACGTCTATCTCTCGTGCCCCATCATCTCGCTTCTTCAAAAAGGACAAAAAGGAAAATACCTGTTTGTGCGTGGAAGTCATTAATCAGAAATAGACATTGATGATTATTATTATTGATCATTATTATTACTACTACTACTATTGTTATTGTTATGTTATTATTGTTTTGCTATTATTATCATTATTATTATTATTATTATTGATATTATTAATATTATTATTATAGAGAAAATGACCATTGTTTTAAGACCTGTTTATACTACTATTATTAATGACGTTTTAGTATCTTCATTTATTTATTTGTCATTATTAATAAACAAGGCCTATCAGAGCCTGCACTCCCATAACTAAAAACAGCGTAAAACAAGAACATCTTAGAACAAAAAACAAAAAAAGAGATGATAGATAATGTCAACAAATTCCCATATAAATGTGGACAAGACAATGTTGTTTTTGGTCTTTCTAAAACAATGCACCCCTCATGTCTCTCTATAGTGTGGACTCTGAGGGTCCCAAACAGCGCGTTGCTTCGGGGTAAACAGTGAACAGATTAGTCTTTTCTTTTCAGGCTCTGTGACATTAGTTGGTGCTAATCCGAATTGGGCTAATTGCTACCCTTTATAAGCCATGTGTTGCGTTCGCTGACCTCTCCTTCAACAGGGCACTCCTATAACATTTAACACCATATAAAGCACATTCCACCACATGACATTTCTCATCCGTGGAAAATAGATTGTGAAAATTGTAAAACCTTTTCAAGTTGTAGAAGCGGATTTACCTCTGATGCAAATAAATCAGTAACCAAACGGAGGAATTGTCAAAGAAAAGCACTTGACGCACTCATTTGTTCTTCCACGTCTGCAAGGTTTTACGTCTCATGCAAGTTTTTGAGTGTTAATAGCATTTTCAAAACAAGCATGGTTCCAAATAGGGAGGAATTAAACTTATGTCACAAGTTATACAGACTCATTATGGGTGTAATTTACAAACATGTTGGATAAGTAGTATAATAGCACGTCGTTTTACATGGATTACAAAATGATATTATTACAAAAGTTGATATGTTCTGATACAATATACTGCTATTGTCCCATAAGGCAAGTATATATGAATAAATGATGTACCACAACAACATCTGCTTAAGAAAATAGGCCAATGTATGTGATATTTTTTTCCCCCAATGTTGCTGAAAAGAAAGGGCAGGCAGACAGATCTCCGATTTCCTGACTGTATAAAGTAACGCATTGGTTTTATACTCGTATGACACCAACTTGTAGGAAAGGGAAGTAACAGGAGGTGGGGTGAGTGCGCAATTGTGGACTCCTTGACGCGAAAAATGTCGGGGAACCCCCACTCTCGCTGATATAAGCAACACGCCATTCAGCGGTCCCATAAGCTTGAGCCACCAGTCTACAGTGAGTAGAAACAATGCGTCCGAGAAGAAAACCCATGAATGCGCTCGTTTAGTTTACGGCTTGTTTGATGAAGGAGTATTGGCCAAAGTGTTGTTCCTCTCCGCGGGACCCTGGGTGACAGTTTGAGCCGGTCCTCTCAGCTCATTATCTCGCCGGCCCACTGAGAGCTCCATTGAAAAAGCAGCCCGTCCCTCGCTCAACCCCGAACCCTCCCCTCCCTGCGCGCTTGCCCAGCTCTGCCTCGCTCTGGCAGGGTCGTTTGTCTACTCATTGAAGCCATAGTCAAGAATGCGATGGTTGTTAGGGAGCCCTCTTTCACCTCCAAAGTGTTTTATTGATGAGCTTTGACTTCTCCCACTTTTTCTCATGTCAAAGAAAGTCAAGTGTATGCCTCCATTGCATCGCTTCATTTGCAAGGCCTCCAAAAACCCGAAAAAGGAAAAAACTATCCTTACCCTCCCCCAACGTAACTAGTATCTGTTCTAGTCTTGGTCCCTTTTTTGTGCCCCCTTTTCTACTTTTACACAAGTCTCTTCCCGTTGCTTCTTTTTGGGCCGAGCCGTGGGGCTTCTCAGTGCTCGTGCTGGTGCCTTGGGTGGACACTCACAACACGGGCGCAGAGGGGATGCTTTTGGGTGCGTTGAGGTGTGCGTTAATAGCCAGCCATTCAAGCAGCAGTAGCACAGTTTGGGCAGCGTGTGGCCATGGCTACACAGTCATTTGCTTGACTTTATTTACGCGTGCTATTTGCTGTCAGTGCTCAGGCAGGAGTGACGTTGCCCGGCCTCGCAAAAAGCGTCCATAAAAAGCAACCGAGCCTGCTAAAGGGGCGCGCGCTTTTACGCATGGCGTTTTTGTTGACAGGAGGAGAATGCTATTCAAGGGAAGGTGATGATGCTCCACAGAATAAACAGAAGCACGTGGAGGGTGTTTGCACAGGATGATAAAGTAAAGATGTTGCACATTTGCAACAAATTAACCCTTTAGGCGCCGAAATGAATGCTTTGTATGCAGCGACCACAAACTTTCCCAACATTTTTCTGACATACTTCTCTTTTTCACTTTCTGTTAGTGAGTTTAGTATAGTCCATTATCTTTTATCAAACGTACAGTTTCAAGGCTCCTCCTATTTTGTCTGTTTCACCCACAATTTCTGAAAAAAGTAAATGGTTGATTTAGTTTTTTATACAATTCTAAGTTATATTTCGGCCTTCATGCAAAATTGGTTTGGATTGAAGCTCATTCAGCACATACAAAAGATAATTTTGCTTAACGTTTATTTCTGCATAATGTAATGTCCACTGTTATCCATCACATTGTGCGCACGTAATCGAAAGACAGTTAAAACGTTTCCAACGAATCAGACACAACGAAGAGAAACACGTGTTGAGGGAGTTGACCAACATTCTACAGGCGTATTAAATAAAAAAAAAAAGCCAACGTTCACTTATGTGGCCCTATAGCCCCTTCTCCCATGTCATAGTCAAATGACCAAAACATTGCAATATTCTGCCCGTGTACGCGGAGGCTGTTTGAATGCGTATAGGCTGATTAGTGCATGGGCTGGGAAGACTCTCCCTGTGTGCGCGTTGCCCTCTTTCCCGCTCTGGCTGAGGTGCAGGGGGAAGTGTTTATATGGGGGATGATGACAGAGGTCGGGTCGCGCTAATGGGCCAGTGAAGAGCAGCGGAGGGAGGCGAGGCGCGCACAGCAGACCAGAAACACATACATTAATACACTTGTCGCATCACCAATCAGCATAGGTGTGTTCATTTTCTTACCCCCACCTCCTTCTACCACTCCCCCCTCTCCTCGTTCCCACTCTCTCTCTCTCTCCTCCCCTCTCGCTCATTCGCTCACTCACACGCCAGCGCACATCCACGCCAAACACCGTGCGTCCTGACATCTGAGTTCACTGTCAATCTCTGTCTCTTTCGCAGGGATTTCCCCTCTGTCTTCGCCGCAGAAGACCGCTGGAAACTAATTTTCCTCATCAGAAGTTCCTCAGAGACAGATTTGGTTCTGTGTGGGCTTTTTTTTTTCTTTTTTTTTGGTGCCTGGTCTGGGAAACTGGGCTAAATCTAGTTTGGCAAGGACTTTGACACCGAAGCAGGATGCCTCAGAAAGGTGAGCAACTTATTAAGTCTATTTTGTATTATTGTTATCATTATTATAGTCATGCATCACAAACTGTAGTCGACTCAAAAGTGCAGAAGTGCAAACAGAATGTAGTGTGTTGTATGCACAGTTTGTTGTTGTGTTTATAGGCCCTGCACGGGAAGCTTAGCGCTCATTTATGACAGCAAAGAGTAAAAAGTCACGTTGGGCCAGGACAGTGTTCATCGTTGAGAATAGGGCGCAATGACCCGTTTAGGAAAGGTGTCAGATTGATTCACGCAGCTAGTCACCCGAGCGCTGTAGACAAAACAGGAGAGCTCCTCTGAAGCACTGGGAACGACTCCACATCTGCAATAACAGCTAAACTTTATCGAAACTTATAAACACATTTGTGTGTGGTTAATAACATTCCAACAATAATAACATATTTAATTGAACTGAAAAGAGAATGTTGCATCTTCCAACATTGAATCATTTAAATATAGCCTCAATAATTTGCGTAATGTGCGTAAAATGTTTTAGATTGTTTTATTACGCGTACAATTAAGCAACTATAGGTTCATACATTAAAAAAATAGTAACGCATTAAAAAATTGACAGAATACACTTTGTTCTTTAAGTTTAAAAAAGACACTGCAAAAACCGTGTTAATGATACTTATTAATTTTAATGTATCACTGGCTCGTTTGTTCTCGTTTCGGAAGCACGCACGTCTGCGCTGTCACGGGCGCAAACATTGTTGTCACTTGAAGAAAAGAAATGCTGATCAGATATAAGGCCTTATCCGCAGTAGAAAACATTTGAACTTTTGGCCTTCAAATCATTAACCAGCGTGGACTATACAAAGTTTGCGCACTCACTGTACCCTATATTTCTTACACAGCGTGGGCCTAAAGTGGGAAGCTTTTTCACATGCATGCGCGCAAATGCATAAACTTTACCCGTGGGTCATTACATTCTAATTAGGCCCACTCAGCCAGTTGGATGTTTTCCGGAATTTGAGGTAAAATAGGCTACAGCCGGGGTTATGTGGGCCACGGTGATGGAATCTGAGTTTGATTAATGAGCGCGTCGGCTCTCTGTTTGTAAAAAAAAAAAAAAGATAAAAGAAAGCTACAAACTAAGTGCAATGGCAGCCCAGAGCATCTCACACAGAACCATTTTGCCTCGCACACAACACAGCTTTTGGTGAAGCAAGAAAATGAAAACTTCAGAACTCCCTGCCATGGCCCCCTTTTTATCTGTCCCTCCATTCAAAGGCTTTTTAATGCATTTGTCTTTCCCAATTGAGCGCCCTACTGCGCTGTTGTGTCTTTAAACCCGCTTTACAACCCGCACCAGCAGCAGAGATATAACCAGCAAATATTTAGCACACGAAATTACTTTAATTTTTGATGTTTAAAAAGAAGAGAGGACAAACCCCGCATTCACAGTGTGTATAGCGGCTGCAGAGGGGTCACGGTCTTGTGTGTAGGCTGTGCAGGAGCGTGAATGATCCCGGAGGGGGTGGATGCATGCCTCCGGCTCTTTGTATTAATCTGAACTTGTTGGTATGTTTGGAAGGGAAGCAGTGTATTTTTAGACGCAAAGGCCCAGGTTTCTGTATAGTGTGTTAACGCGAGAAGGAATTAATGCATTTGTTCAGACTGCCTTAAAACTATCATCCAAGCGCGTTGAACAAGATAAGACCAATATACTCGCAATAAGTCTAATAGAATTGGGAATGACATGAAACTGGGTTAGTGACTGCCAAACACCATTTAGGGCACATGGTGAGGATAGAAGGCGAGGCTGTGCTAATATGTTGTTTTGCTCTGTCCTATAGGGAGACATTAAGTAGTGAAACGGCAGATGATTGACTAAATTGTTATAGAGGACAGTCAACTCTGTTTCAAGGCAAGTTTAAATAATGCAAAATTACACATTGAGGATGTTATTGATAATTTTGGCATACACCTCGAAAAAAAATGAGATTAAAATGAAATAGGATTTATTTTTTCTCTACGAATAAAAACCTGTAAGAATAAAATATTGACTCACTGCATATAGATACAAATGTTTTCAATGGTATGTATTATTTTAATCTATTTTCTTATTCCCTTTCGACGATAGAATACCACAACCAAGCCACGTGGGAATCTGGCGTTGCCTCAATGATGCAGAACAGTAAGTTGTGTTTATTTGTATTATATTTATGTTAATTACTACTTCAATTGTGATTGCATGGCGCCCACTAACATGTATGCACCTGTTGGTATTTTGAAAAAAACACAAAAAAGGAAGTAAGTTTGAGTTAAGGCCAAATATCCATGATTCATTTTACACCCGTCTGTTAATTTATTATTGTTATTATATTTTTTATAGTGCTGGAAGTTAATGCTGAACAAGTTAATCACACGTCGCATTGCTCAAGGGAAAAGCTGAGGGGGCTGGGTTGAGAGAGGGGATGCAGGTTTTTTCATGTTTCTGCTTGAGTTGGTATTAAATAATTGCACAGCCGTCTGCATTAGCGTTAGAGCTGCTGCCAGGCTGCATACGAGATCAGCTGCGTAGATAAGAGAGAGCCCTGCATGAAACATGAGCAATAGCAATAATGTCTTATGTAGATGACTCCGTATTCCTCACGAACAGAGAGCAAGAGGCAAAAAGAAAATACTCCTATGAGGCCACAGCGGGTGATAAATATTAACAAGGACATTGTTGTGGGTGCCAATCAAAAACACGAAGTTGTATTAATAAAGTGGCCAGTGCTGTATGTTGTGTGTTAAGCAAAATCATAAACATGAATCGTTTTCTCTCTTGCTGCTGGACAAGAGGTGTTTGACATCTGTGATGAAGGTGTGTGGAATAACTTTATTATTATTTTCCATACCTTCATGTGTGTGGATTAGTTTACATCATTTGTTAGCGCAGTGATTTCAAGCTGATGCCTGTTGGGACATGTATTTAATTCTGGTCAGGTCTGTAGCATGTGCAATGCCCAATGCCCCTGTTTTGCCGCGGGTGGATGTTAATAGGATGCTCCCTGGCTTAGTGTGTGGTGTTTGCTGCAAAATTGCCTAGATATTATTGGGCTCGGCCCTATGGGTTGTCTAAAGGTCGCAATGGTCTCTGTGGCTTTTGTGCTAATAACTCCTGGGTGTATATAGAGAGGAGCGTCCAAATTGACACCATATGTTTTCCTATTAGTCGACTCGCAATAGAATACAAGGCGCATAATCAGCGCCAGCGGGCGAGATCGTCTCAGTCACTTGAGGGAATTGTGCTATGATTAAGACTTAACCTTAGGACATTTTGGATGTGATGTCTTTATCTGGCAGGTTTATCGATCTGTGTAGTAGCCTAATAAATTATAGACCTAATAAATCAGAGGTAGAGACACAGGCGTGGAAAAGCCGCGCAGCAGTCGCGCGTAAGCAGCCAGGTCAGTTTCAGAAACAACTCTATTAATTCCCCTTAATCCTGGAATTACCAAGAGAACAAGGGATGATAGTGGATGTATAGGCCTATCATCTGCGTCTTTGTTGAAAGATTATTAGCATAGCGAAAAACGCAACTTTTACGCACAGAAATGAATGGATTAATTTTGGTAAGACTAATAAAAGTGTGGTCGTTTAAAGTTGTCTTTTGACATATTGCGTTGGCTGTAAAGACGCCAACCGACTGCACACAACAGGACTGCAGTGGCTGTGAGCATTTGTTGTCAAATACAAACAGGGGAGGGAAACGGCTTGTCACTTTTAATATGTTAAGAATCCATGCGCGCCCTCGTTTGTGCGGCCGCGCATAGCCCCCGGCCACCTTAAAACGAAGTCTCCCTCCAAGGGTAAACGAGTAGCGTCCAATTTTGTCTGAGTGATATCCAAATGCAGACAGAAAGGGTCGTTTTATCATGCTACTATTTGTCGTGGCGATGCGATTTTCAAAAGCAGAGCGGTGTCATAAAGTGACATGCCTGCCACAAGTGCTCCAACTGATCTTTTCAATTAGCCTCCCATGCATGATCCGAGGCGACTTCCGCCTATTTCCAGAAATTAAGATCAAACTTGACGTGCAGCTAGCTTTATTTTAAAGACAAATGTCAGGCAGGCTCATCATATTTTCCCCCTCTTCTATATTTGGAGCTTATTTATGGCTAAGGAGCCTCTGCTCTCAGAGTCAATGTAGGCAGCACCAGCGCAGGGGAAGCAGCGGAGGCAGAGAGCACAGCACTCCGGGGAGTCAGGCTCCCTCTTGGCTTCAGGTTTGCTTCTACATCCACTGCTTTATGGATACGGAATAGAATAATAAGACATTATTTAAAACACTTTTAACAGAAATGCTAACATTTAGTGGGTTGCTGCATTGGGCTGTGATTTTATGGTAGAGTCTGAGGTGGCTTTAAACTGAGGTGGGGAGGATTATGCGCTCATTTTAAACCAGTTACAACTTGTGTATGTGCTTGTTTTTAACATTTTAGATCCTGTTTTGTTTCGCAAACGCATGAACTAAACCGCGACTGTGTTGTTGTTGTTGTTGTTGATCTATAGCCTGAGTCGTTGATAATCATTCTTATAAGTTGCATGTTTTATTATAAGAGCAGGTGGCTGTAGGGCTTGCATCAAACGGCACGCGCGCTATTCCGTGTCTCCATCTTCCATTTGATTTCTCCTTGTATTTTCCCTTTGCCATGCTCTTCTGTTTGATGAGCCTGTATAGGTATTATATATCTGATATAGCTTGTGCTGGCGGTATATACGCTGGGATGACCATAGCTCCTCTCTCTCTCGCGTAGGTCACAGTGGCGTGAACCAGCTCGGCGGTGTGTTTGTTAATGGGAGACCGCTGCCGGATTCCACAAGACAGAAAATAGTTGAACTTGCTCACAGTGGCGCCCGACCCTGCGACATCTCAAGAATCCTGCAGGTGAGATATACGCATTTATACAACCTGCTTTATTCCCCTTTCCCCATTTTCAACACTCTGGGAAAGACAAAAACGAAGGTAGGCCTAATTCAAGCATGGTTTTGTTAAACATAAAGATAGTTCTATATTATTATCATCATCATGAACACACGTCTTCATGTGTGATTTGACGCCAGTATAGATCACGCAATAATCAAAACAACTCGCTGATAAACAGGAAGTAATTCACCTGTATCTCTGGCTGTAGAACGTGCCTATTTAATATACAATTGAAGGCATGTTTTCTGTGTTTATAGACCGATGATGAAGTCCAAGTGCTGGACAGTGAAAAGGTGATAATTCCTATACAAGAAATTCAGTGAATACTAGTCTTAAATAATGGATGTGAATTGTGTCTTTTGTTTTTGACACAGGTATCCAACGGCTGCGTGAGCAAGATCCTGGGTAGATACTACGAGACGGGCTCCATAAGGCCGAGAGCGATAGGCGGGAGCAAGCCCCGGGTCGCCACTCCGGAGGTAGTCGCCAAAATCGCGCAGTATAAACGAGAGTGCCCTAGTATCTTCGCCTGGGAGATCCGTGACAGACTTTTGTCGGAGGGGATCTGCACCAACGACAATATACCCAGCGTAAGTGTATTGACTGGAAGTTATGTGCATGATTTAATTTACCACATGAAGTCACTTTTCTCATGCGGTAAAAAGGGGGGAAGACCATTCATGCATTCAGACTTAATAAATACACAGCAACGCGCGCCAGCCACTTAAAAAAAAAACCTGCCCCCCCCACCCCCTCGCCCCCCTCCCATGCATGCGTGCGCGTCTCCTTATACCTATATCATATTGTGCCATTCAGGTGTCATCGATAAACAGAGTCCTCCGCAACCTGGCGAGTGAAAAGCAACAGATGGGCGCAGATGGCATGTATGACAAGCTGAGAATGCTCAACGGTCAGACAGGAACTTGGGGGACCCGGCCAGGATGGTACCCCGGAACATCGGTGCCCGGACAACCCAATCAAGGTGAGTCCCATCACCAGCACGCAAATATACAAAGACACTGTATATATTCAATTATATATGTTATAATACATAGGCGTGTATGGATTAGTTATTAGTTATTGGACTATTATTTTGACGATACATGGCGACTTTTTTTGCACAGAGAAAGAGAGAAAGAATGAGAGAGAAAGGAGTGCGTTCGCGTATATATCCCAGTATACAAAGGAATGTTTTTTTCTCCTGCACGCAATTTATGGGAACGCTCATGGACGCTAATGTAATGGCTCATTAGAGGAGGGATTTGTGCGCGTCTTTTGTGGCAACATGCAGAAGTGTGGAGATGGGTTACACGTGCAAGCCCCCCCCCCCTCTCTCACCCCCCTTCCCGCAGGTATAGGCTGTCGTGTGTGTGGTCATCATTATATAGGCATTATTTCATGTTGCATTTAAAGCACGTATTTAGCAGCATTACATTATATTGTTATTAGACCTATTATGGTTAGATTAAAGTTCATGTTTATTCAAATGTAATATAAATTAGCCTGATTATGATTAGAAGGCCCGTTATCATTTTTATTAAATGATGTGTGGTGGTTATAATAATAATAATAATAATAATAATAATAAAAATAACAATGATAATACTACTACTAAAAACAACAGCAATAAAATAAAATAATAATAATAATAATACAAAACAATACTAATATAAATACTAATCAATAATAACATTTTCACTCTTATTATAATTATCATTTCAGGATTATTCATGAACTAAGTGAAGAGAATGGCTTTATCCCTAAATATGTATTTAATGTGCCACACACAGCGCGCTGAGTTCAGGCCCAAACAGACATCTCTCTAAAGCAAACCCTCTTCGCCGAGTTTCGCTTTTATCCTTTTTTTGTGTTCTATATGGCTCTAAATCCTGTCTATAGGATTTAGTCACCCACTTTCCCTTTCACTTTTAAGCGGTTTCTCAAGAGTGTTTTGATCTGGTCTCAGCAACTGAAAGGTGCCGGCAATTGGTTCGGTATCTGCAACTCTTTTTTCTCTCTCTGCTGCGGCTGCTTTTCCGCCTCACTGGTTGAGACATCGTGATACTAAAGAATGAGTTTATTTCCCAGCGCTTTTATAAAGAAAACAAATCCCATCCATAGCGTCAGTGGGTCTGGCAGACGGATAATAGCAGCACATTCACTCCTTTTTATGGATTATCCGCAGTGCAGAAACAAATAGCAGAGATACAGACCATTGGCTTTTGGAAACATTGGCCTATAAATAGTTGTGTCAGATGGAAACGTGGTATTCCGTTACACGCACAAGCATTTAAACATGTTTTAAAAGTTTTATTCAAATTCTTATTTACAAACCACGGTCTATTTGTGCCTGGTCTGGGCCATATCTTCGAAATATCATGTCTCAGGAAACTGTCTAAAGTTCGTGAAGATCAATTAATTACCTCAACTTCGAACTGAAATAAATTAAAATATCCTATGCTTTTGTGAAAGAGGCCCAAACGAGTGCTTTGCAGGATTCATTACGAAAACAAAAACATTAATAAAAAATAAAAATATACTTAAAAATAAAAATAATTGATTAATTCAAATAATTTCGTTCACACATAAAGCCTTAATAAATACATGGATGGAATCAGTTAGGACGATACAAATCAGAATCATAATTATTTTTTATAGCCATTTTAAGTAACAGGAAGTCACTGCTTTGGCTCATAGTGCAAACAAGTAGAAAGTAAAAACAGATATAAAGGCATGCATAAAAAATCTTGATACAATGTATAAATTAGTCTGGGCGTCTCTGCTTAGACTGCTGCCCCCGCGACCCGGCAACGGATGAAGCGGAAGAAAATGGATGGATAGATGTATAAAATAATACAACACGAACAAAAAAAGTTATTAAAGTCCAACTTGACAACAAAGCCCACATGTACAAGCTATCAATGCAAACAAATCCTTATAAACAAAAATAAGCAAAGATACGGCCTATGCAAACCGCTGTATCTAAATGACAAATATGAATATCCGTGTAGGCCACAGTCTGTCTCTGTCAAACTGGCGGCTGTCAGATATGATGTTCGCACGCACCCCCTGCTTAATTTCGCATTAACTCCTCGGTGTGATAATGATGTCCAACAAGTCGAAAGGCCTCTGCGATAAGCCCAGGCCGCAGACACGCAGCGCCCGTGAATACATGGGCCCTATTTGGAGTTGTTCAGGGCCTTGCATGCTCTCTCCTCACTCATTTGTTTCCAATTGAAGACAGAAATCCTGAGTGGCGTGTAGCTGGCTGGGGGGACGTGATTAATGATGGTAGTGGATAAGGGTTAACACACTGGACTCAAAGCTCTGTTGACTGGGATCCTCGTCTGCACAATGCCGCTGGACTATAGCCTTGTATGCCTCCACAGAGAGAGGATCCTTTTGTCATCCATTCCCCCCCCCCCCCCCCCCCCCCTCCCTACCATACATTACACCCACCCAGGACTGGCCCACTAGCGTCCCTGGCTCTGACCATAGCTTAATGGTTTCCCTTACTCCTGAAGGCATTGTATCAGTCTGAAAAGCGGCTTCGCCTATTCAAAAGTTGGTGGTCACCTCAATGGCCATACCAACGCCCATATGGGAGCGGGCCATTGAAGCATTGCTGTGGCCCAGAAAAAAAAAAAAAGGGAGCTAGTGAGCGAGTTTGAGGTTTTAATACATTTCGTAGGCGCTGAAAAGAGGCCACATCTTGTCACATTTCTCTTAACCTTTTGAGAGCACAGTCCATTGTTGTATCGTAAAAAGTGCGAGCAGGGTTTTTGCCCTGGACACACTGTTTTTCCCACAATATTTTATAAACACTTGAAGCTTGCCATCAACATGAGCCGGCATTGAGGCTTTCCATTTTGATTCAGCCATAGCGCAGACGAGTTCGCTCCGGGCATGCGCAGAACAAATGTGTGCAACGCAACACAAGGGACAGACGCACATACGCAGACTAATAAACACTTTTTTTTCTCTTTTTTTTTTTTAAAAAAGATGGCTGCCAACAACAAGACGGCGCAGGCGAGAACACAAATTCCATCAGCTCAAACGGAGAGGACTCGGAGGAGACACAGATGCGCCTGCAGCTCAAGAGGAAACTCCAGAGAAACCGCACGTCTTTTACGCAAGAACAGATTGAAGCGCTCGAAAAAGGTGCGAGGGTCACACACACGCGCACACAACACACAATTTGGTTCAAATAATTAAATCAAGCGATTTTAATTATGTCAATATGGTGCGCAGTGGCAATGACTTTACGCATGTGTTTTAATCCTGTAGAATTTGAAAGAACGCACTACCCAGACGTTTTTGCACGGGAAAGATTAGCAGCCAAAATCGACCTGCCTGAAGCAAGAATACAAGTAAGCATACATTCAACAGTTTAGACTCTTCTCCACCAAGAGATAATAATAATAGTAATATCAATAATAACAATAATAATTAAATAAAACTATTGTTGCGTTTTGTGTGTCAAGGTGTGGTTCTCTAACAGAAGAGCAAAGTGGAGGCGAGAGGAAAAACTGAGGAACCAGCGTCGCCAGGCAAATAATTCTTCAAGTCACATTCCCATCAGCAGCAGCTTCAGCACCAGTGTGTACCAGGCCATTCCACAGCCCACCACACCCGGTACGTCCTCTCTCAGATGTCACAGATGTTATAGCTGTTGTTCATCATGACATTTAGTGGGATAATTATCAAAGCAAGGACAAGGAAACACTAATCCACCATTTACACACTGACTAACTGTAGAGGTCAAGCCATTATGAGGCTATGACATGGCTATATGCTCACCATTACAGACCATTGAACTAATCGTAACCTGCTCTTCCACAGTGTCTTTCACCTCGGGGTCAATGCTGGGTAGACCTGACTCTGCACTAGCAAACTCCTACAGTGCACTGCCTCCTATGCCCAGCTTCACTATGGCCAACAACCTACCTATGCAAGTAAGTGCGCACCAACACCCACACATAGCTTTTATATTAGCTGATCTCTCATAAAAGGTATAGAATGAATAGCTTACATGCAAGAAAAAAAGCTAAAAAGGTGGTTGGCTAATGATTAATTCTCTTCCCCTATAGCCCAGCCAGACCTCCTCTTATTCCTGCATGCTGCCTACCAGTCCACCAGTGAACGGTCGGAGCTACGAAACATACACGCCCCCTCATATGCAGGCACATATGAACAGCCAATCAATGACCACTTCTGGTCCCACCTCAACAGGTAGGCAGAAAAGTTCACTGTCTATCACTGTTCTTTCCTGTACTCCGCCACCACTACTGTAACATAGGCGGTACCATTCATTCACCCTCCCACTCATTTGGACCTTCTCTCATTGTCCGCTAAGATTCTTTCCATCAGTTATATCTTTGTTGCATGACTGAAGCTCATTTCGCCATCACCGTCTTTACGGCGCCATGTCAGCCCCGACACTCCTGCCCATAGTTTAGTTCCACCCCATTAGAATGCTGTTACCGAGAGCCATATATACCAGTTATAGTCATGAAGAGTTAATCATGCATAACCACATTTCCTCTGTGCTAAATTGCTAATTAATTTGATTCATTTGCCCGTTGTAGCCCCTCTGTTTAAATGCCATTGCTGTGGCTTTCAATTTATTGAGCTTGTGAGCGTGTACAGGGCAACCCGTGTGGTGTGATTTGGCCCACCTTCCCTAACACAATACTTTGCATGTCATAACATAGCAAAAACTAAGTGGAAGTTTAAAATGGATGCCTGTTTAGTACAACACGTTTCAAATGTGAGTGATATTTATAGTTTAAAAATGACACTATCATCCACTGTCAACACGTAAATACAACACCATTTTGGTAAAGCAGAAACTTGTACGTCTGTTTGCACTCAAATCGAATCATTGGCCAAGAATGTGAATTGAAATGTCTGTAGATTTGTTCTTATGCATGCTTTACTTTGACTTGTTTGCACCTCGTTTGAGAGCAAAACAATTTCCTAGTTTGTGACTTCTTGTTGCTCACATGGCCATAAAATAATTCAGATTTTAGCCATTTATTTCTGAAACCATTCACGCTTGATCGTTAACAAACTTGACTACTTTTCCCTGTTTTTTGCTAACTGCTCTGTATATTTATGTGTGCAGGACTCATCTCTCCTGGAGTGTCTGTCCCTGTCCAAGTGCCAGGGAGCGAGCCTGACATGTCTCAATACTGGTCAAGATTACAGTAGAGAAAAAAGCTACTTGACTCTTTGAGCATCCACGCCGCTGTGGCCCCTCCGGCTTCAGGACTTCAACAGCACGCAGGAGAGCTAGAACAAAGCCAAGACAGAGTTTGAGAAATGGACAGCTGAGGAAGACTTTTGTGAGAGCTTTGGGACATTTCTATCCAGCGGGACTATGTGCTGTTGTGTAGCTCAAGGCACATTCACAACCTGAGGACTTTTAATGGACAAAAGTGACGGGAGAAAAAATATGGACCTCTGTAAAGTGCCCGGCGTTTTTATGGAACAAAACATACCAGTTTCTTTTTCTATTTCCAACCTCAAGTCTTTGTTTCCTTTTTCTGGTGTGTTCGTATATGACCATTTGTATGTTAATATAAAAACCAGGATGAAGTACTGATAGATGGCCTGCTAGAAAACCATGGTGGTCTTGTATTGGTGCGTGCGAAGGAGAGTTGGGAGATTCTGCCATGACTATCGTTTTAAATCTGCTTATATCAAGACATTCTACCAAGCCTTTTTGCATGATCTCTGGACACTCGCATATCATTAAAAGTTGCATTGGGATCCTATCTTGTACTATAATAGCGGAAGTATAGCTGTAACGCTGAAAGGACATTCAACTCGAGCCTATGCTTCAACAGTTGGGATCAAATCTAGATGACTACAAAAACAAGTCTAAAAATAAAAACATGTAGTTAATGGTAGACTGCGTCTTCATTATAAGCTTGTTTATGTCCAAATGTAATGTTCTTGTCTTCCCTCTAGAAATCTGAAAGAGAGATTTCTCCAAGATTTTTTTTATATTCCCAAAAATATACTCTAAATGTTCCATGCATCATGAAAATACATTTCTTTAGGGTCAAGTACAATTTGTCTATTAGCTATAGTTGTATTATAGTGTCCTATGGTCAAAAATGTGCAACTAAAATATTTAATTCCTATAAATATGATAAACATTTGCTTGACAGAGTTCTAATGTGTTTGGCAGTTGTTTACAAGTACATATCAGATTTAATCATTGTTGATTGTAAAACAGACCAAAGCCTTTGTATTTCATCTAGTACACAATGTTTTTTAAAGATATTAGTCTTGTGTTGCAACATTTTGTAACCATGTTCTGTTTCTTTTGATTACATTGGCTTCGAGTTGGTAACCCGCAGTCTATATTTATAATTGACGACCATGGGAGGGTTTTTCTAGCATCATCTGTCATGCTCCTATTGAGTTTTTGCGTTTTGATTTCATTGTGTGTGTAAAAACATCAACATGTAACTGGGTTTATGTCCGAGCATCGCTTCTGAGATAAACACGCTGTCTCTTAAATATTTCAATTTAATTTTATTTAAAATGGAGCTTTCTAAATGTATTTTGTGAGAACTATAAAACATTTTGTACAGTAAAATTGTGTCTTAAAGAAATTATTTCCGTCTGTTTAATTTAGAAACACAAACAAAACAAGATTTCCGACCGTCTAATCTAAAGTGCATGCGCCAAAAGTTAGAACTACGGTACTTTCCTATTCAAAAGCTGCCCGACACTGCAAACGGACTAGATGTACGGTCCAGCACAGACCACACAGCGCAGACACCATTGCATGTGGAGAAAGGTCAAGCAATTCACCAACATGGCCTCTTGTTTTAGTTGAGTTACAATGTGGTATAAAAAATACAGGGCCAATGAGGAGGGGAGGGGGAGGGAGCGAAAAGAGAAAAAGTCATGGAATAAAGCAGTCAGTGCCTAGAGCAAGGCAGAGGAGCAATTGTGTGGCAGAGTGAGTTATTTTGCTTCACTTGCCGCATCAGCAGGGGGGTGGTGTGTGCGAGTGCATTTGCCAGTGTCTATTGGAGGAAAAGAGAACAAGAGCATCTAAAGGGGGGCATGTCCAGGAGAGTGAGGTCAGGTAACAATCACACAGCAGGCTCCACCACCTAGTATCCCACCAAAGTGATTAATTGAAAATCACACGTCACTCAAAGCTTAACACTCTGGAGATGAATGATTTGGCGTCATAACAAATGCAGGGCAGAAACGGTTTCAGAAAGTAATCAAATATTTTGTTTCCGCAGTAGAAAAGAAGCTACAGCCATTCAGAGACATCCATTGTGTGTTTTCTGCCACAAAACTTCTGTTCAATGTTGGTATAGAATAATAAGCGTGAAACTGACAAAAACTGACTCAATCATTTGCATCTCAAAATAGATTTTAAAAAATAGGCTAACAGCTTTGCACTTATATAATTTTGGGCAAAATGAATGTCCATTTAGTTCATTACAGGAGCTGGTTTAGAGTAGGGCAGGGAAACAGAGGAGAAGCATTAATAATTACACACAAAGAATGAGCGAGAGACTCAAAATGCAAGAAAGATGCAATTAGAGGATGTCTAAATAATACACTGCTCCAGGATTAAAAGCTTTAAATGTAATTCAGGGTTGGTACAACATCAAGCAATTAAAGTTTGTGGAAAAGTTTGGAAAGAACTTGTGCGATAATATGGACCAAGAAATCCCACAACAGCAAAGCTCAGAGCTGGCGCCGTGCATCTTAAAGTGGGACATTTCATTCAATGGTCGCCTGAAAGGTTAGCAAAGTTCTTTATTTGTTACTGTACTTTGTAAGTAGGTAAGTAATCTTTATTTATATAGCGCATTTCACAGACCAGAGTCACAAAGCACTTTACAATTGTGGGCATTTCTCCTTGCACTCCACACAGAGATGGGAGCGGGGTCGCCAGAACAGGAGGTGCACACCAGACCTATTGTACATGTTTTTTTAGTGGTAGGGGAAACCGGAGCACCCGGAGGAAACCTGGGCAAACACAGGGAGAACATGCAAACTCCACTAAGAAAGGCCCTGTTCAGACCGAGATTCAAACCCAGTGCTACTCAGTGGAAGTGGCCCTAGTAGTGACAATAGTAGTTGTAGTAGTAGTAGTAGTAGTAGTAGCAGCAGTAGTAGTAGTTGTAGTAGTAGCAGTAGTAGTTGTAGTAGTAGCAGTAGTAGTAGTTGTAGTAGTAGCAGTAGTAGTTGTAGTAGTAGCAGTAGTAGTAGTTGTAGTAGTAGCAGTAGTAGTAGTTGTAGTAGTAGCAGTAGTTGTAGTAGTAGTAGTAATTGTAGTTGTAGTCGTAGGTCAAATGTACAGATTTCATTCATATATTTTAGTATGAAGCGTTTGCCGAAAACAGAAATCTTTGTTTTGAAAATGTGCCAAACCGTTGTATCCCTCGCGCTACAATCTTCAACTTGTTTTTTTTGTGTGTTGCGAGTATATTTGATAGAAGTTGCTCAAGGGCTGAAACTTTACTTTTACGGTCCTAAAATAGATCTGGTTTTTCAAAAAACTCAATGGCAAATTGTAACTTATCTGTTTTTGCAAATTAAGATATCCTCCCCAACCGCAGTGGGGAAATTTCAGTGTAGCGGTAATGAACTATTCATATATATAGATTGTGATAATTCCACTACATCGATGATCAAACACAGGAAAGAACTCGAACTGACTTTGAAAACGATCTGACCAAAAGGACCGTCGGTAACACTATGAAAAACACAACATGTCTAAGGAGATTTGTAAAGTTTATTTTCAAAAGTGTGCTCTAAAAGCGTGCTCAAAGCCTCCTCCACAACACAAACAGACATCAGCCTCTGTTGTTCACCTGTATAAGTATCTGCTGCATCGCCCGCTCCCTCAAACAGCCGATACAGAGCGTTCATGCATAAAGCTGTCAGGTAACACTAGCTTTCTCTCCACCATGTGCGGCACATAGTTACCATTTCAGCCACTTCTTTGGACAAATATATTCAACCTGGCACCAGAAGGAGATTGAAAAATACAGAGAAGATATTTTACGTTGCTCTGTAATTGTCAGTGTCACCACTTGACCTAATTTGTTCTTTTGGGCTTGTCATAGCAGAGCAGCTCATCCAGCAAACCCGTCTGATGAGGTATGAAGCTTCAACCCAAATCAAGCTTTTTCCTCTCTCTGCTCGGTGTCTGGTTCAATAGGACAGGTGCAGGGTCAGACAGAGCGAGCTGTCCCAACTGAAGCAGGGTCTCATAGACAAACAGTTCATCATCACACATTATAACTAATACATAAATACAACATCGGCAGGATCATACAAAACGCTTTATTTACAGAGAGTTCGTTTTTAAATATACCACATTTTCAGCAAAAAATGTCATTTTCCATAATGAGATGATTTCCAGAAATAGTTTCTTAGTTTGAAGTTTATCCCTCATTGATGTAAAGGCCTTGTGTGTGTTCGGTTATGTCCCACTTGATAAGAAGCATGTGAACGCTGAGAAAAGTTCCAGGAGGCCCTCAGAAATCCAGAGGTTTGTTTGTGGAGGTGCTGAGGCCACAGGCTGAAGCTGCGCTAGCCGCTCCAGGCACGTCCCCTCGGCTCACACGACTCGCGGTCTCAGACAGGTCTGGAGGCAAATGCAGTCTCTGCAGAAACAACAAACACGAGTAGAATATTAGAGCAGCTCCTACGGAGGAAATGGGACACAAACAACAGTGGGAGCCACGTACAGTAGACACTGCACTTCAGTGATATTTATTCAGCCCATGTTGGCCTGAAATTGCATTAGATGCTTCAGCACTCCCTTTAACACTGGCAGAACGGAGGGAACCTGCTACTGTGCTGCTAAATGCTTCAGAAAATGTTAGATCTGTTACAGCTCACAGAGAGGGTGTTCAAGGGTTAGGAGGATGTGCACATGGAGTTTAACTTGATGTAGGGTCCATAATTAAACCTTTTATTTTTCCTTTTGATAAAATAAATGAGAAATAATATGATTAGTTCAGTAAAATGTGTCCTCTGTTGAAAGCTTATCAGCTAACTGCCCTTGTGTGCCAACACTAAGCACAAAGACGGTAGTTTAACCAGAGCCACTCATCTAAAGCTCACTAACACCAACAGCTATAAAGCTTAAGAGGGTTGTCCTTCTCACGCCGCACACTGCCTGAAAGGCGCTACGTCAACAGACCGAGGTTGAGAGGACTTCAAGTACCTCCAGAGTCCAAAATGTGTGTTGACTCACTTCAAGTGTCTTTTGAGAGCACCACTTCACTATATAGCAATACTGCCAACAATGAGAGAAGTTGAACCCTGTAATTTTTTCCTGAAAGGATCTCCAATGACATCTGAAACCTCTACTCAAAGAAGGATTCAAACTCCACCTGAACCCTCTCTGTCCATTACAATCACAGCCCCTGAAGACACAAGGATCTTGAAGATGATTATCTACCACCTAATGACCAGGAATTAGGAAAAGGGCTTAATGGCGTCGTTTCAAGGAGATAATTCAGGACTACAACACTTGTTAACCCTTTGGGGTACACTGCTTCCTTCTTTAGCTCAAAATTGTGTTTTTAAGGATTTGGGGATTTGGAGATACAAAGTTTCCCCCTCAAGAAACTGATGTTTAGGTCTGATATAAAGCCTTGCATTTCCTTCCTCAGAAGTCAGGAGCTTTGCAAACTTGCTGTTTATTTGTGTGAAAAAGTTGGGTTGTCAGGCCAGGCGAGGAAACTAGAGCAGTTGTATTCATGGAGCCAGTCTTTTATGTAGAGCAGGTGACTGCTCTGCAAACCCTATAATTTAATTTAATATGGTTAAGGTAGGCTTTCACAAGAAGAATAGATGCAGGGGTGGACCATTTAAACCTGGATCCACAAATATCTACTCAAAGACATCAAAAGTAATCTTAATTTTCTTTATCAAACTTTTGCAAGTCGCAAAAGTTGTGTGCTTCCAAATATTGGCCTTAGGAGTGGCTCCAGAAGAGCTGAATCCCCCTCTGCCAAACCTCACCTGTGTGGTAACCTTTCGTGTCTTCAGCTCACTCAAGTGTGATTGAAAAAGAAAAACAATGCATTGATCAAGCTTGGATTCGGTCCTGCTTAGTGCAGTGCAGCGGAAACGCGCTAGAGAGAAGGCTAGTAGAAAAATCAATCACATATACATCATCCTTGGTGGGAGAGTAAAAAAAAGACATCACACCGATGCTTGGCTGTCACGCATCCACAGGCCCAGCTCTCTGGGTCTCTCTGGCTTTGGGCTCGCTGAACCAACTGAGCATGTGCAGAGGGAAGGTCAAAGCAATCCAGAAGTGAAGCTGGCTCCTCTAACCTTTGAGTTCAGGGGCATATGAGAACAATCGATGCCTACATCAAAGTTGGAGGGAGGAGCAGACAAACCCAATCGATTACTCTGACACACAGGGAAAAGGCAGCCTGGTAGTAATCAGCAGCCACCCTGGACATTCACTATCACCCTGTCCAATACAAGCAATACAACATTACAGAATACATGATAAAAATGTTGGTGAAATAACAAGACATAAAGATATATTTCTTGACTATTATGTAAAGGCTACAATATATTAGAAATTGTTGTTACCGATCTTTGTAACAAGTAAACAGTGACTCTCCCCTAAATCTCAATGAAACATTTCATTGTAAATAAAGGTCAATACATAATACTTTAATGAGCAAAAAGTAAGAAAACATAAGCATGTGATAATGTATAATATACATTAGGCCAAGAGCCACCCAACATATGGAGTGAGACCTAGTGAATGGAGGTCAGTGTAGGATCAGACACAGACAGCCTTCCTGCGACCTGCACACTCCATGAAGTAAACAAGGACATCCGGAAAAGTTCTCAGAGGCATCACGGGGTGTATGTGTGTGCAAAGTCTTTCTGTGCTGCCTGGCAACCTTCAGAGGGTGCAAAAAGAGGAGCAAAAAAGGGTCTGGAGGGCTGGAGGGGGTAGTTGGACTGAGGCGAATGACAGGAAAATGACCTACTGGCTCTGGTGTTCTGGTTTTGTGGCGGTACAGTGGGGGACTGTGAAAGTGGATGTGAAGCAGTGTTATAGCAGTATAATATGGCTTTGCGTGTATCGACGGAGTGAAGTCAGCGGTGCCTCTGGAGCAGACGAGGCCAAAGACCTGTGGTTTAGCTTTACGCCACAGCAGAGTGGCTGGGGCTACGGTGGCTACAGGGTGAGAGGTGACACAGCTCCAAATGAGCACTAAGCACTTGAAATGAGCCCTCTGGGCCAGCCCACAGACTGGATTTGCTTAAGAGGGTTACCATATCTCTGCACAATTTCCTTCAGCATATCTAACTTAACATGTTACATTGTTTGTTAAAGCAAACTTAAATTAAAGTCTCCATATTTGTAATGGGTATACATTTAGTAATATACTAATATATTTACATGAAATGACCAAATCCACTGGTATATTCTTTCAATATAAATCATCAAAGCTCTGCCATCAAAAGAATTCCAGCGGCAGTAACTGCTTGCTAATGACTGGATTATTAGGTTCTAATTTAACGAGTCATTTCTTCCATAGAGTTTTAGCCACAGTCTCAAATGGTGCATGTTACTGAACCACTTTCAGTTCTGGGAAACTCAACACCATGTTGTAACGCCTGATGGCAGGACTGGCACTTTCATTTGGACAACCACTGATCAGATCAACGTGTATTTATTAAACACGATCTCTACTTTAAGCAAACTTAACGCAGTAGAAATAACTGTTCACTCTGTTCACAGTTGGGAACTATTTGTATTGGCACTGGTCGACAACTTTCTGTTTAGTATTCCAGGGCGAGTGACAAAGACAGGGTCAGACAGAAAAATATGACAAATAAATTGAAGAAATTGATGCCGAGGAAAACTATGGCATTGCCATTATTATTCTGCGCAGTAGTGGTTATTTATGGAGTTTATACATTTTGTCAATTCAATTTCACAGAGCTGCATTGTATCCTAATGCATCCACTGTGTCCTAATGCGTACATCTGTCCAAGCACAGGTCAGTGTCCTACATTTGCAATCTCGTCTTTGCATCCGTCCCTGGGTCAATATGGCAGCCCTACATTTTGTAATTGGAATCACTGCACTTTTCCCAGACTTCCTGGTCTTTTCACTCTCCGCCAGGTGCCATAATCCCTTGTACCTATAAAGTTACAACACAGATTCTGTGGGAAAATATTTGTTGAGCCTCCAGAAAGAGGCTTCAACACCTCAAAAGCTACAATATGAGAAGATGTGCCATCCTATAATAGAAGCAGACTTATCTTATCACTGGTGATTAATGAAAAAACTAAAAGGAAAACTTCCCATAAACAACTACCTGTAACCCTAGCTCACCTGAACCCGGCTGAGAAAAAGCTCCTTCATACTCCTCTTTTGTGACTGTAAAGAACGTAATACAACCCACAATGTGCCAGAATATCCTGTTTGCACTCACTTCACAAATATAAATGTATTATATATAATTTAAAGAGAATATTATGTTATATTATTATATCTATATTTATATACAAGTCACAGAACTCTAGAGTCTAGATCCATCTTTAGGGATCATACAAAGGCAGACTGACATACATGCTCTGGCATTACAGAAAGAAGGTCGGGTTCGATCTCAAGAATGATGTGGGGGTTTCCTCCGGGTGCTCTGGTTTCCCCCACGACTCAAATCATGCACCAGTTTAAATAAAGGACAAATTCAGTACAGGACAAACTTTTCTTTGGTTCACTGTTTGTTTCGTAAATTAATTTTCATGTTGTATAATAACTTAATTTATCCCCACGTGAATGAACAAAATACAATAAAGATTACAATTGGGGCCTTGTGTTGCTTTGGAATAACCAAATGGACAAAGCAGGGCCTAAATGTTTGTGCACTTTGGGGGGGATTTGACTTGTTCTGGCCGTCACCATCTTCGGGGGGCCTCGACTCGAACCTGTCAACGACTACTGACAGAAGACACAGCATGAGGCCATTTTGTCTCTTTTCAGTTCATTTTTATTTCTCAGTGGAAATGTTTTGAGAGGACTGAAGGCGTTTTGCAGAGCGATGGGCTGAGGGCACTCTGACTGGGCAGAGAAAGGGTGGTGAGGGTGGGCAGGGGTTAGTGGGTGTTAGTTGGACTTGGGCACAGCCGGGGAGTGTGTTGAAGCCCCGGGGTGACATGGCGCCTGTGGAGAGGGGCAGAGGGAGAAAGGGCGGAGAGTACAAACATGTCTAAGTGCTGCCTTCACTGCATATAGAGATATAACAGAGCGCGCTGCTACATGGGTTATGACAGCGCATCCAGGGGCCTAGCGGTGCCCTTAGACACATATTATAGCCTCAAATCATGACTGTGATACATGTGATGTAAGATGAGATGAAGGAGGTCTTTGGAAAATAAATAAAATAATATCCAATATATAGGGAATATACAGAAAAAATATCATAGACACAGCTGCACATAATAAGTGAATGTCTGATGATTCTGTAATAAAAATGCCATATTGATTCTTGATTCTTGAATAAACGTTAAACTGGTTAAAATTCCAGAAATATATTTTCCCGTTTATTTCATGTACTGTTCAATGTCAGTCTGGTCTCCCTCCTTTTGTTGTGCTTCCATTTGCTTA